ATTAGATCTATATTAGATCTATACTATATAGATCTTATTAAAAGAAAATAATCTATATTTATAGATTCATATCAATCTATATTTGTCCGGAGATACGAGTATTAAAGCGTTTAAGAGTTACTTAATAGCGCCGACGTAGTTTTTTAAATAATTATTTTGAGTAATATCAGAACGTAGACAGGTATTATTTATAGTCTGATACTTTACTTTAACAGCGAAATTATATCCCAACACTTCTAGGAAGAAGCAACCTTTACTTCTATAGATGAAAAATTATTATATATCTTTTGATAACACGCTTAGTTAATTATGCTACGATCTCTGCATGATGATTAAGTAGCGAAAACGTTTTATAAGTCAAAAGTATAGTGTAACCACAAAATCATTATAACTATTTTTATATTGTTCACCTTAATATAATTTATATGCATATTATTCTGCTTGAAGTCGCCTGGACTTTTAAAATAACAAGTTTAATCACTACCCAGGTAATAAACCCTCGTATTGACCGTCACAATGATAATACGAGTATACATGAATTCGACAACAAAATGGTAATTTCAAATAGTCACAAATTTTGAACAAAGCTGGGCCTTGAAGACTACCCGAGCCACACAAAAAGGAGGAACAAGACGAGTACTTGTCGAACAACAAAGAACCCACACAACACTATACATTCGGCGTCATCGACATCGCGAAAACGTTCCCCGACAACTTATCCAATGTCGTATATACAAAGGAATGTACTGCAGGTGTTGAGACTCTAACGTCGATGGACAGCGCTAGGGCGTAAGGTTGGGCGGCGCGCCGGGCACAGGGTGCAACGCCTCGAAAACGGGTTCCCTCGGCGTATTGTGGGTCACATCGAGTCTCGTACAGACGGGATCGGTAAAATGTTTTCATTACCACCAGCAACAGAAGTGACATATCTCTAATCTCGAACATAGCTCACGCATTAAGATCGGACGCTTCGCTTTTATAACGAAGGAAATAACAAATTGAAAGGTCACAGTCGTCCGAGGGTTTTGCCAAAACCTTGGCCGGGCTCTTATCTTAATACGATTAAGGTTTTTGAGTGTTCCAATCGTTAAGAGAAACACGGATCCTCGCATAAATTGAACTTTATCATGCAGTGTCTGTATATTAAATATACAAAAATTCTTTCATTTGCGTGAAATTAATACTAAGCGAACTTACTTCATTTTATCTTTAATGGGGCGAAAGAGCAATATGGATATTACTCAAGGCGATGCAGTATTAAAGTTGAATGTACAATTTATTTTTATGTTCTTAATACACAACGCTGTTATTTTTCGAAACAAAAAATAAAAAATATATATTATATTACTTTTATTAAACTAGATTGGTTACGTAATTTGTGGTACCAACCATAATGTTTACATAATTAGCGTCAACCTGTTTAAAAATGCATATATGTAAAAAATACCTTTATCAATTATACGAATATTCGATTACATCTAGTCGAGAAATATGTGCAGTAGAAAATTACATAGTAACATACCACAGAACCTTGAGTGTTGACACGAATAAGATCATTGCATATCATCATGACTTTTGCTTCAAATGCCATCCATAATCTCCATTGTCTTTGTCAAAACTAACGTGTCAAGCAGTAACCTAACGTTTTGTTGCTCGGTAAAAGCTACCACCGGTTGACTCAATGAGCCCAGACGAGATGAACAAGCAAGAAACTTTTTTAAGGGATAACTTGTCAAGGTATCATGAGATGTTACGTATATACCGCCGGGCCATGAACATTTGCCACGCTCGAGCGATTGCAGGTACCTTGCCAACCATTAAAAAGCGGGCCCCGGTTATCTCCCTCAATATAATGAACTCGAAACTAAAACACTTCCATTTCACGCTAGGCTTCTTTATGCGGTACTTCCCCGGACGAGCCTGCCCATTCGTGCAACAGTAAAAGCTGCCATATGGTCCTAACAGAGTGGCGGTGGATGCGGTGTTGCTTCTATTTCATTCAGTTACTATAAAAGTTTTTACAAAACAATATAAGAATAAAATCGGGGACATAGAAGGAGAGATGTCCAAAGTCTTGGTCTTCCTTAGTTCGGTCTTACTTAAAAACAATGGAAGTATCAGGCTTTCGGAACGGCAATAACAATCCTCTGTTAACAATCTTTATAACCCTGCACGAGTTGCGGCAAACAATAGCTATAAACCCTTTTCGTTGGCTGTGTACCCGACTCTTATTTATTCAATGAACTCTGGTTTATTGGAACAAAATTCAGCACCAAACACATTGTTATAGACATAAAATGGGCTTTTTAGCGACGGATAGGTGTAACTGTAGTGAAGGCTAGAAAATCAAAAACGAAAATGCGTATAAGTTAAACTTCCATTCGTTTCAACTGAAATCAAATTTCCATATTATTGCAATCCTAACCGAACACTTCTGCACTACGCAAGAGATCAGCCAACGCAATTTCACCTAGTTTATTTTAACGAGCCATAAGCTAATCAGTTTATTTAAAAAGCTGTCAAAATTATGTTTTTTTCCAATTGAAAAAATTTTAACTCTATGAAATTCAAATTCAACCCGCTTATTTCCCTATACGTATATCAAAATAAACTGTTAAATATTTCCGGGTAAAAAATTACATTTCATGTCCACCTTGACTATATTATATATCCTGGTAGTTTATTTAACAATTTATAGAAATTTAATTATTTAACAATTTATAGAAATTTAAATTGTTTATAGTGCTAATCTTTGCACTTAAGATTAAACATTAAAATATGTAGAAAAAGTGCGAAAAGATTGTCGCCGCTGTGGGAATCGAACCCACGTCTTCGGCATTCGCAGCCGTTTAGCTCAGTGGCTAGAGCGTCAGGCCGCGAATGCCGAAGACGTGGGTTCGATTCCCACAGCGGCGACAATCTTTTCGCACTTTTTCTACATACTTTAATAACAATTTATAGTTACGCTGTTGGCATGGCATCTTATAAAGTAGCAATGTGCACACGCCGCGATAGCGAGAGCTGCATTCTTTGAATTACAATGATGTACAAATGTTCATTCTCCATCCAACTACATACAACGTTTACGTGACCAAAATTAAATTTCTCGTGTAAGATGCAACTCTGGTTGAATTCACAAGAGACTGTAGTCATCACCAAACTTTTGTCTAAAATCTTCTTTAAATGTCACTTAATATGTCATACCTATTTAGTTTTAGAAAAAAATGAAAAAGCCCAATTTTATAAAGAGCATACATATAATTAAATTTAAACAGTTGAGAACGAATCATTAATTTTTAGAGTTATTTAGGTTCCTGGACTTAGAAACATTAAACCGGTCTGTGGCGAAGCTTCGTCTGCTCAAAGTAATTTTAGAGGCCTGTTGGGGTAACTCAGTTCTTTCGAATATTCTCCTAAAGAACTTTATGTTAAGAGGATATATATATATTTACTCTAAACAGAATCCGCCTTCAGAAGAAGATAGCAGTTTAGCTCTTTTTGAGGGAAAATAGTTATTTATTAATTACGAATAAAAAGTCCCCCAATCCATTATCGAACATTAAAAGAATTACAACTTGAAATATTCAAATATTTATTACACTTTCAAATTACCAACAATATAAGAAGCATTCGTAACGAATTATTTCTGTGATGGAAGACTAATATAGACTACGAATTACATAACTAGAGACTAGTGATGTCACCGGTCTTTTGTCATTGGTCGCAGTCACGCCCCAGTAGAGGTTGCGACTCTCGGATCAAAGACCCTTCATTAAATTCAACTGCTGGGAATGTCATGTTCCGTTACTTTACACCGTCGTAAATCTCTTTCACATTCTAAATTGCTATTAACGGAACAGGATATAAAACTGCAAGGTTTTTAAATAACTGCTTGTGATTAAAAGTAGATTAATGACCCTCAAACCTTCGAGGATGTTATGTAAATAAACATGTGATTTTTCATATATTTGATGTATAGAGCCAAGTGGCGTATAAAGTTTTTCTGATATTTATTTTGGATCATGGCATGGTCGTTCGACGCTAATGTGTAAATGAAAATATAATTTATATGTACTACTTATATCCAATTTTACAGCAAGCGAACAAGAAAAAAACATTAACTAGGTACAATGTATTGTATCCATAAACAGTACATTTCCTACGCAGTATATACATACAATATTTCCACTGCGACATCTAATACTTATCTGATAACTTCTAGGAGATATAATAGTTGTATCATCCAATAAAACTTTTAATCGTTAGTCATTCGTAACTTATATACTTCACACAATTTAAATTTCATGTTCATCCCTATTGATCGTCCTAAGACATCATGGAAAAGTATTGTTTCACATTTAAAGCGATGGTGATAGATAACGTAATATATTTAAACATTTATTATCTGTACCGTAAGCGACACTTATAATCTATATCAATAATATATTTATTTAATACTTTATTCTGCTATTCAAATATTGTCCTACTAAAATTAATAATTCCAGTGGGAAATCGTATTTAAAACAAAACAATGACGTAATACGATTGCACGGAAAAAGATATACCTATTAGCCTTAATATAAACCAGTCATGAATTCAAGACCACTTTAATGTGCTATACACGGACACACGTCCTTGATCACAAGCGGTGATATTATTTACTTATTACAAAAAAATGTCACCACATCAACCTTTGGCTCTCAAGCTGAAAGTGACAAGGTTATTTTTCCTCTCTCTGACATAAACAATATGTTATTCTAACCTAGCCTTTATTTATATTGTTTTTAATAGGCCCAGCATATATCACCGGCGCTTGAGAAGCGAATATTTGAAGTTGGCCGAGAGCGAGAACCAGTTGCACAGCACCACTCAGACAGGACTAACGGTAGATAGAAATACAAACAACGAAGCGGGAGAAAGCGCGTAGGATCGGCCGGTGAAAGCAACGGCGTCACAGTGTTGCCGTGGCGTCGCGTCGGACGGACGACATAACCTCAAAAATGTTTGCGATAATAAGTCTCACAATAGTTACCGCCGCCGCTGCAGTCTACTGGTACCTAAATCGGCACAAACCCATCAAATACTTGCTTAGCGACTTCCGTTGCATGCTGGACATGCAAGGGGCTGGCGCCGGAGGATTAATCGACGACTGGGTGAACATTAGAAGGAACAAAGTCGTACTGCCGGACGCCAGCAAGAAAATCGCCGTCATAACGGGCGGTGCACGCGGCATCGGCACAGAAGTCATCAGGGGTCTCCTCAAAGCTAATGTAACTGTGATAATGGGCATACGGAAACCCGATGCCGCCAAGAACATGATGGAAACGATGGTAAACGGAAAAAATCTACATGCTTTCCCACTTGACCTACAATCAATGCAATCGGTCGAGGAATTTGCTAAATGTGTCAGTAATGAATTTCCCGAGATTAATATTCTAATAAACAATGCTGGAATTATGTACGGAGATTACAAGTTAACAATGGATGGGATAGAGTCACAATTCGCAGTAAATCATTTAAGTCACTTCTATTTGACACATTTACTATTGCCAGCATTAAAGAAAGCAGGCAAAGTGGAAGAGCCATCGAGAGTTGTTAATGTTTCATCCTGTGGTCACTTTCCTGGACAGATATTCTTTGAAGATGTAAATATGAAGGCACATTATGATACCACTGCAGCCTATGCCCAGTCAAAACTTGCACAGGTAATTTATTTCAAAATTGTGGTTCAAACTTCAAAAAAATGTTTCTGAATTATTAAACATTTAAATTATTTGCAATTTTTACAGGTTATGACAGCAAGATACCTGAATAAAGTTCTCGACAGCGAAGATGCAAATGTAAAGTTCTATTCGGTCCATCCGGGAATTGTTGACACAGACTTGTTTGAGCATACCAACTTTCACAATCTTCCGTGGTTAAAGAAAATATTCTTTAAGACACCAGAGAAAGGGGCCACTTCTATACTGTATGCTTGTTTCAACAAAGACATCGAAGAAAAAGGAGGTCTCTACATTAGTAATTGCGGCGAGGGTATTAGCAACAGTTTCTCAAAAAACACAAATCATCAGAAAAGACTGTTTGATATTTCTTGCGAATTAGCTGGTATTGAACCCGAAAAGTTTGGAAAACTTGAACTATAATATATTCTTATTTACAATGCCTTTTGGCAAAACAATGTTTTTTTAAAACTTGTGACTTGTTTTATATATTTATTGATCTATTTAATGTATTTTGATATTAAAATATAGTGTAAAATAAAGTTTTATTCCATTATCTTTACAATTATGACCTAAAGTCTACTAAACATTATATACCTACCTAAATACAAAATGTAAATGTACATGTTAAAAAAGAGAGTTATATATGCCTGTGTTGAGTAACACAGGCTGACATACACAGCACTCATTTATAACAATTAAAAATATAACACTAATTTTCAGTGATGTCTAATGATTAAGCAATTTTGATTTTGGTCACACCTTAGGGTAAGATTTTTGTAATAAAAATGTAGGTACTTGTTTTGTATGTTATTGTTGTGAGTGTTATGAATTTACAAGAAATTTTAAATGCCCTAAGACTAAATTTTACACTTGTTAAACCTAACCTGTGATGCTAGTTACAAAAGAAGATAGAAGTTACAAATAAAAGTCAGTTTATTAACACAGGAAATTGTATAATTGAATACATAAAAGTCATGAGTTTATACCTGTGATATGACACCACACAGATTTCGGAAAAGAACTGACTATATCACTTTCACTTTTTTAACACTCAATAGTTAACTACACAAAGAAATGAAAATGAGGTTTCTATATAAACTTACTATCAAAATAAGTTGTTTTTTTATTTATTTTGAAATCCTAAAAAAGACTACAATATCATTTTACTAAAACATTACCAAGTGGTGACCATCTACAACAGACATGCAAGCCTTTTTTCAAGAGGGAGATTTACCTTGCTTAGACAAGTAAAAATGCTATAAAATACTCACAGAGGTAAAATAATATAACAACATCTATCTGTCATAAAACCTATTTGTATAAAGGATGCTGTGTAAATTTTCATTTATATTTTAATTATTAATACAAAATAAAAGACAATGAATAGAAACAAACAATGAATTTTTACAATTAAATAAATACTTTATACTAAATAAAAATTGGTACCCGTACTAAAACACCTACAATCCATTAAAGCACCGGTCATTTAAACTTTTTTTGATATTAGAAAAATTATAGATAGGCATACCTGCTAAAAAATCCAGACAGCCCTTTCTTCTTTAGCTTACTGGCCTCCTGATCATTATTCACGTCACCCACTATGTCTTCCTTAGAGGCACTTGACCCTATGGAACATTCAGATAAGCTGGACACTGTACTTGAGAATGAACCACCGTCCTTCCCTCGCTGATGACCACTTAAACCACCACCCCATTGTAATGTACTCTTTGGGGAGTCACTTGTATCACTCTTTTCGCATGTTGAGATTGAATAGTTTCCCTCATCACTAAAACTACTCTTTTTCGATAATTTATCCACTTCATCACTAGTTTCGACAGGCTTCACTACCCTGGGACTAACGAAGTGTAGCTGCTTCGTTATAGGGTTATACGCGAGTTGGATATTGTCCAGGGCTTCGCTGAGGCGCATCCCGCCTTTGGAGCATGGCGTCGTCGACATAATGCCAAGTCGAGAACCGAAATAAGTTCACAAATTATATCCATTTCGCTTTTAATGTCGAGGTAAACATCATCAATGATCAGTAATTATCTACTTAGCACTAATTGCAATCAGCGTTTAGATTTATACATCAAAAAAACAACGCTGAACGTAAATATTTGATTGCAATACTACGATTTATATGACGCCCTTCAAGGCTATTGAGTTGTACATACTGGTTTATAAATAAGATTAACTAATTCACAACATCTTATTCTACTTACAAGACTAACACTACTCCTTATTTAATTAATTAGTAAATCATCCTAACTATTAAACAAAGCACACCCAACCACCTTCTTCTAGCGACTGTAAATAAATTGACATTTGCTTGGGACGGGGCCGTAATATTGTTAGGTATGTACTTATGTAGAATGAAAAAATATGAAACTAAAATGAGGGCGCAATACAATTACTATGTTTGCTTGTAAAGGACTATACATTTTCATTTAGTTGGATTATCGCCTTGACACTTTCACGAGTGAAGCTGTCAAAAATTTAATCAAATCTTTTATTAAAATAAGATTTATAAATAAATAAAATAAAAGTTTATTGAAAAATTCGTATATAGGTCCTAAATTATATTATTTGTATTAAACTATGTTAACAATATTTAAACTAATATTGATTAAATATCGTGCAAAAACTAAACGTCATAATGTTACCAGTTATAGAATTCTTCCTATAAATGTGGACGTTTAAAATTTTTTCGTAAGCATGGAACAAAATGAAACAATCTTAAGTAGATTGAAGCATATTGAAATGGTGTTTATACTACACATATTCAGGAGAAGTTAAAGTGTTATTCATCACAACCCGAGAGTGATCAAAATAGATCGGGTTCTTTCGAGTTCTTCCTTCTCAGTATAACAAAAGAAAAATATCTAAAATTTTTTAATCTTGGTTCTTTGTTAGTGAAAAAGTCTTTAATGTAATTGATAAGGGTTTAAATAAATAACTTGGAATTTACTCCACCACGGCTGGTAACCTGGTTTTTTTCTCGCTCAAATGTTAAGCATAACTATTCGGCGAGGAAATGCAGCTAGTGTTCTTGGCACCATGCTGCATGGATAAGTTTTTTTTTAGATAATATGTAATTTTAGATAGATTTAATCTTGTAAATATTAGATAAATAAAGATTGTATATACTTTAAAGTAAAAAAAAACTTGGAATTAGAGGTCAATGTCAAAAAGTTGTTATTGGTTCTATGGTAATACTGTGAAGTTGGTCCTTTCTCAACCAACTTCATCATGTCAGTGTGATCAGTGTCGTTGTGGGCGCGGATCGTAAAAATTAAACCCTCATAATTTTTTCCAAATGCGCCTAAAGAGGTATAACTTCAAAAATGTAATAGAGAATAACTTTTAACAAATATGGCGATGACGACAGGGATGAAACTAAAAAAGTGTTATAACACATAACCGTACATACTATGTACAAGAAAAAAAGTTAGAAAGAGAATATTGGACACTGTAAAAGGATCTAAATTGTCGAGAAAATTTTTCAAAAATAAAAAGAAGCAAAATCAAAATGTCTTAATGGTTCCGATGCGCAATGCATGCTGCGCGGTAGTTTACTTACCTACCGCGCAGCCAGCGCCTACTTACACTCTCAGACACATACAGACATGCACCAACACATTCTGCCACACACATAAAACATTCTTTCCGAGAATACTTACCGGATACGGCCCGTGTCTGTCAATACTGAGTGCCTGCGCGGTCGTGTCAACTGTTAAGGTTGATGTGAATATGTTCATACATTTTAAATAAAATATTATTTTATCTGGTATGGCACGTTGTCGGTAGATATAAACGGACCTTTATTCCTGCAGCGGGAGCTGTTTTTTACACTGGTGTTGCTACACAGTAAGTTGTACCATATATTAAACTAGCTGTTGCCCGCGACTACATCTGCGTAGAATGGGCTGAAGGCGTAACATTCAGACAGAAAGACATTATACACATAAACATATGTGTATAAATTATAGCTTATGTATTATTCTGATGTATAAGCTATATTATTGTAGTTTCATTATAATCCATTCAGTAGTATTTGCGTAAAGAGTAACAAACATCCATCCATACATAATAACTTTCGCCTTTATAATATTAGTAAGGATTAAGTCAATCGAGTATGTAGGTGTATAAATAAAAATGAATATCGTAATCAAAATAATTTATTTTGGTATATATTACGTTGCAAACATTCGTTTTTATGGTCACTCAAGGAATACTTGGCCTTTGGATAAGGCCTTTAATATAATACTAACTAAAGTTACAATATAAAAATAGTTCCACTAAATTATAGGTTATTTACAATTAAATATGTTTACGCACAAAGGTAACAAAACAATTAAAAAAATAGCAAAATCCGGTCATACCTTTTAGTTTATACGCAATGTACAAAAGCTTTTAATAAATAACAATATTAGAGTGGGGTATGTCTTTAACTCGTCGACTCTGTGGAGATTTTGTCTTGCAGCTCGGGGAACAGTTCCAAGATGCAGAGATCCAATAGGCTGTACACCAGCTGCAAAAATGAGAGAAATCATTCGTCCATCAAATAAGCAATGATGAAAGTCAAACAAGCCTAAAAGCGTCCATTGTGATTCAAGCAAGTTGGACAGTGTCGCAGAAGTCAAGAGTGGTCGGTAGAGGTCGACTTGTGGTACGTTTATTTATTTGATACTAGTTTTGCGCCCGCGGCTTCGCTAGCGTTGAAATATCGCTAGCCTTAAATAAATAACTTTCTTTTAAAAAAATCCAATAAAAAATTGCCTATGTCCTTTCTCAGGGTCTAGACTATCTGTGTACCAAATTTCATTTAAATCAGTTAAATAGTTCTCGCTTTCACGAGACAGACAGAGTTACTTTCGCATTTATAATATTAGTATGGATTGTAGCAAGCTATAATTTCTGTTATTACTTGTATTGGCTTGCCATTTATACTGAATACAATACTGTTACTTCATTAAATTGTTTGGTCATTAAATAAAATATTCTGTTTTCTTGATTTTACGCGAATATTATACATATTAAATGAAACTAGTTTACGGATTTTATCGCGTTTTTTATTTTGATTTTGACTGACAGACAGTCTGTCCCGTGACCATGAACGCTGGAAAGGGTTCGAAACGTCGGGAGTTTATAAGTTAATTTAATATAAAATAGTCTGGGTAAGAATCACAACCGGATTTTTCCGGCCAAGCTTCACAGTCCCCGGGCCGAAATCGAGTCGGCCGAAATGAGTTTATGCTGTTGTAGGGCCACGCAACAGTTCGTTCCACTGTTGTGGAAGCATTACACTTGAGCGTTTCGCCTGGTGAGTGAGGTAGCCGGGGCCCACTTACTTGAAAGGTGGCAACGCATCTGCTACCTTGTCGAAACTACCTGGTTATCACGGGACATCGCGTAAACTGCCAGCTCGCTTACCACCTTCTAACATGAAAAAAGCTTGCTCGGTGGCGACCTGTTTGTTGAGGCTGGGGCTCTGCAGCGCGTCGAAGGCCTGCAGCAGGGCGCTGCGGAGGCCGAAGAGGTGCGCGTACGAGCCCCCCGCTGCGGAGAGGCAGCGGCGTGCCTCCTCCCGCATGTGAACCTCCGCCGCCTCTGTACGGGCGATATGCGCCCGTTTCCCGAACAGCATACCTAGAAATCCCATGTATTTTACAATTCTTGCAGATTCAATAAAAGTGGTAGGACGACGCAACAGTCTTCACTTTTGTATGAATTCGCAGGTCCGTTAGTTAAGTACCATACTAGCTGCTGCCCGCGACTACGTCTGCGTAGAATAGGCTGAAGGCGTAACATTCAGACAGAAAGACAGATAAATTATAACAGATATGTATAAAAATTATAGACTATGTCTTATTATGATGTATAAGCTATATTATTGTAAAGTTTCATTAAAATCCGTTCAGTAGTATTTGCGTCAAAGAGTAATATATCTATATAGGTATGTCTGTGTAGTGTAAGGTTAAACTGTGAGGAATAAAACATCATAGGTTTAGTGTGTTCTGTTTTTTTTTAATAATTTCCACTTCTGGTCCCTTAAGAGTATATACACGATGCATTCGCACTTACCGTGTCCCAGACGTATTAAATGCGCTAGCCGTCGCTCGGGGAGTAAATTGGCCAGTTTCCCGTTGAGATACGCGTTGAAGGCCCTGTCGATCAAAGAGCGCGACGTGGCCAAAAGGCCCCCCGCTATGCCGCAGACGAAACCGGGCGCTTTCACTACCTTCACCACTGGAAGGAAACTGCGACTTCACACATGCCTTCGAAATAAACCCTTTTTTGTTTTTTTTTAACATTATTTCGAAAAAATGCCGCTAATAAATTTCCTCGCCTTTTTGAGTCCACTGCTGAACATAGGCCTCCCCCATAGACCGCCACGAAGTAAAAAAGTTGTATAGCGTAACACTTTTTTAAAAAGCGATTCAATTTCATCATAGCAGACAGACTTACACAGATACATGAGGCACTGGGAGAATCCAGCGACGGCGGTCTGCTGAGTGTTGTGTCTCCGAAGGGGCAGGGCCGAGCAGTCGGGCTCCCCAAAGTTGTCTCCGAACAGGGCTCCGCGGGGCTCCCTTGGCGCCTCGGCCGCCCTCTTGGGGGCTGCGCCCTCGTCGGCCTCTTGCGCCTCCTCCACGTCACGCGCGCCCTGTTTACTGAAATTGGCGTCATCTATCAAACTCTAATAAACTCTATCGCCAACTAATAAAAAGGCTATGAACATTAAACTGACACTCCCTAACCGACGGAGAATAGAGTGAAAGACGAGATTAATTATACGAGATAATTTTTTTTAAAAATATCGTGTAAAATTTTATTAATGGCAACACTTACAGGGCCTGGTACCGTTCCTTGTCCGTCGACACGAGAAAGTTTCTCATGAAACTCTCCAGGTGCTGACCCTTCTCCTTTTTCAGTTTATGCGCGACTGAGTGGTAGATGTTCCCCAGGTCTGTGCTGTTCGCGTTGAGGGTTGAGGCCTGCACCACCATGGAGAAGTCGCTGTCCACCGTGAGGAATAAGTAGAGCAGCTCGCTCGTCTGCAGCAGCGGCTTCTGCAGAAGCCTCTGAAGGAAGTCCTCGTACTTATATCGGAGCGTTTCCAACGGGCTATTGTCCCTGGAATTAGGGATACTAGTGTAAAAAATTTCAATTAATTGCCAAAGTTACAACTGGAAACAAAATAACAGAAATTTTAAACATTCTAATTTTATTATTTGGACTTGGGCCAGTACCTAATCGGAACATTTTTAAAATATGAAGCTTTCAAAAACAATAAAAAAATTGTTTTAAAAACTTCATTCTGTCATCTAAAATGTCTTTACAGACAGTGTGACGAGGAGTGATTGAAGAAATCCCTGGACCAAAGGAAAGGTTTACTGCATTACAAAATATATAGCTTTTGTTATTTTATTTGTATGTTCCATAACGAACATAACACGTATTTAATAACTGAAGTATATTTATGTAGGTTTCGCTTTGTTTGGGACTAGATGGGGGTATTTAGCAAAGGGGTCGTCCATTGATCACGTGATGATGGTATCACAAATGGGGTGTGTGTGAGGCAAGTGAGGTTTAAGACTTACGCCCTCTACCCCAACCAAAATCACGTGTATAGTACAGAAGGTCCTAAAAATTATCGTTCAGTACAAGAAAATTCCTGCGGGGAAATAGTCCTTCGATTTCGTTGAACCTCCCTCCCTCCCCCCCTGCCCCACAGAGTCTCACACGATTAACGAACGATTCCGAACGCGGTTGGGTGTAGACCGAACACGTCTAATCGTTACAAGCACTTCCTATCACTTTATGTTTTCAATAACCCCGTCTAGCGGCCACACGATCAACGGCCGATCCCAAAGCGGGCGGGTGTGGTCCTCACGTACCTCCTCGACGGCAGCTTCGGGCTCGCTGACCCTCCCCCTCGTTCGACGGCCGATCCCAAAGCGTGCGGGAACGGTGGACCTCGCAGACCTGGGCGGGTGTGGGCCTCACGTACCTCCTTGACGGCAGCTTCGGGCTCGCTGACCCTCCCCCTAGTTCGACGGCCGATCCTAAAGCGTGCGGGACCGGTGGACCTCGCAGACCTGGGCGGGTGTGGGCCTCACGTACCTCCTCGACGGCAGCTTCGGGCTCGCTGACCCTCCCCCTCGTTCGACGGCCGATCCCAAAGCGTGCGGGAACGGTGGACCTCGCAGAGCTGGGCGGGCGTGGGCCTCACGTACCTCCTGGAGGGCAGCGCGAGGTCCCCGAGCGCGTCGCCGTGGAACTCCCTGAGCTTGGCGCGCAGCAGGTGGAAGTCGTGCTCGCTGCGCTCGGCGGCCCACAGGGCGGCGGCGGGCCGCGCGCGGTGCACCGCCAGGGTGAACACGCGCACCGTGCCGCGCCGCGGCGCCGCTTGCTGCCCGACACACGCACTTTTATAGCGGCCAAGACGGGACCCTATCGCTGAGCCCTTTCATAACGGTCCCGTACCAAGACGGGACCCTATCGCTAAGGCACGCCCCTTTATAACGGTCCCGTAAGGACCCGGGACCCTATAGCTAAGTCTCCGCTGTCCGTCTGTCCGTCGGTCACCGGGCTGTGTCTCACGAACCGTGATAGTTACACAGTTAAAATGTTAATGGTACGGAATCCTTCGGGCCCGACTAGCGCTTGGCCGGTTTTTCTTTATTTCCCGCCTCTTATAAAAAAAATTAAGTATCAGTCTATACTTGTCCCACTGCTGGGCAAAGACCTCCTTTATACAGAGGGTATCAAGGTATAGTCCACCACGCGGCCCCACTATGGATTGGCGGACTTCACATATCTTCGAATCTTTTCTTTGTTATTGTTTCGAAAATATGCAGGTTTCCTAAAGATATTTTCCTTCGCCGCAGGGCACGTGATAATTCGGCACTTAAAATTAACAATTTCATTGGTGCCGCCACCGGCGATCGAACTCAGGTTGCTCGAGTATATTGTTTATCAAAGGCGAGCACCCGGACACTGAACTATCACGACTGTCTCTCCCGCCTCTTATAAATAAAGACCAATCACAATTTTCAACAACACTGTAGGCGACGCGTTAAAATTTTAATTTATATAATTAAGTTTTATGTTATATTTTATGTTAATCTAGTTTAATAATTTTATGTTTTTTGTTTATAACGTAATGTGTAATTTTGTATTTTCATTTCCCTTTTATATGGCAACTGAGAGCGGGCGCGCGAACGTTACTTTTTGAATTTAAAATAAATACGGGTACTGTCTGTCATAGCTGCTTCTTCTTTTCCCGTACGCGCGCTCTGCTAACGTTCACTGTGCCCACGTAATTATCCTGAGTTATAAATTGTATTTGTACTTTGTTGCAAATAAAGAACCGTTAACCTCAGTGCATCGAATTTGACTGCGAAACTCCCTTACAACCTTCATAACCATCTCTAGTCTTTCCGGCTTTCCTTCCTGAGGCGCGCTGACTAAACCCTTCTTTGCCTTTTGAAAGCTGTTATCCAAATCGACGTATTTTACTTCTAATACGAGTCGGTTGGCGCAGTTGCAAAGCCAAATGACAAATGGCCAATACAATATTACAATAGTTCCAAATTTAAATGTTCGTAATTGTATCAATTCTGATCGCAACTCCCCTAAATAACTATAACAATCCACATCAACTTGTAAGTTATTACTCGTCAAAATACAACTTGTTCACCCACGACCTCACAGAAGACCAACGTGAAATGCAAGTGTTATATTTCCGCGTTTTGTCTGGTGAGCGAGGTAAACCCCTTAATGTGGCAACGCATCTCCAAACCTACGGGTGTAAGAGATATCCATCGGCGGTGACTATCGCTTGTCAGCTTAACACTTTATTGTAAGGTGGAAATGTCAAAGGGCGGCGACTATCCCTTGAAATCAAGTTAACCGTCAGCTCCCTGGCCACTTTCTCACATATGCCCGGTTCCTATATTCAACGAACGGCCGTTAGTTACATAGTCATTATGAAGTCTTTACAACGGGTCGTTACGGAAGTCGCAAAGTTATGTAACCAACGGCCGTTCGTTGAATATAGCAACCGGGCGATAAAAAAGAGCCGAACTCACCAGCCGCGTCTCCACGTTGGTGAGCACCACCTTGTAGTTGGCCAGGTCCTGCTCGCCGGCCGCCTCCTCCGCCGCTATGGAGTCCAGGTACCTGAGGATGTCCACGTTGCCCTCGCCTTCCGGCAGCTCGGCGCCTGCGCAGTCCAGGAGCTGGCCGTCCGCCGCCTGCGCCCTCAGCGCGCCCCTCAAGCGGCCGAGCCTCGACGCCGCGTTCACCACTTTCTCCTGCGATCTGAGAGTGGTACATAGATAAATCAATAAAATACTTTGGACACATTTTTACACTCTCTAGTCCCAAACTAAGCGCGCCCGTACTATGGGTACTAGAAAACTGATAGACATACTTAAACACACTTTTCTTTTGTAAATAAATACATTTATACATATATAAACACCCAGACACTGGAAAAGTGTTATGGTCATCACACAATATTTTTCGAGGAGATCGAAGCCACACCCTCTGGCATGAGACGCACATTCACTAATCCCAACGCCAATCGGATGGCCAAAAAAATCGTTTAGTTTGCTTAAATTATTATTATTATTTTTTATTTGAACCTTTGCTAAAATTTTTCAAATGTTCGTTGTAAAAATTGAATTTGAAAAAGTGCATTACTTTTTCTTGATAAAATACGTTGAAGTTTTTCGTCGATGTGGCAAATAGCCATTTAGTTTAGTGGCTAAAGCGTCTGGACACGTAATCTTGAAGCCACGGGTTCGAATCCTGACGGCGGCAAAATATTTTACGACAGTTTTATTGACACATTTTTAAACTGATCTTGTAGCAAAAATTGCATTCAAAGGCAATTTATTAAAAAAAACCATTATCCGCCGCACTAACTAATATCACTAAATAAAATAATTAATATCAATTTGCAATTAAATAAGATTAAATGGACACGCGCTAACCTTTTCGCCATCTGTTTGTGATATCCGGTGGGCACTCTTGATCCAATCATTAGTTTATAAAACTGTAACAAACATATTCAACAATCATATTTCTGGAAACTAAAAATATTAGTTATCTGTACACACCCTTAAACATCATTATTTTATTAATGCCACTTTGGTGATTGTTAAAACTAAACCACTATATTGGTACACAATCCAAGGAATTCGTTTCTTATTCTTGAGCTTCAACTTTAGGAATTTATTAAGTACATTCTTAACAATGGAATTTCTCTTAATTAATTAATATAATTTAAATTAATTCAAATTTTAAATCAAATCTATATATATAACATAAATAAGTATAAAAACTAACTATCTATGTTTTTCCGATGTATTGTGTCATTTGTCCGAGCTCATAATGAAATAAAATTGTAAGTGGACAAACCTCCTCGCTGTGCAGGAACCTGGGCAGCATGACCTTCTCTAGAGCGGCGTGCGATTGCCTTGCAGCCTGGTATAGGGCCCGGCTAGTTTGTAACCTGAAAATTCAACAAATAAAATTTCACTTAAATTACCCAAAACATTGAAACTATCAAATTTAAAGAGCTTAAATTAATAGCTTTGTTTAGTATGTTTAGGGTGATGAACTTTATTAATTCATGCAATGAACTATTAACCGTCAAATGGCTTCTCACATGCATTTGAGTTAAAGGATGGTTTTAATTGATCGGAATAATCAGAAACATTGCCAAAATATAAGTACCGGTACCATTTTAAAAAACCACCGATCTGAGAAGAACCGGGCGAAAAGAATGGCGGTTCAATTTTCTTTTTGCCATTATTTGAGAAAGAAACATGTTTACATTAAAGTCTACTTGACAGAGCCTGGAGCGATTACGTTACACTGCCTTTTTTCATTTGGGGCCGTTCAAACAAAGAGCAGTGCAGTGTTACCAACTGTTCAAAAAAAATACTCCTTAAGCAATTCAAAAGCCCATTTAAAATTCATACCAAAACATCCTAAATGAGACACATTTTGAAAGTATTGGTTTGAATTTACCTCCTAAAAAATTGTTTTTTATAAATTTAGGAAGAGTATCCCTAAGTTGGCATCCGTGGAACAGTGGTGGCCGCTAGTCTGCAGCGATTACGTTTCCCAGTCTTTTCCATTTGGGGCCATTGAAGGGGAGAACAGTGGTGGGCACCTGTGCTCGTCCGCGGCGTCCAGGTCCTCGTTCAGCTCGGCCAGCAGCCGGCGGCTGAGGTGGCTGGCCAGTGGCCCTAAGAGGGTACAGCTCCCCTGCAGCCTCCTGGCGCCACTCGCCACGCACTCCCGCTCGGAAGGGCTCAAGTCGGGCTTCAGGAGGCTCATCTGGAACGACTCTGAAAATGAACGCCGCTTTATGAGACAATTGAGTCCAGGGCACAGGCACCGCTGTGAAATCCATGTCTCAATCGCAGCTCCAAACTTAGCAACTCTTGTACTATGGCTACTAGATAATTGATAAATGTACTTAAACAATGTACAGCGTCTCGTTACCATCACGACAATAAATGAACACACATCTAATGCTACTTGCCAATAATCATAAAAAATATTAACGTTAAAAAAATCCATAAAAAAGAATATTTTTGAAACAAAATAATTAAGTAAAAAAGAAACAAAATTTATAAATCCTATAAAACTACAACTGATTGATTCATACATTCAGAGACTTTTCATTCATTGCCACAGTGTCACATTACAAGCCGCTCCTTCTAACAGTATGTTTGTCTCTTTTGAATTCATTGAACCCATTCATTTGCTTTGTGACCTTTACAAATGAACTTTACGTTACAGTTTTATACGTAAGGGTGTTTAATACAATTTTAAAAAGTTATACTCTATATGTGTTCATTTATTGTCACTTGTGTATTTTACTTGTATAGCTTAAATGTCGAGTCCACTGCTGCATATACACTACATAACATAGACCAATAGACTGCCATCTAGCACGATCCTGAGCATCAATCAACTTCCCGCACATTTGCACAGGTTGTCACTCCATTTTCAGTAAAGTTTCCAGTTAAAAATCTTTAACAAATTTTTTTTACTAATAATTTATTTCTGAATGTTTACACTTAAACAATTTAACAGTGATACAGACAACAGGTGAGGCCTACTTATGTCTTTGTAGAACTGCAGCAACTCCAGGTGGCTGGTGGACTTCATGTACTGCATGAAGGCATAGAAGTGCTCCTGCTCGTTGATGACCAGGTCCAGGTCCACGCGCAGCAGTCGGCAGCGCTCCGTGTACACTGATTCCGTCTGACGCGCGAACGTCTCCAAGAACTCCACCTGGAAATGCCATAACAGAACCTGAATAGAACAACTGCATTAATCCAGAGTATCGATCAAATAGCTTTGAGCATTGCCCTCACAGTGGTCTCTCTATGATAGTGCCTTTTGTGGATTATTTGATTTTTATCAGTCTATCTAAAAATAATGATAGGCTCTAGATTATTTAAAACTTCATCTGTCATATAACTTGCAAAATTACTTGTTAAATTAAACTATTACGAAACGATTTTATGGCGGTTAATAGATTTTAAAATTCTCTACATTTCGAACTTTTTCCAGTGTTCATGATCGCATGTAACATGTACATTTAACAATGTTTAATATTCGCGTAAAACTTAATTTTTTATTTTTTATTTATATTTAGTAACAAATAGTTTAATTTTTAAACATTTGTTTGAGTACATAAAAAATTTATAAACTACATACTCTTGAGAGGAATCCTGTAATAATATATTCTATAAGCTTTTGGAAGAATTTTTTTTATTATAAAGAATCCTATGTCCTTTTTAATAACTCTAAGAATATGTCTACAAAGTTTCATGATAATCTGTTGAGTTTTGGCGTGAAAACATAACAATAAAACTTACTGTCACATTTAAAGTAGGGAATTAGGGATTGTTACCTTGTAATTAGGTGTGGCCGGAAGTTGTGCCATCTTTTCATCACTGGTGGCCAGTACTATCAGCGTGTTCAAGATATAGGGATCCGCCAACACATCGGTCAGCGACAGGAGCACCCAGCCAGCAAACACTTCCCTTATGAGGACTCGGAAAATTCTGCAAGTCATAAAAAAATTATTATATAATTTCCCACCCCATTAAGATTCAACAGTTATGCTTGAATAATGTAATAGTCCTAGTTTGCGGCGTGAGGAAATCGGTCACATTGCTCAGTGATTACAGTGGTTGGGCGCGTTCCCGGAAAGACTCAAATTCGAATCAAGGAATCAAAAAAGTCACATTTTAAGTTTCATCTGTAGTAAAGTATTGAAAAAAAGTCCTCATCATTTACTCCTAACCTATTGTAATCAATAAATATCTCTTGAATTGAGCTGGCTTCTTAAGTAAAAACCCCGAAAACCAAATAATGCAAGTTGAGGTAGATTCAGATGACTCTATGGCGCAATTGCTGAAGTATTCTGCGAGTCAAAGTTTTGATTCCCATATGAGACAACTATTTGTGTGACCCACAGATTTGTCTTTGATTAAATTTTTGTCCACGTAAAATTTATTTATGAAAAAACATCCTTAAAATACTGTTATCCTACATTAAGGGGACAATTTTTTCAAAAGGAAACTACAATAATGTTCTAGTTCACATTGGATGGTTTCCACACAAAATACAAATACAAGTTGCAAATTCCTTATTAATATTATTTAACAGTTTGCTTTACTATGAATGTGGCTAAGCATCAGAACAGAAGCCAAAAGGATAAAATACTTACGGATTATTAGTTTCATTGGGTTGGAGTAGCAACGGTTGTAAGACATCTGCAAGACATCGTAAATATTTCAATTCGGCTCCCCGGCTACACACGGCCACATGTAAGCCTGGCCTTTCACCGCTAGACACAACAGCATAGTGGCGTAATGCACAAGGCACTAAACGCTCATTAATAAGTCTAGCATAGTCTACCTGCAGATAGAGTCATTGATAAAATAAAACTGTACAATCAACATTTCAAACGATGAATGCATGAACAAATAATCTTCATTGCACAAACCATGGTAAAAAAATACATTAAAAATTAAAATTACCACCCGTGCAATGCCAGGGTGGATCGCTATCGCTGGTATAATATAAGAAGCTTTGATTTTAATCTATAGTTACCTTTAAAGCTCGCAGCAACAAACTTGCTGAGGCATATCTAAGTTGATACCTCAACTCATCAACAAAGAATGGCCGAGGTGTAATCTTACTGTACCATGAGTTGATGAAATGGTCTAATATTGTATTATAAAACTGGAAGAAGTAAAACAGGTAACATGTTATTAAAAATGTTTCAATTATTATAATTTTTAATAATGTGAAGTGATCAAAATTATTATACCAATAATATGGTACAACTTTCCATTGACGAGGTGATTTGACGGGAGGGATTAACCTCCTTAATAGAAAGAGTTGTAGAGCCCCCCTTTTCAAGTTTTTTTAATACCAAGGGAATTTTCCTCACTTTATGATTAATTTCAGTCAAGTTTAAAAATAAGAAAATAAATAATTCTCATGTAAAAAAAAGCTAAAATAAAATAATATAAATAAATAAAGTAAAACAAATGGGGAACCCCTTGGAAAGGGGTCAAGTAAATTAAATGTATCAAGTAAAAGGGCTATCAAGTAAATTTAATGTATGAAATAATCAAGGGTAAATGTACAGGACATTGATGGATGCATAATGCAATTAAAATAAATTTTAAACAATAGAGAAAATTCACAAATTAATTAATCAAGAAGCAGAATTCTCCGGTCACTTATAGTTTACACATGGCTTATAGTTACGGTCGCTTATAGTTTTCACAGAAATCTGCCATTTTGTTGTTGTTTCACAGAAATCTGCCAATATGTTAATTCTGCTCTTATTTCTGGGTGGTCAATGTCCTGAATATTTGCCTGATCAAGTAATAAATGTGAAAAAATATTTTATATCTCATTATGAAGAAGTAAAACAGTATTAAATTTAATTTTCTTACATCTTCTATAGCTTGATCCAACTGTTTATGTATTTGTAAACCACTCCAAGGCTCTGGAGCAATTTCGGGATTATGTCGCGTACAATTAATGTATCCACAAGTCTCACAACCCTATAAAGAAAACAATCTCTTGTAGGCCTTTCAAATTGGTTATGAAGTACTATAAGACTGTGAGAATAGAAAAATGAGGACACCATACCATATCCGTAAAACGTTAAGGTATAAAAAAAAATAAGGAAACAAAAGCAGTTAATCAACTTACGACGTCAGGAGGTTCTTCGTCTTCCATTTGTTCCGGTTTTCTGACAATATGGCACGTCAATTGCTTCACATAATTGCAAAAAATACTTGAAGTTAACGTGTAATAACAAGCCAAACATCCCAACACATAACTTACTACAATTGTAATCAAGTGAAATCTAAAACAAAACAATGTAGGTTAAGGAAATAAATTTAAAATAAAATATAAACCAAAAACTGGCAATTTCTTTCGAGAGCAAAACCTGTAGAAATATAGCACACCCAGTAGAACACCACAAGTACCAATAAAAATAAAATATTTTGGTGTATCAATTTTTTTAGTAAACTCCGTTTGACATCCTTCAGTCATGATTATACTACACACACAGCACTTAATGACACTGACATATTCAATGACTTTGTTTGGATAGACTGCACAGATAAGGAGTAATATCATAACGTATAGAAAGAACGATGTTTTATTGCGAGAGCACAGTTTGCTGTTATTTTTTTTTTATGTATGAAGATGGTAAGAGAGATGGTGGTTCAACTGATTTTAAATGATAGCTGCGTAATAACCCATGGACATTTACAATTCCCGTAGGGTTGCAGATGCGTTGCCACTTTAAAGTAGGGCCTGGTTACCTCACTCACCAGTCGAAACGCAGAATTATACCTCTTTCATTTCACGTTGGTCTTCTGTGAGGTCGTGGTGCTTCCGCAGACGAACCTGCTCGTTCGTGCAACAGCGAAGCCCGTTGCTTGGCCCTACCACAGTAAAATATAGCAGCATGTTTTTTTTCCGCTTCTCCTTTTAAACCTCTGCTGGCTTGGATACGAGTTGATAGTGAAATCTATACAAAGAAAGTAATAAGAATGCAATAACGATATATCTTACATATTTTCACCGAATTACTAACTAACGAAAACTAAATTACGTAAAAAAATATTTACGAGAATTAAACCTTTTACACAAACACACAAGTTAACAAAAGCAAAAAGATTTGTAATTAAATTGGCAACCAGCGAATAATTATGAACAGATTGGCTAGAAAATTACAATACCAATACGACGTAAGTGAGTCAAAAACAGGTACACCAGGATATCGTGTGTAGGTTAGGAATTAGGGACCTCGAGTTTGACAATGAGAATTCTAAGCCATATGTTTGATCTCGATGGCGGCGAAATGAGTAATTATAAAGGGTTGTCAAGGGGGACTACGGGATCTCTATCATGGAACGCACCGGTGTCCCTCGGTACTCCTCATGGGCACGCCGAGGAGGAGGATGAACCTTCCCCGATCCCCTCACGAGCTTGCAACAGCACGAGGGCACTTCACACTGATGCTAGTTTGAGACCCTAACGCCCCCTAGAAGTCGCCTTTTTGACAGGCATAGAATACCTCAGTTCTATTCTATGAGCCCGTGACTGCAGGGCTGAAGGGACAGCACGTTTGCTTCTGCTGACCCGACGTCTTCGTGTCCGTGTGGCTTCATGATCAAGCTCGGTGATCTCCTTCTGGACCATGACATTTTCACAGAAGATCAGTGCCATCCAAATTCGTTTTTGGGCAAGCAAAGCTTCTACTGTGACTAGTGGAGAAAGGTCCTCCCCGATACTCTAGACCAGGATCCGTAGTTCGAACTCCCAAGCAGGGCACTTAGTGAGCGTTTGTTGCGCAGAGTACTGATCTCTTCCGCAGTGGTGACATTTTGTCGTCGGTTCGCGTTCATTTGTGTTTTGGTATTCATCAAAGCAAATTTGGCCGGGTATTACCTACGTCAGCCGATAGTTGACGTGCGCATACCCCGTTGCATTTAGCCAAGCTACGAAGCTCGGCAAGAGCGCGCTGACATCTCAATGGGGCGCTGATTTCGTGGCTCTTCCAGCTGTTCGCGACAAACCTCCAGGTTAATGGTTTTTTTTACCTACTATGACTCCACTGATACGTTAGTGATTTTAAAGGATAGCGCAACGGTTAATTATATAACCTTATAAAACCCAAATGTCAATTTGACAATGACACTTTCAAAATTGAATAATATTATACTTTTAGTGCAAATGGATATGTTACATTAAATTAATAGTACCATTAATAAACGCGGTTTAATAAAACGGTTAGTTACTTTGACTTCGAAATATTCTCCTAGGAATCCTAAATCCTTGAATTCTCATTATTTGCCCGGCTAATAACAGTTTCTTATCTTGTTATCATTCCTTTTCTTTGTACATTGTAATTAATTGCTTTAGAGAGTGCAAAAGTTCAAATTGTGATTAAAAGTTCATTACTTGTGTTTTTATTTTATTAATACGTTAATGTATTGAACTATTTATATTAATAACCCGCCAGTTGTAGTTTGAACTTAATTATTTTTCTCATATTTCTAGTTAACAATGGTGTTACAAAGATTGTTTACTGCAACAAAACAATTTACGTTAAGGAAAAGTGTGTTACATACAATGAGACAGAGTTTTTGTGAGCAACGTTCTATGTATTGTACAAAACCAGCCAATAGAAAATACACAGATAGACATGAGTGGGTTATGGTTATGGATGACATTGGAACCGTTGGTATCAGTAATTATGCACAAGAATCTCTTGGAGACATAGTCTTCGCACAACTGCCAGATCCAGGTACCAAAGTCAAAGCTGGAGACGAATGTGGGGCTCTTGAAAGTGTCAAGGCGGCTAGTGAAATATACTCTCCAGTCAGTGGTGTGATCACTGAGAAGAACAATAATGTTGAAAATAAACCAGGCCTCATAAACACATCTAGTTTTGACAAGGGATGGTTATTTAAACTACAATTGACTAATCCTGAAGAATTAAACGAGTTGATGAGTGAAGAAGATTATGAGAAGTTCCTCAAAAGTGATGTTGAAAAAGACCACACATAGTATAATTTTTTCTTGTATATATTTGATTGAGAGCTTAGTTATTGCTATTAGAAATATATGATATTCTTTATTTTAAAATTATTGCCTTGTCAATTAACCTTCAGTGAGAGATCCATTGGCTACATTTTGAATGTATATATATTTTTAAAACCAGGATAAATTTTAATTTCCCAATTCCATATTAATACCTTTTTCTCAAATTTAGGAAATTTTTTATCACCTTATTAAGCTTTAAAAAATGACATGGACAGCCAAAACTATTTGTTTTTCCCAATTTGTTTAGGGAATAAAATATAGGCAACTAATAGGTCTATGTAATTTTCGTGGTTTAACTGTTATTAGAAAATATGAAAATACTAAATTAGTAGGCAACTTATGTTGCAAGAGGTAAGTATAAGATTATTTTCTAATCTTTTTTTGTTGTTTAATATTATTAGTGATAAAAAAACTATTAAAATGAATAGAAGGAAAAAATTAGACAATGTCACATCTTTTTCAGTGCTTTTATTTTTCAATAACCATGGCTTTGGTGTACAATATTACTTCTGACTATTAATTGTAATATAAAAACAATTATTTACATGTATTTTACAAAATGATCACAAAAAAAATTTGTACCTACTAAGAATAATGTTGTATTAGGATCAAATGATTCATTTTATGATAACATATAATCACATATATATATATATATATATATACGAGTATCAGTCCAAATATGTCTTTTGGTGTTAACCGTTCACCTATTTTTTGACATGTTGCATGTTAATAATTCATGCTGCTGCCCATAAAAGATAACCTTTCGTTATCTCAACCAACAATAAGGTATTCATAACTTTAGCTTTTTTATTAACAGAAAATACCTAGAAATATAATTAACTAACAGTTAAAAATCACCATGATATAATGTCTATTGCCATTTAAATAGATACAGCATTTATAGATAGTTATCTCTTCATACAATTTAAAAGAGTCAACATATGCAGCCTAAAAATATAATTACTATCTATAAACTGCAAATCACATACTCCGAATTGAAGGTTTGACTAGTTGTTAAAGAGATCAGACAAAATGAGCAATGCTATGTATTAAACTACTAACATGGCTAGATAAATTTTATGAATTTACCATGGCTTATTTTTGTATTAAATTCTTAAACAACAACCACAATATTTCTAATCTAGCAATCCAGTATAGAGGCTTGTATGATTTCTGGTTTAATAATTTCTTTCTATGCTTGTTCTTATACATACACAGCTATTAAATTTTCTATAGATTTCAACTATAAAATATAAATACTATGAAAATGATTATACCTATTATATAATTTAAGATTACAACATTATTCACGACACAGATATAAGTGACATAAATAAACTGTTATTTGTGTGATATAATCTTCAAAATATTTAGTTAAACCATTCAAAGTCATACAAAATATTTCTTAAGGACTAATATGCATAAAGATTAAAATAATTTCTTTACAATAATGTTTCAAAACTCAGTTAGTAGATATAAAAGTTCCTTTGAGATATTCAAAGGAACTTATATGTACTAACATTATTGAACTGAAATAACATTAATTGATAATTAATATAAATCAAATAAACAATGTGAGTACTCATTTTAAACTAAGTGTAAGTAACATGTGCTTTGATACAACCTTTGCAAGCAAGGAAATTGTCATGACAGACATTTTCTGTGTAAATCCTAAACACAGGCACAGTTATGTTATTTCAAGTAAATTCCTAAGGAATCAGTTCAAACATATTTCATTTGAAGTAATAGCTTGAAACATATGTTAAAATTTATAGAAGTGTTATATGAAAATTCTACAATTATAATTACAAATGTTGAGTTGCGTGTAGTAATTTTTGACCGAAGGATCTGTTTTTGAACTTCCCAGCTTATTGCAATAAAGTTTTATAAGTTTTATATATATATATGAATTCACATAGAAGCAATATAAATCCGAACCGTTTAGCTGTTCTATCAAATTTAAGTGAACTGCTAGTGCTATTTTGTATATTTATACATATAATAACTTTACTTTTAGCAAAGGTTACATTGTTCTATTCGTTATTTGAACACATTTCTCCTCAATATTAGAGTTCAATGTTTATATCTATAGAAACAATTTTACTTGATCAGATAGACAAATCAGTATAATCGGTCATTAAAATGTTATAAAAGGTGTTCTTTCATAATTAACTATTAATAAAATGAAAGATAAATACAGATTACTAGACAGAAATGGTATGCTATTATATATAGGAATAAATAAAATATTTTGCATACATATCAAAATGTGAATAATGTAGGGGCAGTATTTGTTTAAAATTATCATTCAATTCCTATTGCAGAATCCGTCATAGCGTTTGTTTAGTTTAAACACATATATTAAAACCTTGGCATCAACTTTGGAAGGATATTGGGGTGTAATTATCATTTACACATAACAAGCTTTTAAAAATTGTTTTTTCATTTAATAATACACTTTTATTCAAAATTACTCCGTATTAGTGTTCCTTGAATACATAACTATATGCCTGCCTTTGGCAAATTATCTCGATACATCCAGTGGATGTGTACAACCCCGTCTAAATGCAATTTGAGGTTGAATATTACTAAAGTTTTATCCTTGCTCGAGTATGTGAACTCACAGAGAGGATTCCTGCACGGCTCTTCGTTTATGGTAACATTCTTGATGGGGTTCTTTTGTCCGAGGACTGTTATCTTTTCAACATAGGGCATGCCGTATGCCCACCATTGCACATTACTGCGGAAATCCGTTTTGTCCAAAGTGAAATGCACCAGGCTGTATTTGCTCTCGTCGTAGGTGTCTGTAATTATTGCGTAAGTGTCTATAATTTTATTGAGATATTTATAATTTAAACGGAAATGTCATTCCGAGATTTCACAATGACCAATTCACCGAAAATATTTGCTATATATATATTATAATAAAATCATAAAGAATTAAAAAAATGCACTATTTTCGTTCTAAAATAATATTCACAACATTTTTTAGAACAAATCGAACGACACTAAAAATAATTTAGTTTTATTAAAATTTTTAGACCGTTTTGCGTTATAACAAGTAATTGTTGAATAATTGAAAACATTCACCAAAAATTATGTATTATTAAATTTTTCATTTTTATCTAGATTCTAAATCCAGTATTAAAACTTTTTTTTGAGTCCATTCCTGGCATTTTGTATATTATTTTATAACAAGCTGCTCCCCGCGACTACGTCTGCGTAGAATAAGCAGAAGGCTATAACAGCAGAAGGATATAAGAAGAACATTCAGACAGATATACATAAAACATCTATATAAATTGTAGCCTATATCTTATTCTGATGTATATCTATATTATTGTAAAGTTTCATTAAAATCAATTCAGTAGTATTTGCGTGAAAGAGTAACAAACATCCATCCATACATACAAACTTTCGCCTTTATAACATTAGTAAAGAAAGATGTTTAGCGACATATACGTAACTTTCATAATAGTGTCTAAGCAAAGCTATTTAGTTTCATTTGCCTGTATAAAATGTACTCAGCTTTTCTATACAACAAACTGAGACTTACGCAATCCACGGCCGTCGTCCCAGTATAGTAGTGCCTTCGCCTGGCCGGCGGAATCGGGCGCTACAAGTAGCTGGAAGGGTCTGCTTCTGCAGACGGTGGTGGTGACGATACCTTCAGGGGGCTGCTGCATCGTCAAGATCCCGCCACCCTGAAACACGCTCATATTAATTAGAAACTGGTCCATGCCGTTTACTTTATCAGTGTTCTTGGGGCAATATACGAGGTACGTAGTAAGTGAAAAATATTTTTTATATATGTATTTTTTTATAACAAAAACTACAACAAGTATCAAAATATTTAATAATCATTAAACGCGATAAAATCCGTAAAACTGTTTCATTGAAGAATGTATAATATTCGCGTAAAAACAAGAAATCACCTGATTATAGTTCATTTGACTGATGGCAGGTTCCAAATAGAAAAAAAAATAAACAAAAAGGCGGCAACATAATGTCAGAGGGCGCAGTAGAAGACGCTGTAACTAGATTGTATCAAAGTAAAATGCCATACAGTATCCAACAAAGGAATATTTTTGTGAAAAGTGGTATATGCACTTTTCCAAGTGTTTACCATTGAAAGCATCAGATACTTCTGTCCATCGGAATGTCTTTTTTATACAAGTATGGTTCATAAGGATGGTAGCCGGTCTGACCTTGACAGCGAGCATTTGTTGCTCGGTGATGTCCTTCCATTGGTGTGTGGCCAGCACCTGGCCATCGTTCAGCCCGTACCAGGGGTCGTGGCCGGGGAAGTAGGCGCGGGTGGTGTTGGCCCCTGGCCCCAGGATGGGCGCCACCATCAGGTAGGGTCCGATCGTGAACTGCTCGTCGATGTCATGGGTAACCGTGTCGCTTGGATCCCTGCAGGTTGGAAGGAATTTGTTTAAGACGGGTTAATAGTTTTTTTTATGTGAGAAGTTGGTTGCCAGCTGGCAATTCTCCTGATGTTAAGTGATAATTGCCACCCATGGACATTTGCAACACCCATAGTGTTGCAGACGCATTGTCACATTTTAATAAAGTAGCATGCATTTAAGAACGGTTCATTTTGTTTTCACCACACCGTTTTTTGATCAATAATGTTTATTAATGAAAAGGATAACATTGTCCCGTGTTGTGAGGACGTTGGACAAACATAAATTTCACGTGGATAAACACACAAATGCGAAACAATTATCCGTGAGTCACACAAATAGTTGTGCGGGAATCGAACCCACGACCCCTCACGCCGAAGCCAATACCTTGCTAACTGCGCAACTGAGTTCTCAATCCAATCCACAATCTGGCCGATTTAGCATCAGCCTGAATGAACACTGAGAATCGAACCCACATTCCAGCCTAGAGCCGTGATAGCTCAGTGTCCGGGCGCTCGCCTTTAATTCAATATACTCGAGCAACCTGAGTTCGATCCCCGGTGCCGGCACCAATGAAGTTTTTAACTTTAAGTGCTGACTTATCACGTGTTCCGCGGTGAAGGAAAACATCGTGAGGAAACCTGCATATTTTCGAAATAACAAAAAAAAATATTTCGAAGATATGTGAAGTCCACCAATCCGCAGTGGGGCCGCGTGGTGGACTTTGCCCTGATACCCTCTGTACAGAGGAGGCCTTTGCCCAGCAATGGGACATGTATAGGCTGATACTTTACTTTTACTTTTTATTCCAGCCTAGTTAGCATAAGCCATCGGCCTGCTTAGTGCTGGGCAGATGTTCCAGCTGGAACGAGCCCACTCACACGAAGAACAGCGGCCTGGCCACCAGGTGGCCGAGCAGGTGGGCGCGCCACATCAGCGTGTAGTAGTACGGCAGGAGGGCGTAGCGCATTCGCAGGGCTTCTCGAGAAGCCTTCACCACCTCCGCTCCCAGGCTTACTGGATCTTGGGGCTGCAAAAGGAATTCTGACTGTTAACAAGTCCTGACGATCTACTGACTTGTTTCGAAGAACACTTGTGTTATTGATATAAATAGAAATAATTATGACACATTTTTACACTACATTCTTTTGTCCTAAACTAAGCAACGCTTGTACTACGGGTACTAGATAAATGACAAACATATTTAATCATATTTTTCTTTTGTAAATATATGTAAACATATTATAAATATACAAACACCCAGACACTGGAAAAACACACAATATTTCTCCAATAGTGTCAGACAAAAACTAAATACTAGAAATAAGGACAAATTAATTATACCATTGTTTCATATACAAAAAGTAAATAGGTCGTTCATGGGGAGTATTCTACCATCGCGGTATATAAAGAAAAAATAAAATAAGAATCTAAAATAAGAATATTTTAATATAGATATATTAACATATATATATATATATATATTTATATATATATATATTATATTTAATATGATATTAAAAAAAAAAGAGCAACTGCTGAGTTTCTTGCCGGTCTCTTCTCAACATAACTGCCTTCTAAACCAGTGGTAACTTATTTACGGACTAATGTGTTAATTATTTATGTAAAAGTCGACATTCCGTAAGAACGCGCAAGCGTCTATTTGAATAAAGATATTTTGAATTTGAACAATTTGAATTCACTGTAATAAATCGCTCACTATAGACGAGTCCGAGTTGTGGTTCCTGGCGAAGGGGTAGAATGCGCCCACTTGCATCCACCTCCTGCACAGTTCCACGGTGGTGTTGCCTCTGAAACCGCAGATGTCAGCCCCCATCATGGGTATCCCGAAGAGGCTGAAGCTCAGCAGTTCTGGAAATACACTCAGAATCTCAATTGATGAATCACATTCAAAGAGCCTTAAGGGTTCCGTGCAAATGTTGTGGAAACGTTCGGATTATGTGTAGAAGTTTTATTTGTATTGGTAAAACTAAAGTAAATTTGTAACACTTTGGACCGAAAAATAAGTAAATTTTGATTTGCTTTAGCAACTTCTCATTAATTACCATGTCATAAATTATCTGTTCTGAAAGAACAATGCCCATTTTTGACCTGATTGTGTATAGAGATGAAATAAATATTAAAATTTAGCTAATTTCATTTTATAGTAATTACACTAATCACAATGTTAAAAGAAGGTCGGGAAAAAAATATTTTTTGATATTTCTTTACGCTTATTTTACTTCAAGGGTAAACATATTACCATGTTTTGAACGCACCTTAACAATCCTTTGCATAGGCCGTTCCATTTTTCACACTACCTACTTGACTGTATTCAACTTTTTCTGAGTTTTGTACGTGTTTTTACGTGTTAGAGAAGTGAGTAAGCACGTAATTAACAGTATTTGTATAAAAATTAAGATCAATCTTATTAGTAGTATAGATTTATTAAAAATAAAATAATAAATTATTAATGCGGCATGTAATAAAGTTCGCACGGCTCTCGTAAATGGATTTTTTTGACATTTTACAGTTCTGCGAGTGACTCATACTCATCGGTATTCGCCAGTAATTGTGAATATTTATGTTTATTATTTTTAATCTAAAAATTTCAATCATGTCATAATCAAACTAACAAAGCTCCTATAAATTATACCTGTGACATAACACAAACAACTGTTCAAAAGATCTATATATCCAAAATATGTATTATAAACTCAATATATGTTTTTTATTTCAGATTACTGAGGAAGATTATATTTGTAAATCTTGTAATGAACTCTTTATGAGAATAATAAACCAGGAATTAACAAGCTGTGATGTTGCTCAAGCTTCAGGATTATCTCAACCAGGTCGAAGAACAGTTTTTGATAATCCTTCAGAAAAGCAAAGACAGATAAATGCTATTATACAAACAAGTTCACAACATCACATATTCATGTTTCTACATTGTTAATCATTTGCCAATATAAAACTTGATACTATTACTCTAGATTATTTCTCTTTTGTATTTTAGATGTAAATTAATCTGTTATTAATTGACTGATGTTATAATAATTTTAACCACAAATAAATACATAATTGATTTTTTTTTAAATTAATTTTTAAGATGAATAATAATTATTGCTTTATTACTTCTTTTGTAGTTTTCTTTTGTAGATAATCATCATCTGATAGAATATGCCATTCATGCTGGATGAGTTGTAAGAGTGCTGCCACACATATTAGGCATGTTGCTGAAGTTTGTGGTGTTTTTGTACTGAAGATAATTTATTTTTTATGTTTCTGAGATTAAGTTATTAGTGAACTTATACTATTTGCATTAGGTACCAAATAAGGCAAGCCAAATCCTATTATGGCGAACATATTCGCTTTCATGGATCATATAGAATAGAAATATGTAGGGACACAGGAGTTTTCTAGGAATAATCTGAGAGGAAGTGGTGACATAACACTAATAAGAGGAAAAATTAAGTCCTGGCACATTTAAAGAAAACAATATTGTCTACATTTTAATAGAAAATAATGTGTCTGGCAGAGCTAGTATAGTCAAATACTGTTGTAATTGTTTAGTTTGGTTGGCGAACCATAGGATGTTGCACTCATGTTATGACTAGGTGGTACTTCGGATGAACTATCAAGAAAATATCTCTGTTATAGCAGAATTTCTGGATAACATAGTTATAAGACATTTAAGTGAAGATGATGATAATTAATAAAGCATTCCACTGTAACATAGTATTTTATTTTTTTCCCTCGTTTTATTCATCAGGTATTATAATTATCGATTATTATGTATTGTAGTGCAGGCCAATGAAATGTGTAGGGCAGATAAATGATCACTTTTAACTTACGTTTTTTTAGTAAGTACTTATGTGAGCTATTGAAATAGCAGATAATGCTCTTCACTCAATTTATAGTGACAATAATCGAGTCTAAGCAGTGACGTAAGGGCAGTCGGTTTTTAGGAATTCACAAGTAAAAAAGACGTTTTAGACTAGATAGGCTAATATTATTATTTTAGAATAAACTGGAGCGTAAATAGTTAGTTCTAGCACATTTATTTCGTTATATTAGGTAACTGCAAATCCTAACCTAAAAAGTAACATTTTTTTATAATTTTTGGAGACTTCGTAGACCAGCAATCGTAAAAATGACTATATGATATTAATTTACTAACTTAAAGGTAGTCTTTCTGCTATACCTTGTAACTATACATACACTTTCATTATCAGGTTTTTAAATGTATGGGAAGTGAGCATTGTTCTTTCACCACCGAAACCACTAGCGCTACTGAGTCATCAAACTAAAGTTTTTTATTTTTTACGTGGGAAGGTGGCAAGTGAGGTGGCGGCACGCCTAGTAATAAATGATAACCGTCACCCATAGACATTTGCAACACCCGTAGGGTTGCAGTACTTCTCGCTTACTATGTGTATCTATGATTATCTTGTTAAAACAACAGTCAAAATTTTTGATATATTTCAGGACAGGGCAGGACATAATTACACAATATTATCTAGTCCCCAATTAAGCAAAGCTTCTACTATGGACACTAGGTAACTGATAAACATACTTTATTTTTGTAAATAAATATTATAGGTATATAAATACTCAGACACAAGAAAAGCATTAGTTTCACCACACAATATTTTTCCATTGATGGGGATCGAACCCACATCCTCTCCTACAAGAGACAGGTCCACTATCCATTAAGACAATCGGGTCGTCGGGTATTCCTATATTCCTTGTTTGAGGGTAGCCGCTATCATTCGGCGTTATCCAATATTAGGAGGGGATCCGTCAGTGTAGTGCGTGCTCTCACCGGAGATGGACATGTGCAGGTCGTGCCACTCGCTGGCTACGTCGCCGCTCCAGTGGCCCGCGAACTTGGCCAGCCCCGGCGAGGAGGCGCGCGAGATGATCAGCGGCCGCGTGCCCAGGATCTCCACCAGGGCGCTGCGATCGCCATGAAAATGTGAATGAATGAAGTTGAAGTGATAGCGAACATGAGAAGCGTCATGCACAACACAGTTGGTTCTTCTAGTCGGATACAAATTTTGGCAGCGGACGTGGACGTTGCTCGTTCAAGCCAGATAATTTAAGCCGGACATAAGCTTAGAGAGCGGGTGTGGCTTCAAGAGTAAGACAGTTGGTCCTTCGAGCCGGACAGAGGTCCACTTACAAGTGCGTGGTGTCACGAGATACAGGTGGTCCTTCGAGCCGGACTGAGGTCCACTTACAAGCGCGTGATGTCACGAGATACAGGTGGTCCTTCGAGCCGGACAGAGGTGCACTAAGAATTGCGTGGCGCACGAGACAGACGGTTGGTCCTTCGAGCCGTACTGCGGTCCACTTACAAGTGCGTGGCGGCGGCCTCGGTGAGCGCGTGCAGGTTGTGCAGCTGGTCGTGCGAGCCGGCCGCGTGGCGCGCGTCCATGCACAGCGTTTTGTGGCGCAGCCCCTCGGGGCCCACGGAGCGCGGCCGGTAGGCCAGCTTCTCCGGCGCGCACTGCCCGTACAGCGAGCCCGACACGAAGTTGGACGGCTCGTTCATGTCCTGCAACGGTCAAGGGTTCCATGATTCGTTGTGGACGGATTAATGACGGAACCTATCACCTGATGGTTGTTTTTAAAAAAAAACACTGCCCTTACTTTTTAGGATATCATTGTCCCGTGTTGTAAAGACGTTTTACAAACATAATTTACGCGTGGAAGAACAGTCAGATGCGAAACAACTATGTGCGGGACACACGAATAGTTGTCCCGTTTGAGGATCGAAACCACGACCCCCGAAGCTGAAGCTAATATCTTGGCAACTGCGCCACGGAGATTTTTATGTGATGGATTTTTTTATGGGAGATGAGAAGCGAGCTCGTGGTTCACCTGATCTTGAATGATAACCGCCGCCCTTTGACAATTTCCAAAATCCGTGGAGTTGCAGACGCGTTGCTAACTTATACCAAACTGGGCCCCAACTGCCTCGCTCACTAGACGAAGTGCAGAAGTAAAACACCTCCAGTTCACGACGGCATTCTGTGAGGTCATGTTACTTACCCGGACACAGTTAATACGTTGTGAGTAACCACCGTCAGCCGTCAGTCAGAAATTTCTTAACATTTGTTTGTGGATGCCGACTTGTGCAGAATAACCACCGCACAAGGACATATTCAACACCTGTGGGTTTGCCGATGCATCACGAGCCTTTTAGAGAGCCGACCCCGGTTACTGCTTCCGCCAGAGGAGAACTGTTTCTTCTTTGCATCAGTCTCCCCTATACCGTGGTACTTCCCCAGTCGAGCTTACACGAATATATATCGCTTCTCTAACAAAACGCGCACAAGAAGTCTGCTCTGAATTAAAATTAATACTTAGAAATCGATGCAACGATATCAAAACGCATACAATCCAAGCGCCGTCGAATGGTATCTTCTTATGGAAGTTGGACAGCATCTCTGTCCAGTACGCGGTAGCATTTGGGTGCGTGAAGTCGGGCCACACCGTAGACACGCGATTCCACACCTGAAATCAATGTAAAAATGATAAAAAATTCAACAATTCCAGCATATAAATACCTCTTTGAAAATCATTTATGATGTACAAATTAAATGCTTATTTACGGCAAAACATTATTCCACTTATTCATTTCTTGTTTTTACTCGAATATCATACATGATTAAATGAAGTATTTTACAGATTATATCGCATTTGAATTTAGTTTTTAATTCCCGATGTGTCAAACCCTTTCCAAACGGGACAGACTCCCGTGAACTTGACGAAACGAAATTGAAAGTCGATAAAAATCCTCATAAAAAATAGTTTCATTTGATCATTATTCCATATGTTTTTTCTTGAAAATAACACTTCAATGTTGAAACATGATAAATTATGGTTTTTTCTATATCCCATATCAAACGTCTATTATTAGAAAGTATTACAGTTGTTTGAAGTGTAGGGATAAATTTAATTCTAATTGTGGATAATGGTTGGTGTAACTAAATATCCAAGACTTGTTATAGTAATATCGTTATAGTAATTGCTCAAAGGTATTATAGTCTAGTAAAACCCACCAAATGAAATCTCTAAATTAAAAAAGTTTACCTTTCCAACGAAGGGCTGTCCAGTGGAGTTCTTTATGAAGACATCCATTTCGAGGCCGCGGTCGAAGGGCGGGTAAGTGCCAGCCTTCTCGGAAGCGCTGACGCCAGGGTCTGATGAAGAAATATAATATAACCTTCGCCCAATCAAAATAACATTAACTTGGTTTAAAAGCATGTTTCAAGCCAACATAGGCAGAGTAAGCGGTGACAGTAATGACAATGCCTTGTGCATATTATTTATTTATAAAATATTGACTAATCTAAAAAGTCTTTCAAATATTGCACATGCAACTTGGCAAACTGAGAAGATTCATTTATTTTTTCAATTTCACCTTTAATTATAATAAAAATATAGTTTCGAAGTCAAAGTCAAATTAACTTTATTCAATACAGGCTTTTTTTAAGTTCTGATTATTGAACATCACAAAAACTACCAATGGTTGACTCAATTAGACCTGTCCAGAAAATAACCAGAAAGAAACTCTGCATCTTGTTTGTTAGGTATAAAAACAGTAGCAGTTAGAGGACTTGTATGTGCAGAGCAAGAATAATTTCCACACATACTTTTCCTCAATGTAAAAAAATATTCTTCGACATTATATTAGGCGATTTCGGGTTTGGATTTTTATTAGATACATTTTTTTTTCTTTAAAAAAAAACATGGCCTTTATTTTAGGATAACAATATCCTGTGTTGTAAGGACGTTTTACAAACATAAATTGCACGAGGACAAACACCCAGATGCGAAACAACTATCCGTGGGTTACACAAATAGTTGTCCCGCGTGGGAATCGAACCCACGACCCCCGACGCCGAAGCCGATACCTTGGCAACTGCGCCAAGGAGTTATCAATTGCATTCCCTATATATCTACAGAGAGATACGATTTAAATGTCAAGATTCACACAATTGTGGCTCCCTCGATATTAGTACAGTAATACCCCGCAAGCCTAGAAGGTTACAAGGTCTCTTTGAGCAACTATCTCACCAAATAGCACGACGTAGTGCATTCCAGCGTCGTGCAATTCCTTGACGAACTCCGGCAGGCCCTTGAATTTCAGCTCGTCGTATGTGAAATCGTTAGCGTCCTTCATGTAGTCCAGGTCGTTCCACTGCACGTCCTGAATAAAATGCGACAGCTTAGTGCGGAAGAGAACAAAAGAAAAATTAATGTCGGGTGATTATGTGAATGTTGATTGTTGATGTTATGGTTCTACGTCGAGGGTCGTGGGTTCGATTCCCACACGGGGACAACTCTTTGTGCGACCCACAGACAGTTGTTTCGCATCTGGGTGTTTGTCCGCGTGAAATCTATGTTTGTAAATATATCCTTACAACACGGGATAATTTTATTATAAAGTAAGGGCAATGTTTAAAAAAAAAAGTAGAGTTTATAGAATAGAACTGACAAATTAATAAGCATTGACCTGGACCTTTGCACAATTTTTGCAATGTTCCTGTATGCAAAGAGACAAGAGAATGGTCTTGTCTTACCTAATGATCTTTTCATCAATCGATTAGAGATCTTCTACGCTATGTCGTCTGTGTTTTGCTCTACTATAGATATGACTATTGCGTACTCTCGCGCAGAGAAATACTAAGTATAGCCTGCCCCAAACTCCCTTATTAAAAATTAACGAACATAATATGTAAACGTGTTACTAAACATGTACACAAATGTTGGGTAACGAAAATTCGGGTAGTGTCCTCCTTAAATTATTTGGATCAATTGTTTGAAAGAATATCTTCTTATTCTAACCAATGGTATTCCGGCCTCTCTGTTACTCTTCCAAACGTCCCGTGTCACTTGCAAACTGCCATAGTTGTATCTGAAAATATCATAAAATGTTAGATCTCCCCTTGGGACAAAAATTTGTAGTGATGCTGCCTCTCGCGCCGGAGGGTTTGGGTTCGATCCTCACTACTGGGAATATATTGTGTGATTAACATAGTGTTTTTCCAGTGTCATCAGTAACAAACGTATGTTTAATTATGTTTATCAGTTTTCTAGTATCCATTGTACAAGTGTTGCTTATTTAGAGACCGTTGTGTAAAAATATATCAGAAAATATTTATTTATTGTTTATTACTACTATAAAACACTGCGTCCAGTTTTATGTATGTGATAAAAGCCTGAAAAAGCGTCAAGCATTATTTACGTTGTTTTACCATTGTAAAAGGCACATTTTCTTAAACTCAGTGTTTAACTAAAGTTGCTGTTACATTCAACACATTTTTGATGAAAGTACTTGGTATAAAAACATTAATTCTAAGTGAATTTTAACTGTCTATTATAAGTCTCTAGACGCAATACTAAGACACAAAAGATCATTGTCTTATATCTGTACTAATTTCTGTCATGATGTAATATATTGGTAGAGACATCGGACATGTTATAACTGCTAATGTGGATTGATTGTTTCATACAAACGGGCACGTAATAAATAATAAATGTTATTATGAAGGTGGGATCGGTGTCCACCCACTTGCAGAGATGGAAGCCCAGCGCCCAGTAGGGCGGCATGAAGGGCTTGCCCACGATCTGGCTGAGCTGCGAGGTGACATCAGCCGGTGAAGGCCCCACGAACAGGTAGAGCTGCAGCAGCCCTCCCAGCGCGCGGTACGTTATGCCGGGGCTGGGCTGCACGCTGATGTCTGCATGGCAAGTGTTGCAAGCTTTGAGGTTGTTCCTTCCCTCCCCGGAGTGTTCCTTTTGTTTTACCGAATCATATTTTATTCAAATATTATATAATTACAAATTAAATATGGCTTTATCAGAATAGATGCGTAGTTAAAACATAGCGAATTGTTAGTTTCTATAGAATTATTGTTGTAAAACGATATTTTAAATTGGTTGTAGGGTGTAGAGAATATAACAACAATTGTTTGAAATGCGAAAAAACTAATGTAAATAAAAGATGATGAGATTGTCGTCAGTGTGGCAATCAGACGATTAGCCGTGGTTGCGCGATTCCGGAAAACGTGGGCTCAATTGCCGCAGCGGAATTTTTTAATACAAATTATAATGTTTCTCACCAGAGGATTTACAGCTCTTGGATACACAATGTAATGTGGCAAATAAGTTTTATTAGACACTTTATATGATAAATTTTTTACACTCACTAATGTGACTATTACTTAAAAATTATTATGATTACATAATAATTACCCATTGCGTAGGAGTTGATCAGTAGAGCACCATGCGCCTTGCCGCTCGATTCCAACGCCAAGTAGAACGGTTGCGAGCCGTAAAGGTTTATCTGTCAACGGCAAAGACAACAGGTTCCCAGTCAGATAATAGGTACCGATCGAGCCGAGGCCCGGCCCTCTCGGGCACCCTCGAATCGGAATGCTAAACGCGTGCTGAGTGACAGCCCAAGCCGAGGTCCCCTCTCGGGGACCCTTGAGCCTGATCACTCCATGGAGCGCCCGCCAAAGCGCCCTAAGAGCTCCTCCCAAACCGGTGATAATATATATATATAGTATATAATATATATATATATAATAATATATATATAATATACATAGCGTGACGGCCCGAGCCGAGGCTCCCCCCGGGAGCCCTCGAGCTTAGAGGTTTGATAAACAGCAGGTTTGATACGTTTTCACGGAGAATTTTAATTTCACGAACGAGTAAACACTATGTTTCAAGTTTAAAATGGCATAGTTTATACTGAACAGGCAGACAGAAAAGAAAACCAGTTAAAAGCAATCGGTGCACATAAATTAAAAAAAAATACATACAGTACAACTTCTATGTTCAACTATATGTATGTATGTATTTTTTTTGTCTTCCTCCTTTTTTGAAGTCGGTTAAAAACTATTTTAATTAGTTGAAACTATCACCAAATGACACAAACATGACATGTATGTGCTTTTATTATCCTAATATTATGAACAACATACTTAATTTATAGTTTTTATTTTAAATACTTCTCTCATAAAGGTAAATTTTTTTTTTGATATATTTTTATAAAATTTTAATTTTTAGTGCTAGTCTCTGCATTCAAGACGAAACTTTAAATTGTAAGTTTTTGTGGAGAAAAAAAACTTTCATTTCTGCAGGATTCAAACTTGCGTCTTCTGGTTTCGCTCCCTGACGATTCATCAAAAAAAAAAATAAAGCGTCTGGCCACAGCGCCGAAAGTTTTTTGTTAATTTATCTACAAAAATTTTTCAAAAATTACAATATGAAATGAGACAATATGTCAAAGGTTTTAGCATGATTGGCGATTGAACTGAAGGAACAGTGGTAGGACCACGCAACAAATGTGGTAGGGCCACGCAACAAATGTGGTAGGGCCACGCAACAAATGTGGTAGGGCCACGCAACAAATGTGGTAGGGCCACGCAACAAATGTGGTAGGGCCACGCAACAAATGTGGTAGGGCCACGCAACAAATGTGGTAGGGCCACGCAACAAATGTGGTAGGGCCACGCAACAGTGTTCACTTTTGCACGAATGGGCAGATCCGAACGGGTAAGTACCACGACCTCATAACCGGCTTGGAGTAGATGTATATACTTCTGCGTTACGTCCGGTGAGTGAGGTAGCCGGGGCCACACAAAAGAGGCCTACATCTATGGTTGGCAGCACCCTTGCAGCCACTTTGGAAGTATGATAAACAAGGCTGGCTCACATTCTCCGTCGGGTACTGGTCGTTGTTGAACAGCGTGAAGGTCTGCCAGGAGTCGAGCACCGTTCGCAACCTGGCCCGCCTCTCGCCCAGCCCGTAGAGCTGGTTGGTGGGCAGCAGGGCGGACATTTGCAGGAACTTGTCAGAGAGTATCAATCCGCCCACGTCCTGGGTGTTGAATCTGGTGAGCACAGATTAAAGATATGTAAAACGGATAATAGTCTATACGAAGTTTTAACCTGAATGAAAAAAAATTTTAACATTTTTCATATTCTAATGATACAGCGTGTCTTTACAATCGCGACAATAAATGAACACACATATAGAGGATTAACTTTTTTAAAATTGTATTAAACATTTAGATTCTTTAAACATCAATATTTACAGTTATTAAATTTTCCAAAACAAACAATTTTAGAACACCCTTAAGTATAAAACTGTAACGTAAAGTTCATTTGTAAAGGTCACAAAGCATATGAATGGGTTGAATGAGTTTAAAAGAGACAAAACATACTGTTATAGGAGAGGCTTGTAATGCGACGCTGTGGCGCGAGTTGTATAGGATGTTACAAATTTTGTTTCTTTTTTACTTAATCACTTTGTTTGAAAAATATATTTTTTTAATTATGGATTTTGTTTAACGTTAATATTTTTTTATGATTATTGGCAAGTAGTGTTAGACTTGTGTTCATTTATTGTCACCGTTGTAACGACACGCTGTATAAAAATGATAAAAATTTAAAATCACTCGTAATTAATTAATTACATTCACTTGAACTTGTTTCAAAATGTGCGGAATTTATGGGCAACTAATATTCATATTTTACGCGCGATCATTCATAACAAACTCAACACGCACACAAGTTCGTTTCAAAAGTATACGGACGCATTATGAATGACTACCGATTGTCAACAAGTTCTGTTTTTTAGGGAACAGAATGGCAATTTTTTGAAAAAAAAAAAAAAAAGGTTGTTTTTAATCCATTAATATGAACCTCCTGTGTGAATTTGGGCACCTTTAGAAAAAAAAGCCACCCTGTATGTCACGTTTGATGATACTGTGGTGTTTTATTGCAATACTTACATGGTGACATTATCAGAGATCCGGATAACTTTGAAGCCAATACTTGAGCTGTCCACAATCATCTTGTAATTCATTGTCTTTATGGAGCCGTACACCATCGGGATCTCTGGATACGGCGCTTCGTATCTTGTGTTCTCCGCGTCGGATATCTGGTATATATGTAGTTCTATTAGAGACTTTTAATAAAGTAAAGTAAAAGAATATATCCCACTATTGGGCAGAGGGTTATAGGGCATAGTCTACCACCGCGGAATGGCTGACTTCATATGTCTTCGAAATTTTTTTTTGTCATTATCAGGTCACCAGACGAAACGCAGAAGTATAACATTTCTACTTCGCGCCGTGCTTCTGTGAGATGGTGGTACTTTCCCTGATGGACCCCACCCATTTGTGCAACAGCAAAGACTGCTGTGTTGCCCATTAAACATTAAACGTTGAACATTACGTTATTGGATAGCGAAAAGAACGAGAAGATTTGTCATAAAATGGACCAAATTTTGTTAACAGTTGTTATTTGTTTTTTTAATACATAAAGTTTATTTCGATACGAGCGCAACTGTCTATTTCATTTAATAACTAAAAATAGCATGTGTATAATTATGTACGCACGTAAGATAAGCTTCTTTTAAAAATAACAAAAAAGTTTATCCACTGCAGAAGTAAACGTTGTTTTTTAAAAAGACATTAAATGCAATTGATAACGGTTTAATTAAATAACTGAGAAATTATAATGTCAAAAAATTATAAATAAATGTCAAGAAGTTGTAATTGGTTGCTATGGTAATACCGTGAAGTTGGAAGTCGCTTTGAACCAACTTTATCTCATCGCTAACAACACTGGCTGTCGTTCGTCACCTTGACGTTGAGTATGTCGCCGGTGACGAAATGCAGGCGGACTGTCGTTCGTCACCTTGACGTTGAGTATGTCGCCGTTGACGAAGTGCAGGCGGACTGTCATTCGTCACCTTGACGTTGAGTATGTCGCCGTTGACGAAGTGCAGGCGGACTGTCATTCGTCACCTTGACGTTGAGTATGTCGCCGGTGACGAAATGCAGGCGGACTGTCGTTCGTCACCTTGACGTTGAGTATGTCGCCGGTGACGAAATGCAGGCGGACTGTCGTTCGTCACCTTGACGTTGAGTATGTCGCCGTTGACGAAGTGCAGGCGGACTGTCATTCGTCACCTTGACGTTGAGTATGTCGCCGTGACGAAGTGCAGGCGGACTGTCATTCGTCACCTTGACGTTGAGTATGTCGCCGGTGACGAAATGCAGGCGGACTGTCGTTCGTCACCTTGACGTGAGTATGTCGCCGTTGACGAAGTGCAGGCGGACTGTCATTCGTCACCTTGACGTTGAGTATGTCGCCGGTGACGAAGTGCAGGCGGACTGTCGTTCGTCACCTTGACGTTGAGTATGTCGCCGTTGACGAAGTGCAGGCGGACTGTCATTCGTCACCTTGACGTTGAGTATGTCGCCGGTGACGAAGTGCAGGCGGACTGTCGTTCGTCACCTTGACGTTGAGTATGTCGCCGGTGACGAAGTGCAGGCGGACTGTCGTTCGTCACCTTGACGTTGAGTATGTCGCCGGTGACGAAGTGGAGGTCGAGCCGCGCCAGCCGGAAGTCATCCGGGTAGCCGGAGGGGCGGCGCAGCTCGTAGAAGGCGGTCGCGCCGCGCCTGTTCTCCGTCATGTTGACGAACGCGTACGAGTCGTAGTGCGGCGGGTAGAAGCAGTACGGCGCGCCAACCGCCGCGGACGATTCCACCTCGCGCCAACAGCAACCTACGACACACGCACCAGCTTGCTACCATCAGACTGTTTTTTTTTAATGTTTTGTATTCTATGTTGTGTAAGTCCCAACGAACACTGCGATGTGGAAAGAATTTTTTTCATGTGAGAAGCGATCTGGCGGTTCACCTGATCTTAAGTGATAGGTAACCGCCGCCCATATTTCCAATCCAGGCCAATACAGCGCCGCGGGTCGGGGGTTCGATTCCCACAAGTATTTGTTTCGCAGGAGAATTGACATCAGGCAGTCGACCGATAAAAAACATAGCCAGACCCAATAACAACATGTGTCACATATTGTGCTGACTCCACCTAGATTGAGATATGAGGAAAAGGAAGAATTAATGTTTAGTTGTTATCGACCGACCTCTCTTCAAGCAGCCCTCCTCGTTAGCGCCGTCCTGGGGGTAGCAGTCGAAGCGCATGTCGCCGACCACGCTGGAGCACAGCTCCTGGAGCATCTCCGCGGTGCGGTTCGGGTACTTGGGCATCCTGGGCATCGTGGGCATCCGCATCTGCCGCTGGTACCTCTCCTCGTCGAGCGCCGGGATCCTCTTCGGGCCCTCGGAGCCGTTCAGCTTGTTCCTGGTGCTCAGGTTGTTGTGGTCGTGGTAGCGGTTCTCGGGCACCACCTTATTCAACATAGGCTTCATTTAAACTCTTATTGAACGTCAAAAAACCACCAGCCCTTCACGAAACTAGACCGGTCCGGAAGAGAACCAGCGAGAAACTCTCCGGTCTCGTGTTTCTTTAATTATGTAAGTACACAAAATTATTCAAGTATAAAATCTCGTTTTAAAATCGAGGGCAAGAATCACACACATCCTTGTCTCGATGTTATTCTTCAATATTATAATAGTGGTTTGCGGATGTCACATTCATCATTCTACACATATGTTTAGTTCTAGGTCCTCACTGTTGCACGTAGGCTGTGACAAATGTACTAGCATTATTCAGTATACTAGCATCAACTTACCATTTCATAATAGGTCATTGGTTTCTCCGTAATCTCGGGGTGGACACGCTCCCATAGTTTCCTGGAGACGTAAGATGATCTTAATAAAACAGATTTCATTATACAGGAACCATATAAGCGTTATCATATGTCACGGTTGTTACAGTTTTGGAGCTATTTGCATTATCATTACGGATCTTGGGATGGAATCCAGAGTAGGTTAATTGTACCGAGGGGATTTTACAGAATTCGGATGTACAGGACAGGCGGCAGAATCCTATTCAACAATCGTAATCCCATTAAAAGAGTTATTATTATTACTACGATAATAACTGTGGCCTCACAAAGTGTTATGTAAAATAATATTATACATAATATTTTACCAGTAAATAAAACAATTTAAACCTATCCAGTTTACCAGGACCCAGGTGTTAATAAACAATAATTGTAAAATTACGCAGGAAACTGTTTTTTCTGATGTTTTTTGAAATCACTATCTGTTTGAATAGTTTTCTATAGGTGTCTCTTTCTCGGTACTTTAATTATTACTTATTTCATTTAAGTTATTACTTATTACTAGTTACAATGGTTTCTTAATTTACCATCAAGCGCAAGGGCGGATCCAGCTTTGGTGCTAGGGGGGGGTCACGTAGTCGTGGTCAAGTGATAAGAAGTTATTGTTGAGGGTATTATAATCTAATTTATATACACAACAGTTATAATTTAATTTTTATAATCATAGATAGAGACAAGTAAAAATTAGGTACTTTTAAACAACTTAAAAAAGAGGGAGTTTATATTTTTTTATGTTTGTTCGGGCATAACTTCGTCATATATAGACGGATTTATAAAATTCTTTTTTTGTTCGTAACAATTCGTTGCTTTTTATTATCACATATTATACAGGGTGGCTTTTATAAAGGTGCCCAAATTCATACAGGACGTTCAAACTCGTTATTATAACCGTTTATTGAAATAAAAACAAACCTTTTTTTTTTAAATTGGCATTCTATTCCCAAAAAACAGAACTTGTTGACAATGTGGTAGTCATTCATAAATAAGTCGTATACTTTTGAAACGAACATGTGTGCGTGTTAGTTATGAAATAAATGAGTTGCCCATAAATGACGCACTTTCTAAAATAAGTTCAAATGAATGTAATTAATTAATTACGAGTGATTTATATATTTATCGTGTTTTGTGTAACTTTATTTATGTCTAGAATTTAATTAAAAAAAAATGGATACACTTAGAAAAGCCTCCCTGTATTGTATTTTTAAGTAGCTATTGGTAGGCTTACTTATATTTGAAATTTCTTTTTATTTATTTTTTTTATGTAGTCGTATTGGTTATAATATTTTTTGCGTCGTTTCTTTACTAAGTTCATAAGACTAACATCCAGCTCCATCATCAGATCAGACCCTGGTAATCATCTAAAAATTAAGTACTCGCCAAAAAGAAACAAACGAGCCGAAACTCGATGGGGTTGAGTCGTTTCATTACAGAGTAGTCATAGGAACCTCACAGAATATCCTCATAGACCTCACAGAAGATCGGCGTAAAGTAATTCTGTGATTTGTCTGGTGAGTGAGGTAGCTGGAGCCCACTTTATTATAAGGAGAAAACGCATCAGCAACACTATGCATATGTCCATGGACGGCTGAAGATGGAGCTCCATCATCAGATCCTGGTTACCAATGAAAGACAAACTACTCGTCAATACTTTCTTCAATTCAAATGTACCCAAACGCGATGAGGCTCCGTCGTTTCATTGCGAAGTTCCTTTGGCCACCTTCCAGCTCCATCATCAGATCAGCACCATGTCATAAAAATATTGCATTGTCTCGCGATTTACACATGTATACAAAATTTCAGCTCAACCGGGAAGTAGATCAAATTTAATTTGCAAGATTTGATGACAAACATTCAAACATTGTAAAAATGTTCATGAAATGAAAACTACTTGGCCAAACTATGGTAAATTTTTATGGGATCAAATGGCAACTATTCTAGATAAAACTAAAGAAGAATCACGCAAATCGGATCATAAATCTCAACGTAATCGGTGTACATACATCGAAAAAAATATACCAATCGAATTGAAAAACTCCTCCTTTTGAAGTTGGTTAAAAATATTATATTGATTTAAATTAATATTGAAGGTACTTACATAAAATCTATATTGTGGCAAAAATGTATAAAAACATTATGTTTGACAATTTTAATTAGTGGTCCATCTAGGTCCTGGACCCAGCCCAGGGGGGGTCATGACCCCCATGACCCCCCCCCCCTCCCTGGATCCGCCCTTGATCAAGCGTTCGGATGATTTATATTGCTTTTATAAAACTATAAAATGTTTTCGTAACGATGTTCGAGAAGTGTAATTACAATGTGAGATTTAGAACTTATTTCGTGAAACTGATCAGAAAAAAAGCAGTATGTGTTAAAAGAAGGCAGTCCATGAATAGTTTATACCGTGAATAAGTATTCTTTAATCACAAATATTTTTTTAAACTTATCGACAGAGTCGGACATATAAAGAGTGATCATATAATAGCCAATTATATCGCACTTGTCACCTATCTCTTAACCTGTCGTTCGGTAATTTTCAAACAAAATATTTTTAATGCAGCATCTGTTTGGGGTTATTTGTGCGCAGTAACGTTCGATGTAATGTATCCGGGTTCAATCGTAGGCTACTGCATGATATGGATGGAAAAGAACAAAACAAAACCACGATTATTATAATAACATCATGAGTTCATTGACATACACACGTACAGAAGAAATATATATCTATATAAAGAAGATAAAAAGCCCAAATTTTTTTAGTCTTTCCAAATTTTGAACTTATCAGGATAGGACATGGCTCAAACTAAACTTAACAAAATAACGGTGCTGAACTGGTAAAATTAATCTTATTCGCAAACTTGAACGCCCTTCTTCGGGAAGAGCAATCAAGTAGAAAATTCTATTTTTTTTTATGTGAAAAGTTGTCAAGCGATCTGGTGATTCACCTACTGACAAGTGATTACCGCCGCCCATGGACATCAGCAATACTTGAGGAGTTGTTTATGCGTTGACCTTTTAAAAAGTAGACCCGGAAGAAACGCGAAGTATAAACACTTCCAATTCGCGCCCGTCTTCTGTGAGGCCGTGGTACTTCCCCGTATGAGCCTGCCCATTCTGCTGTTGCAGAAGTAGCTCCGTGTGCCTACCACAAGCAGTTCAGTCGCTAAACTGAGCAGATAACATGTTGCTCATTATTAAATGATCTTATATCATCATAAACGATTCATCGTAGAGGCCGTTAGCTGGTCACACTGGCGGTGGGAGTCACTCAATGATAAAATTAATAATATTGATGACAAGTACTGCGCGGCGCTTAACAATGACATTATATGACATATGCGAGTGAGTTTGATAGATGATAAAGAACGTACGATACGGAGAGAGATAGCAGTATATAGACTTGTATTCTTGTATAAAGGCCCATTTACATGATGCCAGTTTCTTGCCTGTTGTATACAATTAAATTGAAGCAATAAATGAGTTGCATGGTCTAAACAACAAATGGTCTAAACAATTATTGCGCGCAATTTATTGCATTCAATTATTGCTCTTGTATGTTCAAGAAAATGGCATCGTGTAAATGGGCCTTTAATTGATGTTTTTGCTTTCAGTCCCGAGACTATTAAAGCTTCATCTGACGCAGAACCGGTGGGCTAGCCAGAACCCACGGGTTTGGGCCCTCCGCTGTGGGTAGGGCCACAAAGCAGTATATAGAGTTGCAATCTAATTACACCAATTGGCGTAATTTGAGCGCCCTAGTTTCAGTGTTTGTTTTGTATATAACATCGTTGGGAATCCTTTGGCATCAGGTGAACCCCGTATACCGTGTTTGATTTCGGTGTGCACTCGCCTGTACTTGTCCTCGGTCCAAGCGCCGCCCAAAGCTCCGCCCACGAAGAACCACACGGCGACGCAGAGGATGCACACCAGACCGACACCCAGCATCCCGGGACAGATTACCGTCATCCGCTTCCAGAAGCCCACCATGACGCTACGCGGCCGCGAAAAGAGTTGGTATCTGTAACGGAACGGTTTAACACCACCGGTAGATGAATATCCTCTCTTCTAGAAGTATCTTTTCTATTTCTGCTGACAAATGTTTCAGTAACATCTCACCTAATTTTTCACTTGAGTTCTTCTATTGCTGTTCTACAAGGTTTTTTTTTTGGGAAAAGGTGACAATCGAGCTAGCGGAGCAAAATACATAATAAAGTTGAGCAAGAATAAAATTAAGTGTCTTGTACAGATAACAATATTTATTAACTAGTAGTAATCGATTTTTCGCCCCCGAATATTACGCACATACTAAATTTCATGAAAATCGCTGGAGCCGTTTCCAAGATTCCGATAATATATATAAATACTGACTGTGCCGGCAAACATTGTTCTGCCATATAAATTATTTCTAGGAAATTTGTAGGGTAAAAAAAACTGTTTAGTGTGGACCACCCTTAATATTTAGGAGAATGAAAAATAGATTTTGTCCGATTCTCCACCCTGGCCGATATGCACACAAAACTTCAAGAAAATCGGTCGAGCCGTTTGGGAGGAGTTCAATTACATACACCGTGACACGAGAATTCTATATATTAGGTACAAGAATTGCTCAAATTAGATAAATATTGCAATGCATAAAATGTAAAAAAATCCTTTGGTTTCAGGAAACTGACACTACTAGGAAGAAAGAATTGCCCTTAAATACATTGGCCCTCACAGCAACTATACTATTCACAAAGTAAAAGAAATTTAAATCTATTGGTAAATCAATGAAACATAAAGGTGACTAGTTTTAACTCACATCTTTAAGTTGACACTTCAAATGAAAATACAAAAAACACTTTATGCTAACACAAACACACTTGACAATACATAAAAATGTAATGACAATATGAAGTGCTAGCAAAGTTTTATTTTAACTATAATTAGTGGAGGCCTTAACTTTATAAATAACAAAGTTCATCGTACTTTGATTGTAGTGAGGGACAAAGAAATATTTACATTGTTACTCTTGACCTCAATATCAAATGATCTTTGAGACGGTAATGGAACAAAGAAGTGAATCAGAATAATTGAAATTGGGTAAACAACTTTTCATTAAAAATAATGACAAATCTCTGAATATGTTTTAATTCTGTAAAATTAAAATGTTCTCATTATAACAATTGGAATTAATATAGAAACTAGCAACCTGCCAAGGAAAGGAAATTTTTCCCCCTTCATAATTTTTATGGTAAATTTTTGCTATGGCTTAGAAAATACGATATACACCAAGGGTCAATGCATGTCAATTTGCAGTATGGATAAGTGCCTAAAACAAAATATGTTAGAAGAGCCCCACATCAACAACTTTATAGCTGTTGTGTACATATTTTTTTTTAAATTAGACCAGTTAATAGTTTCTTTGTCATTATAACTGGCTTAATTAAAAAAAAATTCATTATAAGTGGTATATCAATATAAACACAGATACTACAACAGAACTTACTCTCTAAGTAGTTTGTATAAAAACTAAACTTACTATATTTATGTCATGATAAATAAAATGACGAGCTGTGCAAATGTGCGGGAGGTCGATAGATGCAGGTGGCTCAGGATCATACTTCGTGGCAATCTATGGGGGAGGCCTATGTTCAGCAGTGGACTCAAACAGGCTGAAATGATGATGATGATGAAATAAAATGTGATTAGCGGAGTCATATTAAACAAATTCTACTGCACTTTATGGGTTTACTTTGTATCAATGAATTGAATATTTGTATGGATGAATTGAATGGTGGTGATAATTATTTAGTTACATGCTAATTATGTTAATGAAATTGGTCATTACAGAAGATAGATTTTCTAATCAGCATCCTGCATGCATCCTATATTCATTGGTTTTATATTGAATGGAAGTATCTATTAACATGATACCAGTGAGTTAATTTGCTTAGTTTACATAGTTACTTACCACTATAGGATTATCAAAACAAAGTTATGGTTTTTAATATTATATTCTTCCAAATAAAGTTATTTCATAATAAAGCATTGACAGCAATATTGACTAGATCTTATTATTTTAAAGGATAGTACAACAATTATCATCGGTAATATCAACAATTATCAATGGTAATTGTTAGTATTAGGAAGATGTTCTGTATGTTGGTCTTTCACTTACAAAATTTTTAAATGATAGAGAAACAACCGAAATAATAGTTTAGTAAAAATAGAAGAAACAGAAATCCACCATTACCTTTTTACCCTAGTGTTTAGTGATTTTTAGAGTTAATCTTTGCAAGGGTTGCAAACATTTTTGTAATAACAAAACTGTTCAATTGAAAACAAATATTTTACAGAAACATTTTGTATTTCTTCTTAGTTAATGATTCATATATTTAATGACAATACAAATTCAAAAATTTGCAATAAAATCGTGAAAATCCTTTGTGAATAATCTTGTGTCAAGATCTATAAAGCTCCTTTGTAGTTTTATATAAAAAGGAACAATCTAAATGAAGGTTTTTTGTTACCTTGGCTCACTGGAGGATTCGCCATCGTTTCGCAATTTTGGAACAATACCACTGAACAATGGAGCACCAGTCTTGGTGCTGCCTTTACCGAAAGGCGCAAAAGGTAACTTTGTGTAAGCTCCACTCTTTGACCCACTCAAAGACGTTTCGTTTTGACCTTCGATTTCTCTTTCAAGTAGCTCTTCAACTCCTTTGCTACTTCCTTCCTTCGGTACCTTGAGATTCTCATAATAAATACGATAATTAATATTATCGTTTAAAGACAAAAGATCACTTTTTGCGTTTGCGGGCTTGTCACAAAACTCTTCAAACGACACTACTTCGTATTCCTCGTCGGATTCAAGAGATTTCTGTGTCTTTCTTTGAGATTTTGACATGATGACTGTTTTAACATCTATTTATATTCCTAGTTTGCCCATACATGATTTTGATTTGGTACTATAAATGTAATTCTAATGCGCACTTCATAAAAATTTGCGTTACTAAATTTTTTGTCCTATACAGTTACTTCTAAATAAATTATTACGAAATATTAAAATAAAGCTTAATATTTTTATAGGTAGATCATAATTTTAACTATACAAGACTTATCAGCTTTATTTATTTATATTTTACATAAGAGCGCCGAGAGCCCAACCACAGATTTTTTATTTTTATTTTAACATACAGATAGCTAATACATAGTTTCATAACATCACAGAGTAGATATAAATAAATTTCGTAGATGTATTATTTTTTATGAAATGTGATAAACATAGAAATACAGAAAATTTAATAATTATTCGAGTCGGTGCCAAGCCAAGTATATCTGATCTGAGCACAAAATCGTAATTATAAATAAATAAATATAAATAACTCTGGGGCGGCATCGGAGGCAGCTGAAATAAGTAAATGGCGCAAATATGAGTTGAGACTATGTATTAGTTTTAGTGCCATTTGCGTGCCACGCACGCACATCAAAACATCAAAATTTTTAAAGGTTTATGTCCTAGGCTTGTCTTGTATTAACTGATGTTTTTGCTTTCGGTCCCGAGACTATTAAAGCTTCATCTGACACAGAACCAGTGGGCTAGCCAGAACCCACGGGTTTGGACCCTCCGCTGTGGGTAGGGCCACGCATGTGCTCATGCGTGCGTTTAACTATGGTGTGTCATCTAAGTTCCATTGGGGTTGCGGTTCGGACTGAAACCCCCATGGCCATCGACTGTGCAATTAGCTAATCAGTGGCTGGGAGCGGTGAGAACCGCCCCAAAACACGGGTGTACCTTGTGTACGCGTTGTGTTGGTCTCGCCGTGCTAGGAGGTGAGGGCGAACTAGTGTGTTTGTTGTTGCACTAACTGTGGGTGTAGTGTTATCCAGCGGGACCCTGGCGATGGGTCCGACGTATCTAAGTCCCATTCTTCGATCGGGTCGATAAGGACGTTTCGCGGGTGACGCTTGTTGACGTTCGCGTTTGTGTCGGGTTGGTAATTTGCTGCGCTTACCACCAAAGGGTTGGAATGATTATCGGCTCTATCGAAGAACCGTTTGGTCAGGTTTTTAAAATATTCGCGAATCGTCGGGAGTCTGCAATCGCTGTGCACCGGTTGTGCACCGGTTGATCGGTGGATGAACTTATTTTGTACTATTTGCAACTTGTACAAGCGAGTAGGGTGCGTGTGGGCGAAGGTCATGCATCTTAGGACATAATACGTCGTACGCAGGTGTTATATAGTAATAATTTGTACCTTAAGCGCATTTTACGCTTAGCGTTAGTTAAATTGTGTAGCCGGCCGGAGGCGAAAGCGGCTCTATTACGAACATTATTAATGTGCGTAGTAAATGACATACGCGAGTCGAAAGTGACTCCTAAGTATTTGACCTTTTTCTCCCAGGGGAGTGGTTGGCCATAAAAGGATATTTGCCCCAACTTTCTGCATTGGCGAGGGCCATTATAAATACGGATAAGTACTTCGTGTGAAGTGAATCGCCACACTCTTTTTGAGATTTACTTCTATTCTCCATTTGCGGAACTAATCGCCGAGGCGGTCGGCGGCGCTTTGAAGTCTAGTGGTTAGTTGACTAAGGTTGCGGTCTGAATAAAATAGCGCCGTGTCATCCGCCAAAAGCGCGAAATTGACGTGGGGGTCTTTAGGTATATCGCTCGTGTAGAGCGTAAAGAGCAAAAGTGAGAGGCAGGAGCCTTGTGGTACGCCGGCCGTGAGGCGGCGGCTTGTGGAGAGGGTTTGACAGGAAGGCCCGGATTGTGCGTACGAGCCTATCTAGCACTTTGAGTGTGTACAGCTTGTAAAGCAAGCCGTTGTGCCAGACCTTGTCGAATGCTTTTGCTACATCGAAGAAAAGAGCCCCTATACTATTATGTTTAGGGTGATTTAGACCTTTTAGGATATGTTCCGTTAGGAATAATTGATCGGGACCAGAATGTCTAGCTCGAAAGCCGAATTGTTCCGCCAGCAGAAGGCCGTTGTAAAACACGTGGAAAACACGTGCCTATATAATAGAAGCCGTTCGTAGAGCTTCCCCAGGCAACTGAGGAGGCTGATGGGACGATAACTAGAGGGCTGGTTGGCTGGTTCATTGGGCTTGGGAATGCCGATAACCGTGGCTTGTTTCCAGTGAGCTGGAAAGGTGCAATTGGAGAGTAAAGTATTGAAAATGGTCGCTAGTAAACAGATAAGCGGCCCAGGGAGAACTTTAAGAATTTTGTTACTAAAATTATTTGGGGCCAGGGCGGATATCGGTTTGAAATTTTTAATAATGTCTTGAACCTCTTCGGGGGTTACTGAACTCAAAGGATCGCCTTCCGGTGACAAGAGAGCTGGCTTTTCTCGCTCAAAAATTAAGCATAACTGTTCAGCGAAGAAATGCAGCTAGCGTTCTTGGCACCGTGCCGTTTATTAGATAATATGTAATTTTAGATAGATTTAGCATAAAATCATTCTCTTAACTTTGTTACATCATTTAGGTGGATAAGATACCTAATTAAATACATACAACTTCTTCAAATCATTGTTGCTTAGCTTCTTTCTATTTTTTTAGCAAGGTGTTATGGTGTACATACAACCATTACCCATGGTAAACAATGACACCGAATCCAAAAGCTGTTAAATTTTGTTAGAGGCTAGGTTACATAGGTGAGATTTTCAAGATTTGATCATATTAGATTTAGAATTATTTTAAACTTGAGTGCTAACACAGTTTTTTAAGACGGTTCTTTTTTTTTAATCTTATTATTTTTAGTGATAAATTACAAAGTAGCTGGAGGACCGAGCTTTGCTCGTTTTTTTTTGGTAAATCTTGGAAAATTTTTGAAATAAAAAAAATAAAAAATAGAGAAAACGATCTGGTATAGAAAAAAAGTAAAAAAAATAAATGTGTAAATGATCGTGCTACGAACCGCGGCCGTCTGTTTTGGGGCCGCCCGATTACCGACCGAGCTATTACAACATTTTGTTTTGCGGCGAAATTTAATGTCATATTCGACTGATATTTTTCATTTCCTGAAAACAGGGATAAAAGGACATTTTCTAAACATGAAACCTAGCTAGATCGATTTTTCGCCCCCGAATCTACGCACATACTCAATTTCATGAAAATCGCTGGAGCCGTTTCCAAGATTCCCATTATATATATATACAAGAATTGCTCGTTTAAAGGATAAGATAAGATAAAAAACATATAAACTTCCGAATTGATAACATCCTCCATTTTCTCCTTTTTGTAGTCAGTTGAAAATAAAGACAATATAACAAAGGACCTGAGATGAAGGTTTGATACACGGCTTGAATTGCAATTGATACTGGAATCTATCCAATGTTAAGTGATCCGCTTAGAACTGCAATTCTATCACGAGCCATAGCACTGGAAACTATCGCTTTACAGATATTAATTTGCGCACAACCTGCTTATGTACGCACGTACAATCGGTTAAATATAGGTTGATACGCGGGACAATAACATTGACATACAAATATGAATCTCGTATATGAAGCTCCGTATTTTTAAACAAAAATGTATGTAACACAATCTGGTACTTTATTTCGTACTGTCAATTTAGTTTACTGATGTCAATGTTCCGCGTATCATCGTATATTTAATAAACTGTAAGAAGTTACACTTCTTTAGCGTAAATAAAGAAAAATACATTAAAAGCAATTGTGGGTATGCAATTACGGTGTATGCCGCGCTTAACGCTTAACGTTAACGAAGTTATAAAAGACACTGGGATAAAATTGTACTACACTTGAAAAAAAAGTGGTTGAACTGGATTGGGATAACTTTGGACCACAGTCTGCGGTTTTATGGAAAAGATGGTAACATTATAACTTTGCTGAGTTTGCAGTCAACTTGACACAGTGATCTGATCTGTGATTGGTTATCTATGGGCTCATTGCACGCTTGTGCTCATTAATCAGTAATTGTGTAGATTTGTGAATGAATAGTTTTAGGTTCAGCACGATTTATATTACCTTGATTTTTAAAAAAAGACGTGCTTCGATATGATTACAGCATAATTCATTAAAGATCCCTACTCATTAAAAAACATGTGTATGTATACTTTACATGATTTCTTTATAGATACCATTGTTTCATTGACAATATTAACTTCACGTGAGTTTCTTTCAGCCCAAATATTAACTAAAGTTCGTGATGTGGATCCAAATAATGGCGACTCAGTCAAAGAAGTACTGACGTCCTATTTTCAAAATGTAGTTAAGCATACAGAAGTAAACTGTAATCAATGGTTGCAAACATTAGAGGATATACTTAACCGGTACTATAACCTATTTCAATTGTCATTGTTAGCAGACAGAAACAATATACCTATGTTAAGGGTTACTGCTTCTTATTTTCATTTAAATGTGAACTTGCAGGTTCCCAAGATACTGTTCGTCCCATCGAACAACAATTGAAACTTACCTTTCACATTTTGTTAGTGGTAGTAACTACTATGATGTTATTTATGCAGCTAAGTGTGCACACGCCTTGCAACAGGTACTGCAATTACATATTATTTTTATATCACAGAATAAACTGTGTTAGGAAAATATTAATAAACCTTCTAAATGAAAGAAATGATGTTTAATAATAATAGTGTTTTTAATCCCAAACCCGTGGGTTCTGGCTAGCCCCCCGGTTCTGCGTCAGATGAAGCTTTTATAGTCTCGGGGCTGAAAGCACAAACATCAGATAATACAAGATACAAGTGTTTCAAGATTACAAGATCAATTAATGATAAGCAAACAGTTTTATGGCTCAAATAATAAGGAAATATATAAATAAAATAGAAATATGCTCATTCTCTTTACTATAATATTTACAATGCTACTAATAAGATTATTGTTTTTTCATATTACTTAATGACATGATAAAACTAAACGAAACTGCAGTTTTAGGCCAGGAAAGCTTACTCTTTCAATAAATTGCATGATTAAATTGATCAACTTACTTTTAGGTTCGATGGCCACAAGATAGAACAGCTACTGCAAAATCAGCTTGGAGAGATCAGATGGAATTGCTTTGCAATGCAGCCCATTCTCTGATTGATGCTCTTTTCGTTGAATCTGTCGATTTGTACAAGGGAAAAGGGAAAAAGGTTGGTTGCAAGATATTTACAACTACACAGAACGTTTTTTATATTTCTATCTGTTTTAACATACCAAAATGACAATTATCATAAATTTTTAATTGAATAGCTTTTATTAGCCTCCTTTTGTTCTACCGGCGAGGATTTTTTTTAATATTCAAAAACTGGCTAGCACTTGACTGCCATCCCACCTGATGGTAAGTGGCGATGCAGCCGTTGATGGTAAGCTCGCTAGCTCAGTAGAAACCTATTCACTCTTGCCTTGAAGACACCAACATTGTATTCGGACGGAAAGACGGACGCAGGCAGGCTATTCCATTCCTTATCTGTACGGATGATTAATGGAGAAGCGAATCGCTTGTCTGATGTTTATTCTACAGTTTGTAGCAACAAGTTTAGTTTTTAAGTTACAAGTTCTTTTAAATGCACACTGTCTCAAGCACAAATTATTTTAATATAACTTAATTTATAATAAGAAATTATCGAGATAAATAATTCATTCCAATTTTCTATAACAGTAGGAAAGTCAATTCTTAAATTATTCTACAATAAATAATATCCCATAGATGTTATAAATAAAATGGTCATGGCATGGTATGTTTACACTTTTGTGGCATTATGATGTAATGTGATGTGAATTAACTTATGGGATTTTTTTTATGTTTTAGGTTCATACTCAGTCCAATTCAAATTCCCCTTTAACAACAGCTTTGCTACGTATAACAGCCACGGGAGGATCAATTGTCAAAAATAAAGGAATATTGCAAAACAGAATTAGAAACATATTTATTTTTATACAAGCAATGATAGTGTAAGTAATTGTTAAATGAATACTTAAGCTCTTATTGTAGAATTTCCTTGCATATTCATCCCCATAATCATGATTCGTGGCAGTCTATGGGGGAGGCCTATGTTCAGCAGTGGATTTAAAAATGGCTGAAATGATGATGATGAAGCATCCCATATTCAGCAAATAATTGTAAATTTTCTGCATGTGTCCTCCTTTCTTCTAACTAACTAATGAAAGATTCTGAATTGAATCCCAAAAAATAACTGCATCACTACTTCAGGCAAGATAATAGTCCTATAAAAAAGGGTTGCATAGTTTTAAAAATTAAAAAAATATTTTGATCTCTAAGTGAATTTTTTGTTGATAATTGTCAAAAATTTATTGACAAAAATTTCAGGTCTCGAACCTGCATCTTCTGAATTTATTTGCAAAATATTTACATTTTAAGATTTTTACTGAGTGAAGAGACTAGCTCTAAAGATAAATTAATCATAAATGTAAAATCAATTTTTGCAGAGAAATGTATCCAGTTGCAAAGCCGATAAGACCACAAATAATATTAGATGTCATTGTAAGGGCACTCAGTGTAACCAGTGGGAAAAACCATGTATCTAATGATGTTGCTCCAGTAAAAATTCAAGCTCTGAGGACCATAGATGCTCTAATTGCCTGGTAACATGAAATTCATTGAATGATGTTTATAAGTTTTGGATTTTGTATAAGTTTACAGATTCCTGGGAGGCCTTTTGAGAATCTCAATGCTTAGCCTCGGATCTTATGGATATATATTAACTATGGCTTCATTGTACATGTCTAGATCATGGGCACTGGTGTACACACACAGCACAAAAAGGATTGTTAGCCTTATTGTTACTATATAAAATATAAACCCAATCCTTTCTTTGCATCAACTGTTAACAATATGTCTTGGTTACAATCAATCCAATGAACAGTTAATGTACTAGTCAAGTTTATTTCTATGTTATAAATTTTTATTGCATGTTGCAACATGAGATAACTTGCAAGATATTAATATCTTTTTTTTATTTTATTTCAGTCTAGATGCAAATCTTATTCCATTCTCTCCACTAGTCTTTAGAATAGTAATGCAAACACTTAGATGGACTACTGACAATCCAAGTCAAGACTCAAGGTTTGTAATATTATGTACCCTCGTATATTATGACATTTACGTTCTTTTCTTTTGTATTATATTAATAGCTGAAACTTTGTGTAGCCATATAGTAGCTTTTGTTTTTTATGAAGCACCATGCCCTCAGAGGAGGTCATTGCAAAGTAGATGAAATTAGACTTTGCTCAACAACGGTGGGTTTTGTTTGTGTGTGAAGCTTTACAAAGGCCTGCAATACACATGCAACCGTCATGGTGTTGCATAAGCATATGAATAGAGATGATCACTAACCATGAGGTGCCTTCCATGGATAAAAATATTTTTTTTTAACATTAATGTAATAAAAGTATATAATTCTGTATTACATAAAAGAAAATTTCAGGTATAGAGGAGAGTATCAGAATAGATTAAGCACTTTTATGCTTGCTAGTTGTTGTCATGTCTATTGTAGAATTATTCATCATCATCATCTAACATGCGAAGCATATTGTTAGTGCTATTGGCTAACGTCACTCTTACATCAACTCTCTTTGAGTTTAAACACCCAAATCGAAACAATTACCTACTGGTCACAAAAATGCTTTTCTCCTCAGGGATATACGAAAGTCTGCTTATAGCACTCTTGTCAACTGGCTAACCACACTGCACTCTCACCGTTTCACGACTGGTAACTCTTCCTGGGAAGACGAACTAACTAGTCATATTATTGGTGATACAACGCCAACGAAAAAAACTGTTCAACTTACTGTGAGTTTTCCTTAATTTTATTAATTATAATATATTATGATTTTTATTATTATGATTACAAAATTATTCATTCGAGATTCTCAATAAGTCTGGTCTCTAAATTAACTTCTATGCGTAACAACCCCATGCTTGCAATAAGAAATTGCATGCATGACTAAAACTAAATATGCTTCTAATACTTTTATTAACCATGTTTGTCAAAATTTTAACAATAAGTTTAATAGTATGTTTTAAAGTATATAAAATATTTTCTTTTATATTTCAATTATTAAATTATTTTTATTTTAACATGCCCTGCATTTATTTATACCACATCAAAGATGAGCGGTCAATCCTTGAAAAATCTAAGCAAAAAGGCCAGAAGAAAACTGCAGAACACAATGTTAAAAGAGAGCACAATCTCGGCCCACATGCCAGGCGAAAAGAATAAACATATTGTGTGAGTACATGTTTGCAGCATGTTATAATTGTATTTCATGTAACTATGAAATAGTGGTACATAGTTTTTAATTTGGTGTCATATTGCTATCACAAGAGCTGCCTAAGGATTGGCTTCAAATTGCCTGTCATTTGTCTGTCGAAATTTGCAGTGGAGCCAAGTATGACATGCACTATAAGGGCACAATAGAAGCTGGCTGTCTTATGTTGCTGACAATTTCTCTTAGAAGGCTGAATGTGCTTAAAGTAGTTGACAAGGAAATTTATATTCAAATCATTTTAATATTTCAATACTAAACAAAATAAAACGAAAAGTTTCCAAACGAGCCGACAGTTACCTGATGTTAAGTGAATACCGCCTCTCATGGACATCTGCTACACCCAAGGGTTGTACCAGATGCATTGACAACCTTTTGAAAATTGGGCTGAGGTTACCTCACTCACCAGACGAAACGCGAAAGTATTTCTCATACTTCCACTTTACGCTGGTCTTCTGTGAGGTCATGGTACTTACCCGGACAGGCCTGACCATTCGTGCAACAGCCGAGGCTGCTGCGTGGCCCTACCACCGTATGTTTACACATCTTTTTATAGTTCAGTAACACTTTTCTACAAGGTTTAACTTTTCTTTATTTCATATTATAGAGAAGAAGAAAATGACACTGAAGTCGCAATGTCTGCTTTGGAATGTGCCGAAGTTTTTTTGTCAGTGTGTGGTGTATTCTTGAAGCCAACAACTCACAAGGTATCTTATGAATTATTTCTTAGCCTGTTCCATCCTTAGCAAATTGACCAAAGGCAAATGAGGCAAATGAAGAAAAAAGATTTTTTTTATTAAAACATTTTTTTTCGCAGGTATTTCAGGAGCATTTCGTGCGCGAGTGTTATAGCGCAAGAATCTACTCTTCTGACTATTTACTATCGCTGCTGCATGTATTAGAAGCTTTGAGGAAGACCACTCCTCCAACAGTGCCGCCACCAACGCAGTATTGCCTTCATTTATACAGTACATTAACAAACAACCATTCCAAAGAGGTTTGTTTTAAAAATATTTCTAAGCACCCCCTCACTTTGTGTCTCTATATAATCCGATTTTTCTGTTAAAAAACCAAAAATAGTGTAGCCTTTATAAGCTTGTCAGAATTTTCTAATTTATTGTATAACTGATAGTCTGTGTTGTGTGTGAACGTTTATTTTCTATGCATCATGCATTACCATGCCAACAGAGTAATGGAAAAAGAACATAAAAATGATGGAAGAGGTTAAAATTTCATGAACCAATTCTAAATTGTTTTCGTGTTTTAAAAGAAATATTCGTCACATTGATGAAGATCGTTATAGTTTTCTTTCAATCTCCTTTATTGGCATACTCTTACTGTACAAGAGTCATGCAGCAAATTCCGGTATTATATAAATAAGCCATTGACATTAACATCTACAGAAATTTGGCGTAAAACAGTATATAGGGTGGCTTTTTAAAGGTGCTCAAATTCACACAGGAGGTTCAGACTCGGCAGTATAATCGTTTATTGAAGTAATAGTTACAATCTTTATTGATCTAATATTTACAAGATAAAATCTATCTAAAATTACATATTATCTAATAAACCTAATCTCTGTATTCTCCGCACCAAAGGAACATCCCACTGTTTTTGTAGGTTTACTTCCAGTGGGATATTTTCGTTGGGGCAGATAGACAGCCAAGACATCCTTGCCTCCTCTGCATAGGAAAGTTCTGAATCGTGATTAAGGATGTTATTACATAAATCATTTACGCTATGCACGGAAGCAAGGAAGGCAGGTAGAGCGACACTAGAAATTTTCCTTACACCGATACCACCAAAACGATTTGGCAGCGTAGCTTGAGTCCAGCTTAATTCGTTAAGAGATAAATTTAGAACTTTTCTAGAGCTGATTTAAGACGGAAATCAATTTCGTTCAAAAAGTCACCGCATTTCCAAACTGGACTCGAGCGAAGGAGGTACGTAAATTTAGGAACAAGAATACAATGTCGCAAAATAGTAAGCGCAATATGCGAATTTAGTAAAAACAATTTATTAACATGATCTGAAAATTGATTTAACTTTAATTTTAAATGAGGTTCCAAACTTGGTATCAACAAAGGAGCACCTAAGAGGTAAAATGAATCTGAACGGACTACGTTAATTCCCGGTATGATAGAGCTAAAATTTTGGGTCAAAATGATTTTGTCGGAAAAAGAAATCTTTTCGGAAAAGAAAAGTTCGCATTTGGAATTATTTAAATCGAGACCGATATTTCTAAATTGTCTAATAATTTCGATAAGATCACTTTGTACATCATCAACTTTACCTCCCAGCGTACCATCGTCTAGGTACCAGACATTAAGTTTAGATTTCAATTTTGAAATACCTAATTGGATGAATTCCCAAACTAAACAATGCTGGTCTTACTTACACTTTTCACTGTAACATTGCCAAACATAGTGATATATTTCTGGTGTATGGTTAGCCACTTCGTTCAGCAGAGTCGTTCTATCAATGGAGTTAAAAGCATTCCTTAGGTCAACCTTCAGAAGTACATCCAAATCACTAGTATTTAAAGAAGTTCGAACGGAATGTACAGCCGCTTCACAGCCGCCTTTGCTTCCAAAGCCAAGTTGAACAGGCTGGAATTTTGTTTTAAGGCCGGAGATTATGTGCCTACATGCTAATTTTGAAGTTAAGCGTCGAAAGGTGGAACCAGTAGCAATAGGACGGATACCATTATCTTTTTTTTTTAAAGGCACATAATCTTGCCCCGTATAAGAAAGGAGCAAATTTTGGATTTACTTTTCCGGAAAGCATTAAGTTGCATAATTTGGTAATATCATTAAGAAGTGCTCTGCCAGCATCACCGGCGGAAACGCTTACAAGATCTTTCATATGTTGTGGCGTTATACCGTCAATGCTGCCAGCAGAGCCACTTGAAAATGACATAATTGCCTCGAAAGTGTCTTTATCGGTAATTTGCAAAGCCTGATATGAAGAATCGGGAGGCAGCGGTAGGAGCGGCGGAAGATTGATCGATGGATGCTTTTGTCTGAGGTTTTCTCTCTCGCGTCTCATCATTATAAGGAGCAAGGATGTCGTCTGAAAATAAAATGCGCGATGCATTTTATTTTCCAAATCACCATCCATAACTTTAGTCTCTACAGTTCTCTTTAAATCGAATTTACGGGGGGGTTTAGTTATGGATGAGGCAGTCTTTAATTCAACATTTTTGAATGAATTGCTCTTTAACTGAGAAGTAATTGATTTTGATACCGATTTATCAAAGTGAAAATGGGAATACGCAAAGGTAAATAAATTATGCCAACTAGATTCAGTATTTGAGAAACAACTTTGAATACAGGTTGATAATCACTTGGCAAGCTGCATCCTTGCACCTCTTGGAATTTATTTATTTATTTATACTTCATTGTTACACCTTAGGCTAAAGGCTACAATGGGCGGACTTAATGTCTAGTGGCATTCTCTACCAGTCAACCCTTGTCATGGTGAGAAGTAGATGGCAGGTGCTAAAACTAAAGTAAATAAAAGTAGGAAAATATATACATAAAAATCAAATTAAATATAATGTGTGATATATACGAATATATATATATGAATATTATTAATGGAATCCTTTTGAGTATTGGTACATTGCTATGGTAATAATAGATCTGTTCCGAAAACAACTTTAAATTTTTGTCATTATAATCGCTAATAGTCTTATTACAAAATGCGGTAGGCTGTGAAGCTGCAACAGGGTGACTATGACAATGTTTAATGTGAATATTTAAGCCTCTTTTAAAAAGCCTACCGTCGGAACAATTTTACAATTTAAAAACAATTTTTTTTTTCAATGGGAATAGAATGTCAAATCATTCTAATCCCTAAAAAACGGAACGTGTTGACAATGCGGTAGTCATTCATAAGTACCTAAATTTTTCTGTGCACGAACATGTGTGCGTGTTAGTTATGAATAATCGCGCGTAAAATACATGAGTTGCCCATCAAATGAATGTAATTAATTATTTACAAGTGATTTTAAATATTTATCATTTTTTATATAACGTTATTTATGTCTAGAATTTAATAAAAAAAATGGATACACTTAGAAAAGCCTCCCTGTATACATTTTTATATTTCGTCTGGTGATTAAGTTTAAGTTAAACAGGTTTATCCCATGCTGTAATAGTCCATGGGCGACTTTCAATATTTATTAACATTTCATTTGTAAATTTTGCAGATTTCAAAATTCTGCTGTCAAGCTTTACTAGACATAAGACTGCATTTGCACTGTTCACCGCCTTCAATCAGTTTTGCACTAGAAACACGCCCGGAGAAAGAAAAGGCAATCGAAAAAAGGAAAATAATTTCGGAGAGAAACATAGCAGCATTGGAAAAGCTTCTTGGTCCTGATAAGTAAGACAAATACAAATAAATTTTTCAGTTCAGTTAGTTCACATGCAGTGATATTGAAAACAGACTCAAAATTTTGTGACCAATTTTCAAAACACTATTTTATGTTCTTTGTCTGATAAGATGAAATAACTCTATTCACATACTAAATGTGTATTGATATAAAATTTTAAGATAAATATATATATATATAAACAATTTTCTTTCTAATACTTTTATTAATTATGTAATTGTGGAAGTCTAAACATTACATAATGTATTTGCAGGGTACCCAGACAAAGCGGTAATGAAATAATTACTGTCTCTGATGAACCACTGTATAAGAAGTCACGTCTAGACGATGAAGTAGATAATATAAGCTTAAGCAGCGCATCTGTATGTTCAGTAGAAATCCATGATGTAATTGAAGAAAATCCTAAAACACCTAAAGAATTAACAAATGAAAATAAAGTGAATAATGAAACAAGCCCCGTAAATGAACAGTGTAACAAAAATTATAACAATGAAGTTAAAAATACAGAGGTTCATGTTATAGAAGAAAACGATGAGGACGTAGAAATATTAGAACTTAATATTACGGAAGATGCAGAAGAAATTGAAAAAAATACTGCAAAAAACGTGCCAATTTATGAACAGAAAACTCAGATTCCGTTAAATTCGGTGAATGATGGAGTTGATGATGAGGAGAGATCTTTATCCATGGAAGTTGCCTATGATTACCCTAATGGGGGTTCGGGAAAAGTGACAGTTTTAGAAAAACTGGATGATGAAAATCTACCCAGTACTAATGAAACCGATGATGTCCAAATAACTTGCGGGCAAGTATTGTTAACATCACAAGAGATTGAACCAGAAAATCAACCTAAAGAAACTGTAAAAATGACTCCTGACCATGAGATGAAAATAAATGGGATAATTGAATCAAATGGAGATATTAATGAAGCAAAGACCCAAGTTGCTATTAATACTGAAAGTAAATTATGTAAAATTGATGGCATTACTGTTGAAGATATGTTAGCAGATTTTGTGGATGAAGTTGATGATAAGAAAGTTGCTGTTTAAATATTATAATGAGTATAATTTAAAATCGTGCCAAGATTAATCTGCTTATAATGTTATAAAAAATATATAAAATTGTGCTTTTATCAGTTCAATACATTATGTTTACTGATAATTTGTTTTTACTTAAAATATAAATATATCAAAACTTAAATCACATTATTTTTACACAAAGATAATCCTTACAGTTAATTATGTTTTTCAATTATATATAATAATACCATAATGGTGGTGCAATATGGATATGATTTTTGCTGAGATAGAGACAATGTACAAAGCATCATTTGTGTTGTCATCTGGGTCACAGTGAATTATTATTGTATAATATGAAAAACAACCATTACAGTTAATCGGACTACCGCTTATATGTTAGGTGGTGAAACCCATGTTTCAAGAAGTGCTTGAAAGTTAAAACTTTCGTTATTTATTAAGTTATTACAGGCGAACGGCTTGAAGCATTGTATTCGGTGTGAATAATTCTTTCATCGACCATCGCTGCTCGCATGTCAGATACAGCGAGTTCAACCCGAGAATTTCGATAGTTTAAGACACTATTGTTTCCGAGTCCTAGTGTGGGTGGGATAATTAAACTTTTAACGCTCGCATTAACTGTTCGTCCAGATCTTCTAAAGCGTCGATGTCGTCTCGGATGGAAGATATGAGGGGAAGAGGGATAGATACTGGTGGTAGGCTAAATAACAATTAAACATGATCACTCTAATCTTCTCTAGTTTGATCTCGATCCGATACTTACTGAATTATTAGCCTACGGCGCAAGGGCGGATACAGCTTTGGTGCCAGGGGGGGGGGGGGGGTCACATAGTGTGTTAAGCGCGTTTGTAAGCATACATAACATTATATTATATTAATTAAAAATACTGAAAGTACTTACATTAAATCTATATTGTGACAAAAATATATTAAAACATTATGTTTAACAATTTTAATTAGTGGTCCACCTAGGTCGTGGACCCAGCCCAGGGGGGGGTCATGACCCCCACGACCCTCCCCCTGGATCCGCCCTTGCTACGGCGTTTAGACTAGGTGGTAAGCGAATAATAATCCGATTATGTCGAACGGTCGCGAAGAGGGCTGTGTGACGTCGTTAGCGTATTGTACCAACTCGACTTACGGGTCCTTTTTTATCTATCTTGGGGAGGGTATCTTCAAAAGGTATCCTGTCAGGTGATAAGGACTCCAGGATCTTCTACGGAATGCACCGGTGCCTCCATCTTGCAACATGTCGACTGTTTCGTACTGCTACTAGTCCGTGTCCCCTTTTAGTCGCGTTTAGAGACGTCCTGGTATTTCTACACCTTTAGATTTTTTTTTTGAATAGAGTTAAGGTGAAAGTACCGATCATTGGGAACTATAAACAGATACAGAATTATAAAAAACAAAATTAAAATAATGAATTAATGATTAATTAACAAATTATCCAATCAAGTGCCAGGCCAGGCCATAATCAATAGCTGGCCTAAAGGACGCGACACCAGGGCCGTTCAAATAATTAAAAATAAAAATAATCAATAGTCAAAATGACATTATTGACATTGTCAATTTTGAGCTTTCAAACTTTTATCTTCATTTTACGTTACATCTTATTTGTAAACAATTAAACATTCTTCCTTTTGAAGCTATCTTATTAATTAAAGTAAACCATGGTTATAGCAATTGGGTTTGAAGGAAGTGCCAATAAACTTGGTATTGGTATTGTGAAAAATGGAGAAATTCTTGCTAATTGCAGACGAACATATATAACACCGCCGGGAGAAGGTTATATTTGAATATTTTACCTCTCTAATTTACTTATTTATGTGATTTAATTTACTTATGAATGTTAAAAACAGTATCCAATTTTTATAATTAGGTATGAATAAACTTATAATAAATGTATATAAACATTGCCTCAAAAAAGTAGGTGTCTCCATGAAACATAAATACAAATTATTCCAGGTCCGTAAATAAAAATATAGTGAATAAGAGATTCATTGAAAACACATGTAAATATTTTATGGCTATATGAAATAAAATGAATGCAACTGTATGCAGCAATAGTACACAAAATTGTTTTAGTAACTAATTATAAATTTAATGAAAAAAATATGAATGACTTTCAGGTTTTCTGCCAAGGGAGACAGCTGAACATCATCAGGAAAATATTCATGAGGTACTTCGAGAGGCATTTACACAATCGGGCTTAGGCCCAAAGGATATAGACATTGTATGCTATACCAAAGGCCCAGGGATGGGTGCACCATTAATGGTGTGTGCCATTGTAGCCAGAACTTGTGCCAAGCTGTGGGACAAACCCATCATTGGTGTCAACCATTGCATTGGACGTATCCTTTTCAACATATAAACAGTGAAAATGATAATTTGCACATGTTTATTTGAATTTATACATTCACTGTATATCAATCAACAGTCAGAAATGCTGAAGGTCACACTCATAACAAAGCATTCTTTCATTGTAACTGTAAAAGAAAATTGACAGCAATTTTATTTTTTTGTTAAAAAAAAATGAAAACCAAATTAGTGCCCTTACATAGTACCATTCAGATATTGAAATGGGCAGGCTGATAACAAAGGCAAACAACCCAACTGTATTGTATGTGAGCGGTGGCAATACTCAGATCATTGCCTATTCTAGGAAACGATACAGAATTTTTGGAGAAACAATAGACATTGCCGTTGGAAATTGCTTAGACAGGTAACTGCATAACATCCTTTATTTACTATTACAACAATATAATTTATTACAACAATTATTTCAAGAACAACTAATGAAACCACATTATTTTTCATACTATAAATTTCAGATTTGCAAGAGTATTAAAACTTTCTAATGCACCCAGTCCTGGTTATAATATTGAACAGGCTGCTAAAAAAGGAAAAAAATACTTGCCATTACCATACAGTGTTAAAGGTCAGGACATCAACATTGTTATCTGCTTATTTCCATTAATTGAGAATAGATAGAATTTATATAGGTATTTTTTAAAGTATCAATTATTGTTAAAAAGTTAATAATTTTTAAATACAAAACTGAAAAGTTGTAATCTTGTTGTGTATTTAGGTACAATCTTGAGTTTCTATATTAATAACTACATATTTTTAGTACCTAAAATTTTGACTTTTATTTCCTTAACATAACTAATAATTCAATTTTATATGTCTTATTAATATTGTAGACCTCTTGTAATGCTTTCGGGTAATACATTTTCACAGGTATGGATGTGAGTTTCTCTGGTATTTTATCATTCATGGAGGACAAAATTCATGAACTCTTAATGGAATACACTCCAGAAGATCTGTGCTATTCATTGCAAGAAACGGTGTTTGCCATGCTGGTTGAGATTACTGAGAGAGCTATGGCACACTGTGGCTCTGATGAGGTACTAAATTACTATACAGCGTGTCGTTACCACCGCAACAATAAACAAACACACATATAGAGGATAACTTTTTTAAATTGTATTAAACATTTACATTCTTCAAACATCAATATTTACCGAGTTATTAAATTTTCCAAAACAAACAATTTTAGAACACCCTTACGTATAAAACTGTAACGTAAAGTTCATTTGTAAAGGTCATAAAGCATATGAATGGGTTGAATGAATTTAAAAGAGACAAAACATACTGTTAGAAGGAGAGCCTTGTAATGCGACGCTGTGGCGCGAGTTGTATAGGATGTTACAAATTTTGTTTCTTTTTTACTTAATCACTTTGTTTGAAGTAGCGTTAGACCTGTGTTCACTTATTGTCGCGATGGTAACGACACGCTGTATACTACTATACTAATAGGGATACTGAAATGAAACAGAATCTGTCTGCGGATTCCATAGTAGCAGTCAATCCAGCAAACTAGGACACAGCGGGCTCATTATCTACTTTTCCGAAAATAATTGAGTCATGAAACCAAACCGATAATTTACCGCACATAGTCTGAGGCAAAGAACGTAACTTAAGGGAGAATGCGATGGAGGCAGGAGTACTATATAAGGCTTCTGCCCCATCTAGGGGCCATAAGACAATTCGAAGACCTTTAGAGAATCAATGCAGATATTAAGGAAAAGAAGTGAAAAAATGTTCGCAATTACAAACTGTAAATTGTGTGGTTTAATAAATGAACTAGCTCCACTAACGTCATGTAGAAATACAGAGTATTACATTTGTGTTCTTATAAGTTGACAATGCCCCTTAAACCCTCCTAATGTTATGTATGTCCATAGACGGTGTTAATCTGTAACCATTTTTGTGACAACTTGCGTTTTATAAATTTTAGAGTTTTTTATAGGGCTAATCTCTGCACTTAAGATTGAACATTAAAACATGTAGAAAAAGTACGAAAAGATTGTCGCCGTTGTGGGAATCGAACCCACGTCTTTGCCATTCGCGGCGCTCTTGCCACTGAGCTAAACGGCTGATAGTCACATCGACGTTGCAAACTTGCGTTTGTTAGCTAATTATTTTTGTAGATAACATTTTTAATTACGGAAACTTTTGTATGGGGACTACTTTATTAAAATATTGTCAGCTAGGATGTTGCCGGTTGACATCTTGCATACAAAAAAATAACGAAAACAAACACCATTCCAGGTGTTGATAGTGGGCGGGGTGGGCTGCAACCTGCGACTGCAGGAGATGATGGGCGTGATGTGCTCGGAGAGGGGCGCGCGATTGTTTGCGAGCGACGAGCGCTTCTGCATCGACAACGGTGTGATGATCGCCCACGCTGGAGCCCTAGCGTTCGAGTCGGGCGCCGCCGCGGATTTCGACGACTCCACCGTGACGCAGCGGTATCGCACCGATGATGTGCTGGTTACCTGGCGCGAGGACTGAGCCCACGCTTACCCAGATTGGTGTTCAATGTCTAGTTGTATGTTGTTAAACCTTTTGCCTAAGTGTAAGCATTATATGTCTGTTTTTTATACATGTTAATGCAGGGCAACTTTGGGTTGTTGTGTTGCAACATGTTGTTTTTTGAGCCATTAATCAATGACAAAGATTAGCTGAAATCTGTTAATATCTATAAATCATTGTTAATTTGAGTTGTTGTTCTATTACTATACTGGGACTTTTTTCACTGTACAGATCTTTTTCACTTAGTTGTAATGCTCAGTCCACTTTTAAACCATTATTATAGATGACCCACACTCTGATAAAGAAGAGTGCCATTTAAATAAGTTAAAGTTAAGATAAGAAAATAAGTTGTTAAACAAAATTTCTTCCTTGTTCATAATTTAACATCTCTTTTTAGAATCCGAATTCTGTATTAGATTAGGTTAAGATCACAAATAGGGGATTGCATATAATATAATTTACAGCGTGTTGTTACAACCGCGACAATAAATGAACACACATATACAGGATAACTTTTTAAATTGTATTAGGCACTTACATTCTTTAAACATCAATATTTACGTTACGTTATTAGTTATTAAATTTTACAAAACAAACATTTTTAGAACATCCTTACATATAAAACTGTAACATAAAGTTCATTTGTAAAAGTCGCAAAGTATATGAATCGGTTGAATGAAAGACACGCTGTATAAATCAAATAATGGTCTAAAATTATTTACTAGGGTATAGTATTAAAAATAGACTGTTATAAACGCTTTATTTAGTTTTATTTTGCTTTATTTATATTTAATGATATATTGACTGTCTTTATAGATTTTTAAATTGGAATTATTGTGTCTCAAATTTAAGATTCTGGAAGTGCTAAGGTCGTCAAGTACTTTAAAAAGAAACAGAATCAGCATTAAATCAACCAACCAATTTAATTATTTGTCCAGAACAGTAAATAACTTTGAGTTTATTTAACAAACATAATATATTAAAATGGTAAAATTGTTCTCCAATAAATATCTATGGTTATATGAATATCATTTTGAACTTATGGTGGCCTAATATGATGAAACAGTAGCCGTAATATAAACAAACGGAATGATAGAGATTGAAGCATTGCTAATACTTTCATTTTATAATTATTACAATTCAAATAAAGGCCTTAAAATAAAAGTTTTACTACATAATATCTATTAATTTAAAGAAAGCAATACTTAACTTCATGCATAAGCTAATTATTAACAAACCAGTATCTGGATTCTTAGCATTTAGAACAGTAAATAAATTTATGGTTCCCACAACTGTAGTATTCTGTTAAAGAGTATTTAAGTAAACAACAACAATATTATTTATATATATTTTCATTTCAATCCATTAAAATTTAACTATAAATATGCAAAAATAAGCAAGGATGCCTGTTAGCTACCATGCTTGGTGGAAATTAACAAATCAGCATTAATCCTCATCACTTTCTTAAAACTATTGTCTTCAATTATGCTATTACATTTATGATAGCAATACCAACAATTTATTACAAGATTTTAAATTATTATTGTGGTAATAATGCTACATCATACTATATAATAACTAATAACACTACAGCTTCCAAAAGGTAGCTAAAAAGAATTAATGTTACTATTCAATTGGTTCCTTGGTAATTAAATATTGAATGTAATTTAAATTCACTCTTGTTCATATTGCTGTATGCAAGACCATGCATACACAAGTTGCCCATGTCTATAATACCATAACACACATCACAAAACCAGATTTAATGACTTGTCTTAAAAGTTAAGGGTCCATAGTTATATATAACATGATGATATGAAATGTATTCATATACTTTTTTTTAAAACATTCCAAATAAATTTTAAAAATTGAGCAAAGCGTTATCAGAGCTTTAACAACGTCATTATCATTTTTACTATGTTACATTAATTAAAATGTGGTATAAAAAATATAACAATTAATTCACAACAACAATAAAATAATGATATTCAAGTCATGTTAAAAAATTAGTCAGTAGTAGTTTTATATAAATATACTTGTGTGATTATGTTAGTATTAACTTTTTTCTAAACAAAAATCTCAATTCTTTAAAAAATTATTGAGGGTTTTTTTTTATATTATAAAAAATGATGATAGATGATAATAGTCAAAATACTTATAGGTAGAACAATTTGGTTTCATGAGAAAATAATAATTCTATATTTTAAAAACCTCATAACTTAGAAGACAAGTCATAAAAAACCATACAATATTTTTCTCCCCTTTGTACTTCATAAATTGGCAGTATTCTTGGCTTGATTCATCCATCTGTATTTCATAAATTGTCACTGTTATGTAGGCCTGTGTACATAATTATCCATGTCACCTGAAAATCAGAGTGTCAAGTTATTAATTGTCTATATAACAATCAAACAAGCTTTGTAAAAACCTAATAAGTTACTTATGGATTGCGTTAAAAACATACAGAATTAGTAAATAGTACAATATAGTATATTGGTATTCGTAGTAAATGTTATCTTTTACCAAGAAACCTGCAAAAGATGTCATAAAGCCTTCCTTTGTAATCTCCCACATTCCACCATATTCCTCCTCATCAATATTCTGATAATTGCTTACATAAAGATATATCACACCTGCATTCACAACCACAAATCTGGAAGTAGAAAAATATTTGTAAACCATATAATTAATGTAGCTGTGTTTATTAATTGCATATGGATTCTTTATAATTATGTAAATATTAGTATTGTGTTGTCTAAATCATTTTTAAATAATTGAAAAATCTATTTCACTTACAATAACAATCCAACAAATCCCTTTAAAGGTAATAGTCCCCAACAAAGACCTAGAACAATGCCCATAGCCTGTCTCATCCAATAAATAACATCCAAAAATTCCTCCTGAAAAAAAAAAAAGTATTATTAAAATATTAATAAAGAAGACAAAATAATAATTATGTCATGGATCATTAATATTACAAGAATAAACATTTATGAAATGATTTAAATATAATTTTACGGTTATAACAAATTACTGTTATCAGAGTTCTAAACAATCGTTATAACAAATTTTGCTTAATTTTTTAATTAACTAATCCCCGTGATTTAAAACTAACCTTATCGGGCCATTCAGCATTACTCGTAAATGCCTTCGCCCACAGAGACTCTGTAGTTTTACCTTTAGTAAGGCCATCGGAAGTTTTGTTTTTACTGGCCATATTACTCACAAGAATGAGTACTGTCTGTTAAATATAATAATTATTTTTAATCCTAATCGATAAGTACAGAGCTGACGAGAAAGAGAAGACAAGACAACTATCATTTCATGATTTACTTACACGTCACTGTCAATTTGACATTAATATGTAGCGTTTCATAACACGCAAAGCTGTGCATTGATTGCAGTTGCACTAATTCAATTACATTTTGCATTGCAAGAATGGACAAGCCAAGCGATGTCCAATGAATAAAACTTCATTATGGACAAAGGATATGAGAAAATATTTCAGTTATGAAAATGGTCGCTCCTAAAATATATTTGATTGATACTGATATGATTTAAAGATCTTACCAGAGTCTTTCTCGGTCTTACAGAGATCTTTAAATTGCATCAGGTTCTGGGCCCATAACCTGATATGTCGCTGGTTTCGTCGTTATGCGCAGTTTTTTCTTCAAATCTTCTAAGAAGGCGTTAGCTGTGTCTTCATCAGTGGCAGCTACTAATCCGTCATCGACGTACAACGTGATCAGTAGTTTCTTTCCGTTTACTTCTCTTGAATATAAGCAGCAATCAGCTTCGGACTGTTTGAAGGTCATAACCAATAGGATCTCTTGAAAGCAAGAATTCCAGCACCTTGGTGCTTGTTTAAGTCCGTACAGGCTACGGTTAAGCTTGAAAACGGTAGACGTAGCCGTTCCTTCCGTGAGGATGCACCCTTCTGGCGGTTGAACGAATATTTCTTCATCGAGCTTTCCGTTCAGAAAGGCTGTGCAGACGTCGAATTGGACCAGGTGTAAGTTTTCCTGCGCACTAACACTGAGTAATGCCCGTACAGTAGCCAGGCGTGCCACAGGACTGAAGGTCTGGTCATAGTCTACTCCTTTCCTTTGTCTGTACCCTTTTACGACAAGTCGGGCCTTGTATTTGTCGATCGTGCCATCTGGATTTCGTTTGATCCGTAAAACCCATTTGCAGGGAAGTGCTTTTCTTCCTTTTGGCAGTGCACACGGCGTCCAAACGTTCTGGTGTTCGAAGGATTTCAATTCGCTATCCATTGCCCATTGCCATTCTTCGCGATCGTCCCTTTTCATAGCGTCTGCGAAATTATTTGGGAATGTTTCAGTGATACAGACGTAATCTCTTAGTCTCTCAGGACGTCGAATCAGTGAGCGATCTCTAAGATTATAGCCGGGTGGCGGTGGTTCAGCGTCGTAAAATTCTTCTGGATCTGTGGTTTCTTCTTCATGGTCATGGTCTTCGTGGAGGACTTGATCCGATTCTTCTCCCTCGAGAACATGATCATGGTCGTTGGAGATTGGTTCGGGTGTATCTCCCTCGTGAACGTGAGTTTGCTCTGGAGCTGCAACTTCTCTTTCTAAGTTCGTATTGGGCGTTATGGAAATCGGGTATTCTCTCGTCTCAACTTCTGTTTTAGGAATTTCACTATTACAGATCGGAAGAGGTTTCTCATCGAAGATTACGTCACGAGAGCGGACGATCGTCGAGTGTTTTCCATCTGTGACCCAGATACGGTAACAATCTTCATCGTACCCGATAAGTCGACCTTTTATCGCCTTTTTATCGAGTTTTCTACGCTTCTGCTTTGGGATATGGACGTATGCGGTTGAGCCTATTATTCGGAGATGTTTAATAATAGGTTTCCTTCCATACCAAAGTTCATACGGAGATTTCTTATCTGAACTTGTGGGGCCTGTTCTGTTCAGAATGTATGCCGCGGTATTAATGAGCTCTGCCCAAAGCACTTGTGGTAATGGCTCTTGAGCATACATCATCGATCTGCCTGTCTCAACTAGGGTTCTGTTATCCCTTTCGCTTACTCCGTTTTCTTCCGGTGTATACGGGGTGACGAGTCGCTGTATTATTTATTCCATGAGTGTCTAAAACACTTTTTATGGACGCATTATCAAATTCGCCGCTGTTGTCACTCAAAAGGCATTTTATGGTGTGTCCGACAGTTTTAGTTTGAGCGATCATCAAAACTAACTTGTCTTTGACCTCGGACTTCTTGCGCATAAAGTACACCATACGGTAGCCAGTAAAGTCGTCTTTAAACAAAACGTAGTACTTATAGTTTGAGAAGCTAGGTTGAAACGGTCCACAAACGTCAGCGTGTACGATTTCTCCGGGCGCGGTAGCTCGGGTTCTTGTACCGAATTTAAGTCGATGCGCCTTTCCAAAGATGCAGCCTTCACAGGTCTCTTTATCCATCGGCAGGTTAAGACCTAGTTCCCGTTGGATCGTCGCTCTTACGTGTCTTTTATTTTGGTGAGCGAGTCTCTCGTGGTACAGTTGCATCATTGCTGTAGTTGCAAATACTTCGGGTGGTGTTTCTGGAAGTACGTGTTTTACTTCCAGTCGATATAAACCTTGTTTTTGTCTCTTCCCTATTAAGCACACATTTCCGTTGACAATGACGTTGCATTCAGATGTCCTGGATGAAAAGGTGCTATTCGGGACTCGGTCGTGAAGTGCGAGTACGGAGAAGAGGTTCTTGCTTATGGCCGGAACGTACCAGACGTCTTGCAGGCTGATGTCGATTTGTTTCCCGTTAACATATCCTCTGAGCTGTACTGTTCCTTTGCCTTTGGCACGGACTTTATTACCAGCGGCCGTTGTAACAGTGTAGTTCTGATTGAAATGTTCGTAGGTTTGGAAAATGTCAGCTCTGTTGGTGACGTGGCTTGTGTTGGAGTTAATATATATAGAAACTCATTAACAAAAAAAATGAACATAGACATAGTGACAATAAATGTCTTGACTTATGAAAAATAAATCGGACAGTTCGTGAAGTAAAAATAAAATAAAATGAAAACTGTGATTTCGATAAAATTCTATAACATCCGCGTAATAAATTCTACATTATAAAAGTGTGTTAGTATATTATTTCGTAACTGCCTGCGCTCTGCAATTTAAAGATCTCTGTAAGACCGAGAAAGACTCTGGTAAGATCTTTAAATCATAATCGGATCAAGTCCTCCACGAAGACCATGACCATGAAGAAGAAACCACAGTTCCAGAAGAATTTTACGACGCTGAACCACCGCCACCCGGCTATAATCTTAGAGATCGCTCACTGATTCGGCGTCCTGAGAGACTAAGAGATTACGTCTGTATCACTGAAACATTCCCAAATAATTTCGCAGACGCTATGAAAAGGGACGATCGCGAAGAATGGCAATGGGCAATGGATAGCGAATTGAAATCCTTCGAACACCAGAACGTTTGGACGCCGTGTGTACTGCCAAAAGGAAGAAAAGCACTTCCCTGCAAATGGGTTTTACGGATCAAACGAAATCCAGATGGCACGATCGACAAATACAAGGCTCGACTTGTCGTAAAAGGGTACAGACAAAGGAAAAGAGTAGACTATGACCAGACCTTCAGTCCTGTGGCACGCCTGGCTAGTGTACGAGCATTACTCAGTGTTAGTGCGCAGGAAAACTTACACCTGGTCCAATTCGACGTCTGCACAGCCTTTCTGAACGGACAGCTCGAGGATGAAATATTCGTTCAACCGCCAGAAGGGTGCATCCTCACGGAAGGAACGGCTACGTCTACCATTTCCAAGCTTAACCGTAGCCTGTACGGACTTAAACAAGCACCAAGGTGCTGGAACTCTCGCTGTCAAGAGATCCTATTGGATATGACCTTCAAACAGTCCGAAGCTGATTGCTGCTTATATTCAAGAGAAGTAAACGGAAAGAAACTATTGATCACGTTGTACGTCGAAGACGGATTAGTAGCTGCCACTGATGAAGACAAAGCTAACGCCTTCTTAGAAGATTTGAAGAAGAATCTGCGCATAACGACGAAACCAGCAACATATTATCTTGGTCTTTAAATCCATCGAGGAAAGGATGGCACCATCTTTATCAACCAAGAGGCATACGCGAAAAAGGTATTAGACCGCTTTCAAATGAGTGACTGAAATCCCGTTTCTACACCGATTGAGAGAGAGACTCTTCAAGAAGGGAAAGAAGAAACGGAAGATTCCTGTTTCCCATATAGAGAAGCTGTCGGTGCTCTGGCATACTTAATGGTTGGTACTCGGCCTGACATTGCTTATGCCATCGGAGTTGTCTCAAGAAAGTTGGAGAAACCTGCAAAGACAGATTGGCTCAAGGTAAAACGTATCTTGCGCTACATCAAAGGTACCATTTCGCATGGGATCTCCTATAAGGCTGGTCACAAACCTGGAATCCTAGAATCGTGTTTCATGGATCAGCCAGCGACAAACATCGGTCGCTATCTCCACTACAGAAGCCGAAATTGTGGCAGCCAGTGAAGCCAGCAGAGAACTAATGTGGCTTGCTAGAATATCCCAGGCATTGACTACAATTGCCGTACCGGTCCTGCATGTGGACAATGATGCTGCTGTTCGTCTTGCTCACAATCCCGAGTTTCACAAGAGAACGAAGCATATCCGGCTCAGACATTTCTACGTTAGAGAATTGGTAACTGAAGGTATCTGCAACGTTGTAAGGATCGGAACAAAGGATCAAGTCGCAGACATCCTCGTCCAAAGCACTACCTCGTCCGTCATATGCAGTTCTACGCCAGGCGCTAGGATTGTGTACTATGTAAATGTTTAGGGAAAGTGTTGGAGTTAATACATATAGAAACTCATTAACAAAAAAAAAAAGTAAACAGACATAGTGACAATAAGTGTCTTGACTTATGAAAAATAAATTGGACAGTTCGTGAAGTAAAAATAAAATAGAACCTAATAACTAGGTTTTGTATTATTCATCAATTTATTAAGCAGAAAATATATACATACATAAGAACAATTGTGTCAGTAATAAGGAACATCCAAAAGAATAATTTTAAAAACAATTTTTACATTTATGGCGAATGGCCAGTATTATATAATATTGATACCAAACTTTTTGAGGTAGCGGTAAAATGTTATCAAAATACGAACAATTAGGTCCTTAAAATGTAAGTTACTCGACTATTTAATGCATTCAGAATAGAGTCTAGAGGTATACTAATATTGTTCAGAGATTTCTACGTTCGTGTTGGGATTGCATTCCCAGAGTGATACATTGTATCGCTATAATATTAATATAAAACATATTGGCAAATTTAATAAAAACTGTAATGAACTAATTTTTTCGCACTGAAGATTAATTCATCAGTTTACAAGTTTTCAATACTACCCATTCAAGAGTACAAGAGTGACATTAAAAACGGACCAAAGTTTTACCTAAGAGCAATTTTGAAGATGCAAATGGCAAGACATGGCTGGCACTTAATCACTTTTTATAATAATTATTATTATTTCATTATCATTTCAGACCAGTCCATTGCTGAACGTAAGACTCCGGCACAACTTTCGCTAAATGACCATTGCGACCAAAGAACAAGGCAATCACCCTCTTTTCTCTACTTCTTTCTTTCTTTACTTTAGTTGGCCGATCCTCAAAAGGAATCCAATTAGTACCTAGATTGTCTTTTGGTTTTGGGTTCGTAGCAATATATCCAGTTTTAATCACCTGTGACGATGTCAAATATAGCATTAGGGGTGACACTTGATCCGTTGAACTTTTCTAACTTCTCGCGACACCAATCCACGTGAACAAGTTTGTAATCTTCGGTCAAAGTATGGGATAAGGAATCCATCCGGATAAAGCTCCCTGACGACTAAGTAAAATATTATACGACATAAGATTTTTTATACTTGACTCATACCAATGACTGTGGTAGGGCCACGCAGCAGCCTCGTAGAAGCCTCAAAGACCGGCGTAAAGCGAAAGTATAATACTTTCGCATTTCGTCTGGAGGTAATTCTTTTATCTTCCTCTATCATGCGGCGTCGTCCTCACAGCACTGACGTTCACGATCTTCACACGTCGCTGTTGAAGGACGTCCCTCACACTCAAACTCATTAAATAAATAATATTATACAAGGTGGCCTTTCTAAAGGTGCCCAAATTCACACAGGAGGTTCAGACTCGGTAGCATAATCGTTTATTGAAATAAAAACAAACTTTTTTTGTTTAAAAAAAATTGCCATGCTATTCCCTAAAAAACAAGAACTTGTTGACAATGCGGTAGTCATTCATAAAATGCGTCGTATACTTTTGAAACAAACTTGTGTGGGTGTAGTTATGAATGATCGCGCGTAAAATGAGTTGCCCATAAATCACGCACTTTTTGTGATAAGTTCAAATGAATGTATTCAATTAATTACGAGTGATTTTAAATATTTATCATTTTTATATAACATTATTTACGTCTTGAATTTAATAAAAAAAATGGATACACTTAGAAAAGCCTCCCTGTATACAAACACGAGGTACTTATAGTACAAGCGCACCAAAACATCATTGGGGTTCTTTACTAAATACCAATCGATCTCCATCATAGGTTTGAGACCATCTTGAGTACAGACCACGAGTCATAATAAATTACGGACCGAATTTCTCGTATTGAATTCGTTTTGAAGTCTAAGAAGTCTTTAGTAATAGACGCCAGTTAAAAAAAAAAATTACAAATGAACGGAATAAAATTAGCGCGAACCCGCAATGCGAGTCGGTAGCACTGAACTTATGTATACAGCTTGTCGTTACCATCGCGACAATAAATGAACACACGTCTAACGCTAATTACCAAAAATCATAAAAAAATATTAACGTTAAAAAATCCATAATTAAAAAAAATTCCAACACTAATTAAGTAAAAAAGAAACAAAATTTTTAACATCCTATACAACAACTACTGACTGATTCATACATTCAGACTTTTTCATTCTTTGCCACAGCGTCGCATTACAAGCCTTTCCTTCTAACAGTATGTTTTGTCTGTTTTAAATTCATTTAACTCATTCATATGCTTTGTGACCTTTACAAATGAACTTTAAGTTACAGTTTTAAACATAAGGGCGTTCTAAAATTCTTTGATTTGGAAAATTTAATAACTCTGTAAATGTTGATGTTTTAAGAATGTAAATGTTTAACACAATTTTAAAAAGTTATCCTCGATATGTATGTTCATTTATTGTCGCGATTGTAAAGACACGCTGTATACAGCATACTGCCCCAAGAAGTTAATACTTTTATTAAATAATAAATTTTATAAATATTATTTAGGCTTTGGTAGATAGAAAATCCACAATCTTCACGATAATCATTTAGTTCTTAACTGCATAGGTTTCGGGTTAAATTAGTTCATTAACATAATAAGAACAGTTGCAATGTAAAAAAATTATTAATTTAATTTCAGTTTAAAAGGCGGATACGACTCTGTTTTTTATTCGGTCTTGTCTGTCGTTTTCCATCTTTCTTGTAATATTCCAACATTCTTTATTTAATGTGTCATGTCCCCGGGAGAGGCTGACTAGCCTTGCTAACACCAAAAGCCGATGCAAGTCATCAGCTGTCACTGGGTTCTCCGTGTCGGATTGACTTCGCATTTCTATAAAATCGTCTTCAACAAACTGAAATGAATATAGGATATAAGAATACAGTCGGCTTGATTAAAAAAAATGAAAATAATATTTTCTTGTACTGTTTCCTTTTATTCTAAGACTATGCAGAACAGCTGTTTTGTTTATAATTTTTGTGCAGCATTAAATAAACTAAAAATTGTCAACTGCATATTTTAAAATATTTATACTCATACATTTAATACTCTGTAAAAACAGACTTACCTGTAAATCTTCACTTATAGTGTACTTGACAAGTTTTAAATTAGTCAAATATTTTCTGACAGTATTCATTATATCTTCCTTGAGGTAATAGGTGGCGGCTTCGACAATTGCATCAAAAATTTCTAGAGATGATTCTTCAGGTCTTAAAGGAACATGGTAGTCACTCTGGAAGTAAGGAACACTTGAAAAGAAAATACATACTCTGTAATGAGAATTGTAATGTTGTTATATAATTGAATCTATTATGGTCATGTTTTATAGTTAAATTTTATATCCTTTATTGCCAAGTTTTGATGTGGTATTTAACTGATTAATTATGGCAATGGTTATCATATGTTTAGGTTAGTTTAAACAGTTATAGAATCTCTTGTGCAGAAATTTTTTAATTCATGGATTGTATTTTACCATATCTATTTATTTCATTTATGTTATATATTTCATATTGATCAAAAACCTAGTTTATTTTTTTTTTTTTTTTTTCATTTGTTATTCTTATGTTTCATAATTTACCGGCAATAAAGATTTTCCTTCGGATAGAATCAACACTTTAATATCAGAGTCAAACTCCATCTTATAATATTTAAAGTCATATTCGACTTTCTGGGTGGTGATCATGTTGCCCAACGCAGTGATATTGCCAACACCTGTTGAATCTAAGCGTCCTTGTTCCATTTTTGTTTCATCCAATACAAGATGTGTGTGTTTGCTCAACTGTAAAATGCCACTTGTTAGCCTGTTGCACTCATAGTCTTTTCTGTAAAAGTAAATCAAATTTACTAACAATTACTATTAGTCCAAAAAAAATGAGAGCTCTTCTATCAACAAGAAGCAGCCCAGAAAAGAGAGTAGTGGCGTCTTTTCGTGTTGGAGGCCAAGATCCTCTTTGTCCCTTGTCCCTTAATTACTTTTCACTTAAACAAAGAACTAATGCCCTATCTTTATATATATAATTCTACTGTATGTGTGTATATTACTGAACTCCTCCTCAACCTCAACAGCTGGACCGATTTTCTGTGTCTTCAGGTCGATTCAAGAATGGTTTCAATTCACAATTTGATCCACTACAATTTTTTTTAATTTCTAAGTTGTCGATTTTAAGTTGACAATGTCTGTCCGGTCTGCTAGTATTGATGTAAAATGCATATCAAGCAGTGGTTACATTCGTGATCAGAATTTTATTTAAAGTTAATTTTATTACAGCTACAAAAAGAAACGACATCAAGTGTACTTGCAATCTAAGTCTTCAATGGTGTCAAATGCCTTAGTTGATTTTAACTACTAAAAATAACATATTAAAAACACATTCCTTACTTTGGTAAAAGTGCCATAGTATTCAAGTTGTCAATAGTAAGGGGTAAATAATAACTCTTGGTGACAAATTGCTTGATAATATCATATAGTTGTTTTGCATAGTTTGGATATTTTTTTGTAGGCAAGTTTGAGAGATTCAAGCAGAACTGACCCAGAGCTAGGGTATCTTGACGAAGATAGCTGTAAAATATGAAATAACATTTACAAAAATTAAAACATCAACAGCCAATTCACATTTTTTTAAAATTCTTGACCCTGTCAAATTTTCTCAGAGTACCATGAGCAGTCTCTGAATGATTATACAACTTTGTGTATTTTTCCATGAAGGGTAGGTTTTGAAGAATAACATATTTAGATAATAGATGGCGTCATTATACATTATAAATAAGAACTTTTAAAAAAAGTTTTTTTATGAAAACAATAATTATTATTCTATTTGTTTTCATCAATAACGGTAATTATAACCTTTGAAATGGTGTGTTAATCAGATAATTTAATAAAGAATTAAGGAAGTTGATGTACTGACAAAAACACCTTTGATACATAATTTATATGTATTATGGTTAAAAATATTAACTATATAAAAATTATCACTTTGTTGATCAATCAAGTGTAAAAAGTCAGTTGTGGTGCTCCTTGATATTTTAAGAAGTTCACCCAACCAATCAAACCAAAACAGATTTTCTTAATTATAACGAATTGATTAAAAGTGCTATTTTAATAACTTAACTTATTCCCATAGTTTATTACATTTGCCAAACAAATTAACAACTGTGAATTCCCATATCCGTAACCCGTACATTAAGACATGCTGTTATTGTTATTTAATAATGAGTCTGCATATATTCATTTGATCATTGCATAATTAATTAAGAAAATTTTTATTTCCAAATATTAGTTTTTTCAGCAAACTTATTATTATTTTTGTGAATGGTTAATTCTCGTTAATTAATCATTTCCATTGTGCACCGCCTTTTTTTCTGAGTTTCTTGTGGATTAATTTGATTAAGAATCTGTTAAGTAGTACTCACATCTTATTTCTACTATTTCAATAACTAGTACTCACACACATGCAATTAGATGACAAATCAAATATTCTGCTGCCAATTGATCACCAAGAAGTAATTCTGTCAAAGCCTTTAATAGGTGCTCTCTTGCTGAATTTGCTTCTTGTAATACAGGTGCTGAAAGTATAATTTACAAGCAGTTATTATTACTTACTAATTTGTACATAGCATTTTGCGCAACATGATATATGAAATAACATGTTTAAAGCTCTTTGGGTTTAAAGTCAAAACAAATAAAACGCAATAATTATCTACAAACATCGACCCTTAATGACATTGGGTATATTCTTTTATAGTAATAAAAAGCCCATTGTCATAAAATAAAAAGTATACAACATATAAGCCATCTTTACATATGACTTAATTGAAACCCAGCGTCACCATGGTGTGAAAACCGAAAATATGATTACATATTTTGAGTGTTAGTGCATAGTGATTCTTACTCTGATCAAAAACATCGCCAAGCAAAGGATTACAGTGATCTAATTTCTTCACAAACACTGCATGGATCCTGGGCACCAAACTTGGAGGCGGATTATGTGTGATAGTTTCGGCATTATTCTCGCAATCAGGCTCTAAGAAGCAGTTCTTATCTGGCTGGAATTCGCCAGATAGGGCCGGATCAACAGAAAGGAAACCAACTACTTCAATCATGTCATTTAATTTAAGATTATCAGCCTCTCCATATATCTGTAAAAGACACTAATACTTTAAATCATAAACAAACAATTTGTCTACAATGTTTTTAAAATGAAACATATTTCTTGGGTCATATGTTGTTTTTATATTAGAAAATTTCCTAAAGTTTTTCAGGCAATTTTTTTTAGAACTTTAAACTGATTTTTTTTAGAAAACACTTACTTTAACAATACATGATTTACTGTTAACATCCGGTAATGGAAAATTCAATAAATGCTCCCTGGAAACTGCACTGGTCTCACTGTCTATGACTTCAGTTGTTTTTGGCTCTTTATGAAGAACACTATTATCAACCACATCCATGGCTTCTGGGTTCTCTTCAGCCTCATCATGTGAACGCTTGAGTTTCAAAGTAGCATTAGAATTGAGCCTCTTAGATGTGTTTGGTTGCTGATCTAAATGCTTTAAATGATTCTGCTCATCCTCTAATTGCTGTGCCCATTCACTTAACCCGGGCAAAGAGACTACAACCATGGCTTGTCTTTGTGCACTTTTTAAATTTTCTGTGTAGTTGACTTTTTCATTCTCCTGTAATATTAAAATCCCAATATTAGCAAATTATAGGACATTGTAATGAACAGCTGGATAATAATATTTATATAATAAAAGGAAATCAAATATACCAAAATATGTGCAGTGTCACAATATTTTCCAGATTTTATTGTGACCTCATTAGTTGCAGTGTTGTAAACTTCAAATTTTTCAAAATAAAATTCAGGGTTATGCATGTCTTGGACCATACCCCGAAAACGTACTAATTTTCCATCTGATAAATTGTGAGATGCATTTGAATTTAATAAAGGAATCTGAAAGGTTATATGGAGGTCAATCAGGAAATGAAATAAATTTATGTTTTGTTTATCCGAAAAAATACCTGGCACCAGTTGGAAAGTTTCAACAGATTCTCTTTCCATACTTCTTCCTTGGCTATCCAAACATTGGGACTAACAGAATCGAAATCAAATGTAAAATCGTGCATTGTGCACGTATTTAAATGAAAATGAAAAAAATAATCAGAGTGCGCACTGAAAATATATTTGGTGGGATATTAACGGCTCCTTAATTCTTTACTTAATAAATTAGGTTAAAATATGTTTAAGGTGAAAACGTTTAGGTTCTGATCGCAATTACTTCACTTTTGTTGATTGATTGACGTTGACAGCCCGCGAAAAATCTACTGCTAATGGGGATGCCGAAAAATATCGATATTTTTAAAAAATAATCGATATTTTTGCCGATATATATTGATCCGATATATCGATATAATTTTTTTTTTTACATCAGATAGGACATACACTATAATTTACTGTAAACTTATATTTACAAGATTAAATCTATCTAAAATTACATATTATCTAATAAACCTAATCCACGCGGAATGGGGACCTAAAGTTTCAACAGCAAATGGCACAAATACATAATCTAAACATAAAGACTCATATTTGTGCCATTTACTTACTTCAGCTGCTTCCGATGCCGCCCCGGCCCTGACCGAAGTATCCCTTAGATGAGAGGCAGCCAAAGTGTCTACACAAGTGGCGTCCCAAACAAGGGCTTTGCCTCTCTCCCAAGGGATCAATGTTAAACCGTCGGGTCTCTTATCATCGTCGCAAAAAATGCCACAGGGCTCTAACATAGATAGAACATTGATGGAAACAAGAGCCCTACGGATGATATCGTTCAGGGAACCGTGGCGGGAAAAACGGCCAGAACTTTTTTGACAAGAAAGCCCGTGGAGATCAAATTTGTCTACACTGACATCACAAGGACATTGGTGTGGTTGACAAATCGGTGCCCCCAGACGGATTCCTACAGCAATGCGTAAGCTTTCATCTTCAAGTAATTTGCCCAAGTTACTTGATGGTAAAGCTTGAAGCCAATAACTCGATTCTCTAGATGAGACGCCTAGGAAACGGGCACGCTCTAAATTACTTTCTAAAGATTGAAACGTATCTCTCTATACTCTCCGCACCAAAGGAACATCCCACTGTTTTTGTAGGTTTACTTCCAGTGGCATATTTTCGTTGGAGCAGATAGACAGCCAAGACATCCTTGCCTCTTCTGCATAGGAAAGTTCTGAATCGTGATTAAGGATGTTATTACATAAATTATTTACGCTATGCACGGAAGCAAGGAAGGCAGGTAGAGCGACACTAGAAATTTTCCTTACACCGATACCACCAAAATGAATTGGCAGCGTAGCTTGAGTCCAGCTTAATTCATTAAGAGATAAATTTAGAACTTTTCTAGAGCTGATTTAAGACGGAAATCAATTTCGTTCAAAAAGTCACCGCATTTACAAAATGGACTCGAGCGAAGGAGGTACGTAAATTTAGGTACAATAATACAATGTCGCAAAATAGTGAGTGCAATATGCGAATTTAGTAAAAACAATTTGTTAACATGATCTGAAAATTGATTTAACTTTAATTTTGAATGACGTTCCGAACTTGGTATCAACGAAGGAGCACCTAAGAGTTAAAGTGAATCTGAACGGACTACGTTAATTCCTGGTATGATAGCGCTAAAATTTTGGGTCAATATTATTTTGTCGGAAAAAAAAGTCTTTTCGGAAAAGAAAAGTTCATATTTGGAATTATTTAAATCGAGACCGATATTTTTAAATTGTCTAATAATTTCGATAAGATCCCTTTGTACATCGTCAACTTTACCTCCCAGCGAATCATCGTCTAGGTACCAGAAATTAAGTTTAGATTTCAATTTTGAAATAATTGGATGAATTCCCTAAATAAATAATGCTGGTCCTAGCGGATCTCCCCGCTGAACGCCGACATCAGAATCAATAATATTGTCTTCATAAAATAAATTACTCTTTTCACTATAACATTGCCAAACATAATGATATATATCTGGTGTACGGTTAAACACTTCGTTCAGCAGAGTCGTTCTATCAATGGATTTAAAAGCATTCGTTAGGTCAACCTTCAGAAGTACATCCAAATCACTAGTATTTAAAGAAGTTCGAACGGAATGTACAGCCGCTTCACAGCCGCCTTTGCTTCCAAAGCCAAGTTAAACAGGCTGGAATTTTGTTTTAAGGCCGGAGATTATGTGCCTACATGCTAATTTTGAAGTTAAGCGTCGAAAGGTGGAACCAATATCAATAGGACGGAAACCATTATCTTTTTTTTTAAAGGCACATAATTTTGCCCCATATAAGAAAGGAGCAAATTTAGGATTTACTTTTCCGGAAAGCGTTAAGTTGCATAATTTGGTAATATCATTAAGAAGTGCTCTGCCAGCATCACCGGCGGAAATGCTTACAAGATCCTTGAGATGTTATGGCGTTATACCATTAATTCGGCCAGCAGAGCCACTTGAAAATGACATAATTGTCTCGAAAGTGTCTTTATCGGTAATTTGCAAAGCCTGATATGAAGAAGATATATCGATTTATTTTTCGCCATAAAGAGACCGACATTGATATTTTTATAAATATCAATATATCGATATTATTTTCGACTTTCGGCATCCCTATTATTTATTGCTGACAGAGACGTATACAAACTCAGTATTTCCATACTTACTTTTAATTTTTTTCCATATTTTACTTTTAAGTTAACACGACCTAAAGATTGTTTTAAAGAATGTCAAAAATAGAGAAAAAAGATCATACAATATAAATATAGTATATAAGATGTAAAAATCGATGCCTAAATTAATATAAACTTTCCTAAAAATCGAATCGATTGGATGTATGTATTGGCTAAAAATCTAATGGAATGGATTCGATGCACCCATGATTTTGAATTGCCTTAGTAAAATATTAAAATACATTTTTACTCTATGATCATTATTCATCATCTAGAGCTTGATCGAGCTTCGTTTCCTATACCATTACCAAAGTACTCTGTGGTTTCGTTCTACCTCGATTTGTTGGTTAGAATTGTGCCGCTAATTAAAGTTATATTTCATTTTATAAACTGAGCATTATAATAAAATTACTGCATTTTGTGATTCTGAAAAAGTCTAGCAATATACTTTGCGTATCTTTTTAATTAATTTGAGTTTTACTGCCTGTTACAATGAGTAAGTTTGCATCGTTATGATGTTTAATAAATTTTCTATGTGTTTATATCAAAGCTATTGCTACATATTATATCAAACAAATTGTGTTATTTATTTCTTACAAATTCAAATATCTTTAAGAAGCTTTACACTTGATTGTCAAAAAACAGAAGGAAGAAAACAAAGTACCTACCAAAATACTACTAACCTAAAAACAAATTTGAAACAAACGTTTATGGTGTTATATAGTTGGTAGCTGTGCACCTAAATAGTAACATAGATTTCCAATATATGGGTTATAATGTATGGCAACCTATGTTCATTCTGTGGGTGCCCCATAGTATTAAATATATTATTGTATAAATTGATTCATGGAATGTTTTTTTTTCAGCTATGGATATTCGTCCAAATCACACAATATACATTAACAACTTAAATGAGAAAATAAAAAAGGAGGAACTAAAGAAATCTCTATATGCTATCTTCTCACAATTTGGTCAGATATTAGATATTGTTGCAATGAAAACGCTTAAGATGAGGGGCCAAGCATTTGTTATATTCAAGGAAATCTCAAGTGCAACAGTTGCTCTGAGGAGTATGCAGGGGTTCCCCTTTTATGACAAACCCATGGTACGATTTTTAATTTTTGTTTAATTTCCTGGACAGTAAAATATTTTGGGTGAACTAATTAAAGAAACATTATTGGTGTATAAGTGTATTCTTCAATAATGTTTAGTAGTGACTAATGGACTTTTAGGAATCATTATTTTTCAAGTAAACCTGAAACTCAACTAATATAAAGAAATTTCATATAAGTATTATATACTTTTAGAAATTTCATTTTATGTATTGAATTATTATCTATAACATTTTATATTTGTAAAATTTTCAGAGGATCCAGTATTCAAAAACAGATAGTGATGTTATTGCAAAGATCAAGGGAACATTCCAAGAGAGGCCAAAGCGTCCTAAAGCTCCCAGAAGTACAGAAGATAGCAAGAAGAAGAAAAACAAAGATGCAGGTCGCAGTGTCATACCAGGTTTTGGCCAACCAAACATGCTTAACAATGCTAATGCAGAACAACCTCCTAATCAGATTCTCTTCCTTACCAATTTACCTGATGAGACATCTGAAATGATGTTGTCTATGCTTTTCAACCAGTAAGTAGTATGACAACTAAATGAAGATTTATATGCAGATTTTTTTAATAACATGAAACTGTATTAAACATATTGGCTTCAGGTCTTGCTCATATTTTACAATTATTTTTTATTTCCAGATTTCCTGGCTTTAAAGAAGTTCGCCTTGTACCAAATAGACATGACATTGCCTTTGTCGAGTTTGCCAATGAAATGCAGTCTGCTGCAGCAAAAGAAGCCTTACAAGGATTTAAGATTACCCCTACCCATGCTATGAAGATCACGTTTGCAAAGAAATAGTGTAGTGTTAATAATTTAGCTATAATAAAGACTTTGATATATTTGAGAACTGTTTTGAGCATTGCACTCTGCCTGAACAGCTCTCTGGCTGTGATTACTTTTAAGTGCATCTACCTTGTTTTTATAACCCCTTGTCTTTGTTTGTACTAACGTCATCTTAATCAATGTCAAATGAAAACCATTTATTTCTTTGACCTTTATCCAAAAGAGATCCAAGAGAAACAGGCTCATCAATTACAACAAATAAAATATGTAGACCCAATCATTATAACAATGATATAACTGTATTTAAAATTTGCTCACGCTGTTGTCCTTCACTGCTGAGCATGTGATAAATTAGAACATTAAAATTAACAACGTCATTGGTGCCGGCACCATGGTGAGCGCCCAGACACCGAGCTATCATAAGTGAAGATTGATTTCATTTTGTAAATAAATACATTGTAAGGGTAATAATTATAAGCATCCAGGACTACTATACTATACATCTACACAAACACAATTATCTCCCAGTAGTGGGGATCGAACCCATAACATCTAGGTCCAGTGTCAATCATGCACACTCGTTAATTTCCACTATCGATAGCGGTTCAAACCAAAGTTGAAACCTCCATCTGTGAGGTTCTTTGATTGGTATACACCGTACAAGCCTTGTTGGACAAATTGACCATCGTTCTTTTGGCGTCATCATTTTGTCGTCTTCGCAAAGAGTTACGTTATTCTTCTAAGGCCGTTGTTCATATGCATGTGGGCGGACCTTGTCCGAAGTACACACATGTAAAGCTATACTCTAAAAAAGAAAAACTAGTAGCTACTAGCTTTGGATGCCTCAAATATAGATTAATCAATTTTAATTTCCAAATTTCTTATTATAATGTCTAGTCCACCTTTTTAGTTTTTTATGGTAATAAAAATATTCAATTATTTTTCTGTTTTCCGTAGCCGGTTATGATAACAAATTGTTTGGTGTTATCAAACAACAAGGAAATCCAATTAAATGTTCATGATAATAGCAACCCTTTATAAGACTATAAAATTCCGAAGTTGGCTATTCATTGACATAATCTAAACAAAAGTATGTAAAATAAACGTGAGAGACAAAGATATCACATACCTGGTTGTGACTTTTGATATCAGTACTATCATATTTTATTTTCGGTGATTGCGAAACTGTCAAAGTAGAACTAATGATCAACGTAGTGATTACATTCTCTTTGCTAATGATTGGGATATCGTTCTTGGATTTTTTCTTTTCATAACAGAAGTCAAAAAAGTGGTAGATTAAGTTATCAGGAGTTCTATGTAAATATTTACTGTAAGCAAATCTGCTTAAAGATAGTTTGTAACGTGCGAAAATGGAAGATATATTTCAGTGGTGTAGAGAAGGTAACGCCTTGCAGGTGCGAGTTTGGCTCGATGATACTGAACATGATATGAATCAAGGGTAAGTTCACCACCCATATCGTATTGTACAGTGTTTAAAATACTGTCTGAAGGTCTACAGGTGCCATTTAAGGCTTTAGTCAACCCAGTATCACCCACATTCTAGGGCGTCAAGAATATTGTTTACAATTTGACCCGAAATATGTATGTGTCATAGATGAAGTCAGCATAAAGCCATAGTTTTTATAAAAAATAATTAAAGAAATGATTGTATTGATAGTTCATATACTGTTGTCTTTCTATAGTAGGTCAAGTTAAAAGTGAAGAATGTTAAATTAAAACAATATTAAAAGTAGCCACTTTCAATTTTTAAGTTTGTAAACACTAAATTTACATAATTACAAAGCGACCATATTCCAAGTGCATTTCTCAATAGATTAAGATAAGGGAAAGTTCTAAAACTTAGTTTTCTAATAAAGAAATGCTAGTTATAATAAAATAACTAGACCAAACTTAATTTCACACCGATAACTTTCACAACTACCTCATTCATACAATTACTCTTACATTTTAATTGATAAACAATATTAATTAAAAACATATTGCTTAGTAGAATGGTTAAACTGATTGTGGATAACCTGTGTTCTTACTTAAGGCAATCTGTCCCACTTTTTTTTCTTACTGGTCTAATTATAACAATCCTTAATTCATAAGTCTTTTGCTGTATAAGTATTATGCAAATATTAAACTGATAAAAATATATGCATTTATTTTTATTTTATTTATTTATGGATTTAATGTATGTAATTAAGACAAAAAAACACTCTTCTAAATAATTATTTATTGTAGGTATAATTGGTCATACAGCCATCCATGTTATAATAAAATAACATTCGTGTTTTCCTTTGAATGAACAAGGACAATATCTACATCTATGACACATATTCAACAACTTTATGCATTAATATTCCCATTGCTACCTCCTCAGACTATGATCTGTGTTATGTAAAAGTATGTTAAGAGGTACATTTTTGAATATTTGTTTGGCTTAAAAAATGTAACTCATTGACTGACTTGTTAAAAAAATCCTCACTAAATATACTGCGTTTGGTATGCATATGTGAATAGATAATAAGAATTGATATTATGGACACACCCTTTTATCACTTACAAATATTTTAAAATTATTAAGAAACATAACTGAAATTAGAATTATGAAGTAAATATAACCACTTCACACTTACTTTTCGCAGAAAAAGTTATTAAAAATTGTTGCAATTTGTATGCAAATTCTAGCATTTAAGAATGTGTTGGCAACATATTATTAAATGCTAGTATTTGATTAAGAATTGACATCAATTTTGAAGGAAGTAAAAATTTGAAAACTGACCAAATTTTGATATTTGTCTAAAATTACTCAATTTCAATTGAAGAAATTAGATAAATCTAATTTCTTCAATTGAAATTGATTCTTATTTGATAAGAAAGAATTAAATATAGGTTATAAAAACATTATCTTGCAGTGATGATCATGGCTTCAGTCCCTTACACTGGGCATGCAAAGAGGGCCATATCAAGATTGTTGAGATGCTCATTCGGCGTGGTGCCCGCATTAACGTCACAAACATGGGTGACGATACACCACTGCATTTAGCTGCAGCCCATGGCCACAGACCCATTGTCCAATTGGTAATGCATAATGGCTTATTTTTTCGATTTAACATTAATAATATAGGGTTCACGGTGGTTAGGGTCTATAGTGACAAGGAGATCAGATCAAACTATGCTACTATTATGTATAATGTTTATTAATAAATATTAGGATATGCACAAGATAGAGTGCATTTGCTAGTCTCTCGTGATGAACTGAACTTAAAGGGTAAGGGGCGCGGTACGTCAGATTACGATATCAAATTACAAGATAATGTATCACCTCAATAAAAAGAATGGTGATATCTAAAAATTTGTTTATTAATAGCAATACATTTGATAGAGATCAAGCAAATCGCGCAATTGATATTGCAATCTATACATACAGATAAATAAAATTGGAGTGTCTGTTTGTAATATTAAAATAACCGCTTTTTATTAAATGCATATGGATGTATACACGGTACATATAACAAAATAACATTTTTTACAATTTTTGTGTGTCTGTCTATCTGTCTGTTTGTTCCCGCATCTCTGAAACGACTGGACAAATTTTGACAGGAGTTTCACTGGCAGACAGGTGATGTAATAAGGAGTAACTTAGGCTACTTTTATTTTAATTTTTTCTTATTATAAATTCCACGCGGATGAAGTCGCGGGCACATCTAGTTACAAGTAATTTTAAACAATAGAGAAAATTCACTTATGAATCAAACAACGAGCAGAATTCCTCGGTAAATCACAGTTTTCGGATGATAACAACTTTTGTACAACAAGAATAAGAAATAAATGTCTGTTGTACCCACATTCATTTTTCAGTAACTTAAATAACATTCAACCTAAACAATGAAACATCAAACTGCAAAAAGAAAATATTTATTTGATATCAGTCAGATCGTAAACTGTCAATGAAACCAGTTAAATCGTATCACTCAGCTGCTGCAAAACCGCGTCGATGTAAACTTCACAAACGAGCACGGCAACTCGCCCCTCCACTACGCCTGTTTCTGGGGCTACAGCGCCATCGCCGAGGATCTGGTGCTCGCTGGCGCTTTGGTCTCGCTAGCCAATAAGGACGGCGATACGCCCCTGGACAAAACCAGGGGACAGATGGTGCAAAGGTGAGCCCGAACAGTACCAAGGCATATGTTTGTTTACAGCAATTACTTTATAACTTAGTTGGCACACAGACATTTACAGGGACAAAAAATTTTGTCACATATGGTAAAAGTTTTAACTTATATCTTATAAACTACTATAATCATGTATATTGCGTTGAACATTAAGTTATGACAGCTCCTGATCTATTTAGGGTTGTCAAATCTGTGCTAAATTTTATATGCGTGCAAATATATTCAGGTCATTACCCAAATAGATAGGCACTTGTTTAGTTTCTCATGTAAAAGGGTGAACATTATGATTTCAGACTGCACGAGCTTGCCGTCCAGCAGGGTCAGGATTTGAAGAAGATCCAGTTCAAGGACCAGTCTTGGCTCGGCCTTAAGACCAGAAGTAGAGACGCGACCCTCTCCCGCCACAAGGGGATCAACATCAACGAGCTGGCCCTCCATACACGAATCGCCGTCACACCATCAGGTCAATTTAATTAACGCTAAAAGTAAAATGACCTTAAGACACAAATTATTATTACATAAGACCTGCGTACAACCTATTATGTCTTACGCATGCATGACCTTCGCCCACACGCACCCTACTCGCTTGTACAAGTTGCAAATAATACAAAATAAGTTTATCCGCCGCGCAACCGGTGCGCAGTGGTATCAACGCAACGTCGACCTGCACAGCGATTGCAGACTCCCGACGATTCGCGAATATTTTAAAGACCTGACCAAACGGTTCTTCGATAGAGCCGAACATCATCCCAACCCTCTGGTGGTAAGCGCAGCAAATTACCAACCCGACCAAAACGCGAACGTCAACAAGCGTCGCCCGCGAAACGTCCTAATCGACCCGGTCGAGGAAGGGGACTTAGACACGCCGGACCCACTGCCGGGGGTCCCGCCGGACAACACTACACCCACTTAGTGCAACAACAAACACACTAGTTCGCCCTCGCCTCCGAGCACGGCGAGACCAACACAACGCGTACACAAGGTACACCCGCGTTCCAGGGCGGTTCTCACCGCCCCCAGCCACCGATTAGCTAATTGCACAGTCGACGGCCATCGGGGTTTCGGTCCGAACCACGACCTCGATGGCCCTTAGATGACACACCATAGTTAAACGCACGCATGAGCACATGCGTGGCCCTACCCACAGCGGAGGGCCCAAACCCGTGGGTTCTGGCTAGCCCACCGGTTCTGCGTCAGATGAAGCTTTAATAGTCTCGGGACTGAAAGCAAAAACATCAGTTAATACAAGAAGATACAAGAAATCATCAGGTCAGCGTTAAATTGTACACACTCCTCAACAGTCCTCTTTTCTGAGTTTCCTGAACAACACTTCAAATTAGGAGTTAAGTGTATAACATTCTTTATAAAGTACATAATGCTATTTTATACCTACTTAGATTAGAATAAAAGCTAAATATTTGAGTACTATTGATTTTCCGTTTCGGTCGCAAAGTTAATTTAATGTCTATTTGATTACTTTTTGAGTATATTATTATGGTAATTCCACCCGCTCCGGATGTTTCACTTCAAAACAAAACAATGATTCTGATAATATCTAAAATTATATAATTGATCTGGATCATTTTTATTTTATGTATATTTAAATCTCTGCGAATATTGCACATCTCTTTGTATAAAACAAACAGGCGAGACCTGGCGCGGTCGCTGGCAGAAGAACGACATTGTGGCGAAGATAATAGCGGTCCGCGAGTGCACGCCCCGCATCCAGCGCGACTTCAACGAGGAGTTCCCCAAGCTTCGTATATTTTCGCATCCCAACATATTGCCCGTGGTATGCGCTCTTAACTGTATATGGAGTAAAATTATGTCATAGAGTGCAATTCTTTATGAGCGATGGTGTGAAACAATTAAAATGTATAAAACACCAGTTTTACCCATTTTAGGGTAAAACTGGGTAAAACCCAGGGTTTCTAGTGTCTGAAAGAAGGAGGACCTTGATTGCCTCCATCACCATGTAGAATTCAAAAGTTTTATCTCTTTAATATTAGCCGGACTTGTGTAAAACCATGCTGCTGCCCCGGTGGAGTTAGCTTGTAGTGCTTACAACCCATGATAACACTCACCAACAGGCGGCACCACCTATCTCCGTCTTGAGGGTTAACAAGGTGTCGTTTCCCAGGTGGGCTGCTGCGTGTCGCCGCCATCGCTGGTGGTGATATCGCAGCACATGTCGTGGGGCTCGCTGCACGGGCTGCTGCACGGCGGCGGCGGCGGCGGCCGCGGCCGCGTGGTGGTGGACGCGGGCGCGGCGCTGCGGCTGGCGCGCGACGCCGCCGCCGGCATGGCCTACCTGCACTCGCTGCAGCGCGACCGCGCCCTGCCCGCCTACCACCTCAACAGCCGCCACGTCATGGTGAGCTACGCCCCCTCCCCGTAGTAGGTCAGGACCTGCTCTCTAGCGCCTCCACAGCCGCCACGTCATGCTAAGCCTCGTAGCCATCTCACCTGCCCCAACAACTCACATTTAAAACGTCGAATATTACAAAAGCATCTGAAATCCTCGAGCAGATCGACGAGGACCTGACCGCGCGCATCAACATGGCCGACTCGAAGTTCTCGTTCCAAGAGCGCGGGCGGGTGTACGCGCCGGCGTGGATGGCGCCCGAGGCGCTGCTCAAGCCCGCCGCCAAGCGGAACTGGGAGGCGGCTGACATGTGGAGCTTCGCAGTCCTGCTGTGGGAGCTCGCCACCAGAGAGGTAGGCACACGCTAGCGTCCCGTAGCAGGAACTGAGCAGGAACAGAACTTTTACAAAAGAAACTGAAATCACTTACACTAGTTGTTTTGAGTGACACCATAAAACAAACAAAACAGCATTTTCAGGTTGCATGGCAAGCCATTTTAACAATGCTAACACCTCTCAGATAACTCTTTAAAAGTATAGTATACCATGTGCGGTGAGTGCTTTGTGGTTACAGTATTAATTATTACAATAGAACTGCTCCAAATTAAAACTATATAGTTATTGTTTAATAAAATATATTTTTTGTAATAGATTCCCTTTGCGGACCTTTCTCCAATGGAGTGTGGTATGAAGATCGCTCTTGAAGGTCTCCGGGTAACAATCCCACCGGGGGTTTCCCCACATATCGCGAAGCTGATCAAGATCTGCATGAACGAAGACCCCGGTAAACGACCCTCTTTCGAAATGGTACTGCCCATTTTGGAGAAGATGAAGCGTTGAATCAAAAAGCCCTAAGTGCCTGTGGGTGGCAACGCCAGACCAATGCGACCCAACATATGTTTTTGTTGAACATTAACAAAACATTATATGTTCAAATAACAAAATTGATACTTAAGCTAATAATGTATTGCAAACAATGTGATTATATTGTGACATTAACATTGAAATCACATAAATGGCAGTCATCAAAATTAATTCATAAAAAAAAATCATTAATATCCAAGGTTGATATTGTCACTGGAAAGGCTAAATTACTTAACCACCAAATTAGGCATTTGGCGGTTTGTAATTTTGATATATAAATGTGTTATTAATTATTGAAAACAATATTTTATCAACAAATGTAAAACTTATGGCCACTAGGAACATTATTCAAAAATATGTAAGTTATATGTTATGTATGTATTATGTATGCAACTGTACAAGAACTAATAAGCACAATTAATGTGATAGAGTTTTGCTGGACAGATTTATTTGACATATAATGTATGTTTAGTAATATTTTCATATAGTGCCATTTTTTAAATATTGTACAATAGAATATACAATATTATCAACAAAAATTATAGTGTAGTGTTTGGTATGGTGCATCTCTTATGATTTGCTTCTCAAATTTTTTTTTAGTTTTTGCTCTGTAGCAAAAAAATTATACCACCAAAATTTTTTTTTCATGTTGTAACTGCCAGTATTTTGTTGTTGTATAGTACATGGTTGTGTTTTCTAATTTTTGTTTTGTGAAGAGTTAAAAAAATTATCTTTATGTCAATAGCCATTAGAGATAGTTGGTGCTACAACTGCCTTAATTGAAAGCTGTCTTAAAATATAGATAAAATAATAATGATGATATTACATATATTTAACTAAGATTTTTAAAATATTTACCAATTTAGGTTAAGGAATGTTTAAAATTACTAATTTTAGATGTCTATAAATAATGCATCATGTTGAATCTCTATAGGCCAATTTTGAGGTATTTTAGTAACAGTACATTTTAATAACTATTGCAATTACATTTATTTTCTACATTTTTGGCCTTGATTTTGAAAGGTTTTTTTAAAATGAATTCCAAACTATATTTAATTCTTATTTTATTTAAATTAATACTAAAATGTGCCTTAAAGAGTATGCTTATGTGTAATGACTAATGTTGCCTTATGAAAAATTATAAGGCTTTATGTTACAGTATATAATTTTAAATGTGAAATGTTGAATATACTAATGTATTGGTGTCCTGTGGTATTATTATGACCATTTATAATAAAAATTACTTTGAAAGTTAAATATGAATTTAATTCAAATTGTTCCTTCAAGAATATTTATGCATACAACCAGTGTTAAGGGCTGAGGCGTTGTTATACCGAGCTTATTGTAAAACTGAAATTGATTGCCATATGAGTACGAATGAGAGATTAATTTTCACACCAAGAATTCCTGAAAAAGTAAAAACCGATATCGAGATTCGACCCTTTTGATAAGATACCTCGTCATTTCTCACATAACCTTGTCATAAGACATCAACAGGCCTCGAAGAAATATATCGATATTTATAAAAATATACCTTCTCTATGACGCTTTCGAATAGTTTTTTATACGATTACAATATTGAATATTTTGTCCATACAAATATACAATACAATATATTGGCTGAAAATATCGATATGTAGAATAAAAAATGTCGATATTTTTTCGACAAGCCTACATAGTGATCTCCTACGGACCGCATCGGTGACCCTCGAACTGTTGATATTTCGTGAAAGTAACGTCCAATTTAGATCGCCTTTAACGACGGGCAGGGGATACCTTGGTTATATTCTATGATCCTGGAACTACAGGGCTGACCCGACCGTTTCTGTTGGGCCGAATTACTGTTCTCCAAGTGCTATCAGCCCTCTCCCGATCCTGCTTGGTGATTTCCTTATGGACTATGACATTTTCGCAGAAGGAGATCCGTGCTATCCGAGTTGCCTCATCAAGCGCACCTGTCACTGCGACTGGTGGACATAGGTCGCCTGGACTCCCACGCAGGGCACTTATTGAGCGTATGTCGTCCGAAATCCCGGTCCCCTACACAGTATTGGAATTGGTGGTTTGCGTCCAATTCGGTCTACCAAATTTGCCGTGGCCGGTGAGTACCTGTGTCAGCCAAAAGGTGCTTAGCCAGCCTTCGAAGCTCGGAAGAAGCGCGCTTAAAACTCGCTGGCGCAAGTTCCGTTGCTCTTCCAGTTATTCGAATAGTTTATAACCTGAGCCTCATCGAATTACTACGAAAATTGTTCATACAGATTAATATATTGACTGTTACTTCTCAATACAGTCACAAAATCTCATGTAACACAAGCCTTAACGGGTGAACGAACGACTGAAAGATATTCCAAGCCGTTTCTGAATCGCGGAAGTATTTTAATATTGTTATTTAATAACGACTCTACATCCACTCGATCGCATTATTTACGAAACTTTTTATTTCCAAAATTAATTGTTTCCGCACATCGTTTATTTTGTTTTCGTATAAATTATTAAATCGACATTAGTATGTTTCATAATTAAATCACGTTATAATCTTTATCACTTCCACTGCATACGTTTCTGATTCCTTGGATCGTGTCATGCAGAGTGCTCGTGCCCCCTCTGCAGGCGATTTCAGTTAAATAAAAGTACTCTTTGGGCGATTTGTTCATCTTTCAAAAGCTGTCAAATCCACCGGGCTAATAGCAAATAATTACTTTAAAAAACTTTTAAGTTAAACGGTTTTATTTTATGTTTTTTTTTTATTAATATTGTATTGTCATCTAAATTAAATGTGTGTACCAAATTTCAGATCAATCTGACAAGGTGCTTAAATTTCAATTTCTAATTTTGACCCAAATAAATAAACAAACAAATTCCGTACGGGTCGAGCTAAATAAGACCGTTTAAAAATGTTTTTAATCAGTTAATGTGCTGTTCTGTCACAAAACTTCTGTGTTCTTGGTTTGAACCGTTTTCAAAGGTCATGTAAATTATGACTCATGTCATTATGTCCAACATAGTCATATTATTTTATTTTGATAGCTGTGCTGTCAGCTGTCAACTTGATTGGAAAATTGAAAAAATGGAATTAAAACATCACCGAATCAGTCTTAATTATTTTGCTTTCTAATTTAATTATATTATTTTATTAACTTTTCATATATTGATTCGCATATGCAAAGTAATATTTTGAAATATCCGATACTAATGGATTCCATAACACAGTTGGACACGAACGCTTTACCTCAAATAACAGACGTGGAATGGAAACTGGAAGTATTAACTAATACACCCGGCGTCGGATCTGACAAGTTACTTTACATTGTTGTGTTGAAAACTGATGTGGAAGATGTCAGGTTTACCTGTGACGCGCAACAACTCCAAGATCTTGTGTACAAATTGAAAGATTTGGTACGGCATTGTGAGAATGTTAGAAATGAATTAAGTTGATAAACCTGTACTTTATTTAAAGAAATTGTAATTTTCTACTAATTCTGTTAAGATGCTTTGAATAGTAATGTATTATATTGTAACTTAACAATACACTGGTTTTATTGTTATCTTAGAACTACTCTTCTATATAGAATATTTTTCCTTCATGTTGTCTATACTTTTTGTAGTACCTCAATAGAAACTTTTGCACCTGCATGAAGGGCAGGATCATCTGGGGAAGCCGCAAAAGATTACTGCCCAGTTCTTGTAGATGTCCATGGGTGGCAGTAACAACTTTTCATCAGGTGAATTCTCTGCTCGCTTGCAACCTTTTTACATAATAAAAAAAACCTTGATCCCCTTTTATATGAAATGTCATTGTTCAATTATATGTTATGCATAATTGTGTTATGTAATTCATGTAATTTTAAGTACACATGAGTTTTGCTCAAAATTATTTTGAGATGACAATATTAATAGACTTTTAAACTTTTTAAATTGCTTATCAATGGACTTTTGACATACAAATCTCACAATCACCTGTGAATAATTGTCTATTTCATAAAAATGATGTAGACATTTAGTGGTTCATTATCATGTACTGAATGTGTGTGTGTGAACAGTAGTGCAAAAACTAGTTATAGTCTACACTTTGTACCATATGTCAAGTGCATTTTCAAAGAATTGGTTATCTTTTACCTTTAATTATAAAATGCAAACTTAATCCGAATAAGCATTCTCTTATACAATATAATAGTATATAATAGTTTTATCTAAAAAAGTGGAGAACTATACTAAATAACTTTTAATCATTATCTATATCCTAAGATTTCAGAGTACTGCATACACAGTTGGAAAATGGCTTTGTAAAATAAATTCAAAAAAATCATATTCAAAATAACTTTATTTAGAAAATACATTCATAAAAACCGAAAGAACATAAGTTCCAAAACAATTCCATTGCACAAAAATAAACACATCACAGATAACTAAAAGTATACATAAGCTATAAGCTACTAGTGAGAAAGCTGCTTTTTTTTATTAAACATACCTTATGATAATGTTAGCATCTTTAGACTATAAACACTTAAAAGGTAATCCATTCATATTTATCTTAATATATCACAATATCAACAACTACTCTACGATACGGAGAACAGTTTTGAATTTTATCAGACTTACATTTAAGATTTATAACTACTTTCATTTTATTTTAATAATATCAATTTCAATATATGTGGTAAAGATGGACAATAGTTTTTTACATTTAGAGAGTTAGACCTACAAGCATAAGCAAAATAATTCATGTCCAAGCAATTGGTATTTATCAAAATAGTGTCAAATGAAACCTTTTAGCATGTTTTATATAAAAAAAATATTGTTTTCTGATACAAGTTTAAGTTCATTATATCAAGAACAATTGAATACAACAGTTTATCAAAATATGGGAAATTATGAAGAAATCAAATAATGTAGTGTTTTGCACTAATGAATAGTGTAAAACACTGCAATATTATCAATTTACAATGACCCATAAATTTTACCACCAGAAGACTGCCAGTAATCACTTTAGCATGTAACATTCTGTATGCATATTGGTAACCCTTGAAATTCATATAGCAAGTTTGATTATGCCGGTAACTTTTTTGAGATAGTGATATTCATGGATAGGACTAATTCTATAACAGAAAAGATCATAGAACTTTTTCATTGCTATATTGTTTTTATTTTTAAACGATGCTAAAGCTACAACTATTGATTTGATAAGAACAATTGCATATATATATTTTTTGTGTTTATATAGTCTACTGAATGAGACTAAAAAAAAATACTGCATAAAACTATGGTTTTTAAAACAACACGTAAATTTATTACAAAACACAAATTAGGAGCCAAATTAAGAGTAGATAAATGACCTACATATAAAATTATTAATTGCAACGAAAATGTCTAAAGTTACATTTTGGGTGTCATACAAATATAATATAAGCTGCATAGAAATTATTTTTACATCAGTTCAGTTATTAGAATAGGTGTCATTTATTGTATTAATACATACAGTTCTTTTTATAATTTTATTATAAACAAGAGTATTTAAACAAGGCTCTTTATAGAAGCTTAAATGTCGGCAGTGAATCTGATGTATTTGTTACCCAGTCTTGTTTTCGGTTTGAAAAATTGTCAAAAACAATATGCAAAATATCAAGCGTTTTGAATGTCATCATATTTGGCTCCTATAAAATCTTAGAGCGACGCACAGCAAAAATATATACTAACACCAACACACAAAAAACACTCAACGAAATTTGGAAATATCACATTTTGAAGCATTCTTCTATGTGAATGCCTAAGATATATAATGGTACCCTTAATTATTTTCGAATCCACTGCTTATATTCCACTGGTGTGATTTAAACTTATTGCTTTAATAATTGCAATAAGTTAATTAAGCCACATTAAGATGAACACGCAATATTTGGTATGTCCCATCATCACTGATTGTTTACCTTAATACTATAAGGAACACCCAAATGACTATTCTATCCGAAATATATTTTCTGATTAGTGCTTTAAGAAAGTAAATAGAGTAGATTCACATAAAAATATGCATACATTGGCATATTCCTAATTGCAACGGTTACATAGCTGCCTGTACTTGTCAATAAATCTTCTCGAATAAATCAAATACGACAAAGTTAATTCCACACTACGTTATAATGAGTTCTAGTAGTTAGACAATAGAGTTTAATATTAGTTATTGGACCGGCGAAGGTCTTTTTGTTATGAAGGCGAATTAGAGCGAGAAGAATTTCAAGAAGGCTGCCGGCGGAATCGGATGAGGCGGTAGGGGGCCCCCGGCTTCCTTCAAGCGTTCTCGGTATTCTGGGCACTAAAACAATGTCAATAAGGATTGTTATGGCGTACATAAGGTTACGGTTAAGTGCCGCGATAGCTCAGTGTCTGGGCGGTTACTTTTAACTCTCAATATACTGAAGCGGCCCGAGTTCAAATCCCGGTTGCCGGTACCAATCACTTACAAAGGGTTTTGCCCAGCTGTGGGATATATAGGCTTTACCTTTACTTTTTTATATATGGTTTGGTTTATGTTAGGCATGATGACAAACTTGGCCCGCAACTAAACTTGTCTTAGTGATTGTATAGAGTTTTAATAATATATATTATTATATTCTAGAACTACCAATCCGGATCAGGGAGTTGTGATGCTGGGATGAAATTTATGTATGTAAAACGTCCTTACAACACGGGACAGTTTTACATCTTGTAGTTAAGGCAATGTTTCTTACAAAATACAACAAAACATGTACCTGGTCGGCTATGCACGGGTGTCCGAGAGAGCGCCAGAACAGACACTTGCAGTGTCTGCACAGAGACAACGTCTCCGCATACTGCGCCTCCTCCCTCAGCCCGTATAGCCTAGGAGCGACCCCAGCAACAAACAAAATCACTTAGAACAGCGCAGACTATTAGATAAGAGCAACGCTATCCCCGTACTTAGAAATAAATTAATAAATATTTTAGGATACATTTTTACACGTTCTCTAGTTGCAAACTAAGCAACGCTTGTACTATGGGTACTAGATAACTGATAATACGAAAAACACCATGTTCATCACACAATATTTCTGTGTAGTAGTGGGGGTTGAACCCACACCCTCTGGCGCAAGAGGCTACTACCCACTACGTCAATGGGGTCGACAAAATAATTCTAGTACGTGATTAAGTGAATGTAGTTCAAATGCCTCGCTCTCGTATTGCCAAAACAGAGCGCGAATAACGTCTCTTATATAAACACGTCAGATCGTAACGGAATAAATATTTATGCTATGGTACGTGGCTCTAAAGTTCAGCTTCTGTTATCCCACGAATCTGCACGAACGCACACACATGCACGCACGCACGCACACGCACGCGCACACACTCACACGGTAAAGTAAATTATAAACCAGCGAATAGAACGAAGCGGGTAACAGGGAAAATGAAACGGAAGGGCTCGTGATCCTCACTTCCGGAGCTGGTGGAATAGCTTCTTCCAGTCGACGTCCTTCTCGTCCTTCGGCACCACGGCGTCCAGCTGCTGCCGGCTGAAGTGGAAGCCGACCAGCTCGCGCCACACGCGCTGCTCCGAGCACACAGACGCCATCACGCTCCACGCCGAGGACGCGGCCTGCCACCCGCACCGTTGGCATTTCGAACCAATGAAGATAGTCTGTGGCTGAATGGACTTATTGTATCTTGTATTAACCGACGTTGACGCTTTCGGCGTCGAGACTATTAAAGCTTCGCTACGCAGAGCCGGTGGGCTAGCCGGAACCCACGGATTTGAGGCCCTCCACAGTTGGTAGGGCCGCGCATGTGCTCATGCGTGCGTTAATTATGGCATGTCGCCTACGGGCCATCGATGTTCGGTGAGGGCCGTGACTGGTCTTGGTTAGACGGTGGCTGGTTGCAGTGAGAACCGCCCTGGAACGCGGGTGTATCTAGTGTACGCGTTGTATTGGTTTCGCCGTGCTCGAAGGCGAGGACGAACTATGGCGTCCGTTGATGCACTAACTGTGTGTGTAGTGTTACCTGGCGGGACCCCCAATGGGGGGTCCACCTGAATGGACTAATTGTTGCTTATGCCTCCAATTGGTGGGCAAGAGTCTTCATAGATTGCGACTCCCAGATGGCCCCAGGGTTGTCGGTTTTGCAGTAATTCGAAATATATCTTTTGAAGTAAATAATCGAGCAACCTGAGTTCGATCACCGGTGTAGGCGCCAATGAAATTGTTAATTTTGACCGCTGATTATCAAAGTGCTCAACGGTGAAGGAACTCTTTTTACGGTGGTAGGGCCACGCAACAGTGTTCGCTGTTGCACGAATGGGCAGGTCCGTCCGGGTTAGTACCACGACCTCACAGAAGACCGGCGTAAAGGAGAAGTGTTGCACTTCTGCGTTTCGTCTGGTGAGTGAGGTAGCTGGGCCCGCTTTATTAAGAGGTGGCAACGCATCTGCAACCCTACGGGTGTTGCAAATGTCCATGGGCGGCGGTGATCACTTAAGATCAGGTGAGCCGCTACCTCGTTTGCCAATTTCTCACAAAAAAAAAAAAAAAAGAAAACTTCGGGAGGAAACCTACATATTTTCGAAATAATAATAAAAAATATATATTTTGAAGATATGTGGAGTCCGCCAATCCGTGTCGCGTGCCGCCTATGCCCTAACAACCTCTGTACAGGAGGCCTTTGCTCCGCAGTGGGACATTTATGGGCTGATACTTTACGTTACTTTGAGGTAACAGTTAGACGAAAAAAATCAAGGTCAGTAACAATATTAATTTTTTTTTTTTTTTAGTCTTTTTTTAACATTGCCCTTACTTTAGGAACATTATCCTGTGTTGTAAGGACGTTTTACAAACATAAATTTCACGTGGATAAACACCCAGATACGAAACAACTATCTGTGGGGCACACAAATAGCTGTCCCGTGTGGGAATCGAACCCACGACCCCCGACGCCGAAGCCGATACCTTAGCAACTGCGCCACGGAGTCATCAAAAATCGTCATAAATTCAATTGAGTACCTTGTATACATCTAAACAGAGCCTGCTTAGTAGGAACTTCATAAGTGACACAGTATAAAAGGTCGCGTGGACGCATTATTAAGTTAATTCCTGAGTTATCTGGACTAGTTTCATTCACTTACGTCCAAGTCCCTGTGATCAGACATTCTCAGCATTATCTCCCTGATACACTCCTCGGGAAGGTCGTGGAGTTTGGGCACCACTTCTGGACCCGGCTACGAAAAAAAAAAACGTGTTCACTAAAGCTGTTGTACATTGTATGTGCCAACCAGCTTGCCATCTCTGTAATTAATAAATTGGAAAGGGACGGCTAGCTTATTCAGACAATAAAAGCGCCGAATTCTGCACTGAGCAGATCGCTATTACACGACGATTATTCTTATTATTATTTTGTATCAAAATAAAGATTGTCATCTCTGTCACTCCGATAAATTAGAAAAAGACTACAAAGTCCAGCGTTTAAGTCGAATATACGAGTTTAGAAATTGTTCCGCTTTACATTATATGACATATATCAGCGAATGTAATAGTTGATATAGAACGTTGGATATGGAGAGACAGGCGGAAAGAAAGACATAGCAGTCTACAGAATCGCAATCTAAATATACTGATTGACGTAATTAGTCACTAGTGTCATATCCACCTCGTATTAAAGGAACCGTCGTGTCTTTGACAAGATCGAATTCACAAAGTGACGTCATCGATATGGCCCTCTGTATTTGGATTAAAAACTGGCCAAGTGCGAGTCGGACTCGCGCATGAAGGGTTCCGTACCATCTATGAAAGCGGCAAAAAAATCATGTCTTTTTTTATCCTATATTTAGTATTTCTTGTATTAGCGGCAACAGAAATACATCATTTGTTAAAATTTCAACTGTCTAACTATCACGGTTCACGAGATACAGCCAAAATCATTTATTCATCGACATAAGAAACATACATTTCATCTATCTAACGGAGAAGAAACAGGCGAAAGTAAATGCGCAGGTTTCTTCTTTTTTGCAATCTTTTTCTTTTCTTAAAAAAATAAAATATAATGCAACTGTCTTTTTCTTTCTTTTAGAAATAGCTTGAGAGCGATCAACTCTCATATATATTGTAATAGCCCTTTTTATAAAGCATTTCTTTAATAAATTTCTTAAAGCTGTCGATAGGCAGGCTTTGCGCATTTACTGGGATTTTGTTGTAGCAGCGTATACACCGCCCCGTGAACGAGCCACTTACTATTGCCCGGTTCCGATATTCAACGACCATAACGTATACATAACGGCCCGTTGTAACGACTTCACAATGGCAATGTAACTGGCCGTTCGTTGAATATACGAACCGGGCTTTAGAAGCGTGGAAAAGGCCAAACGCTCCGTCAGAAACGCAACCTCAAAATCCCAACCCACCTCGTGTATGTGTATCTCCTGGGCGATGCGAGTGATACGCGCGATCGCCCGGTCGTGGTGCCGCCAGAGGGCGCGCGAGCCCAGCGGCCGGCCCCAGCAGGCGCGCCTCTCCGCCTCCCGCAGCCCCCCCAGGGAGGAGACCAGCGCGCGCAGCGCGTTCAAGTTGTGCTTCGACGTCGCCACTGAATAGAACAGAAGACCATTTATTCGAGACACCTATTTAACACACAACACAAATTCACAAACGAAATACACAACTATAGTACAGAGTAAGCATATCCAGCGAGGAGACCAGCGCACTCAGCGCTTTCAAGTTGTGCTTCGACGTCGCCCCTGAATATATTCATCATCAATATCATTTCGGCCTGTTTGGGTCCACTGCTGAACATAAGCCTCCACCATAGAGTGCCACGAAGTACGATCCTGAGTCACCTGCGTCCGGAGCGGAGCTAGGAGCGGGCTATGGAGCGGGCTGTGCTCGGTATTTCTCTGCGCGATAGAGTTCGTAATGAAGACTTCCGCAGTAGAACCAAGGTAACCGACATAGCTCAGAAGATTAGCAAGCTGAAGCGGCGATGGGCCGACCATATAGCTCGTAGAACCGATAACCGCTGGGGAAGAAAGGTTCTCGAGTGGCAGCCTCGTACTGGCCATCGCAGTGTAGGACGACCCTTCACGACCTGTGCAAATGTGAAGACTGCCGTTTACTGTTGTCAATCAACTCACCGTGATCGGCGAGCTGCTCAAGCATTGAGAGGAGGAGTTTCTGGGCGGCGCCGGGCAGATGGGTCAGCCGGTGCCCGCCTAGCAGAAGCTCTAGGAGGGCGCAGATGTAGTTGAAGCGGCGCACGTCGCGCACCGCAGACGAGAAGTCCAGCCGGCGCACCGCCTCGGAGAGACCGTTGAAGCCCGCGATCTGAGCAGACGGTAGACGGGAGCGTAGGAATACTCCAGAAGATCAGCGTCCTCTTGCACCTTGTACGAACTGATGTTTGTGCTTTCAGTGACGAGACTACTAAAGCTACATCTGACGCAGAACCGGTGGGCTAGGCGGAACCCAAGAGTTACAGTGTCCTCAATCAAGGTGCACTGGTGGTTCTGGATAGAGCCACGCAACAGTCTCTGTTGCACGCTCGTCTGAAGTACCGCCTCTCACAGTATCGTGGTGTTATGAAAGGTTTTATAATTATTTCTTTTAATAGCGCGTCTACGCGGTATAAATTAAACTATTTTTACGGATTTATCGCGGTTATTTTTTAATTCTATTTCCGATCTATGCAGAAGGTGAAAGGCAAGATACAATTAGATCTTGTCTTGCAGTAGTGGTTGGTTTGGGCCTAGATTTAGTTTTATTGATGATGGGATCCCAAGCTGATGGTTTTATCGAACCCTCTTCTCTATTGAAATTATAAGGTTAAGTTTCATTTATAAGGAATACCATACGCTTATATCGCTTACCAAACGCAATGTATATATAAACATATATATGCGTTGGTGCGCTGGCGCTGGCGTAAAATAGAATAATTAGCATTCCCGGGCAACAGGGTGAAATGAAGCATAGTTTCACAATTTTCAGACAAAGTAATAGTCCTAAAAAGTTTAATAATCTAAGAATCATTTACAATCGAAGTTGCCGTAGTCGACTTAGTTTTTGTGAGTGTGAACAATTCGTAACGCGGACAATTAGAGTGTATAACTAAACTGTATTAAAAGCGTGAAAATTGTTTTGCGCCACGCGTTCCATATAAATATAACGATTGCGATAACGAGATAGTGACTCAATGGCAAGTACGCGGCCACGACTCCACCAGGTCGCGGGTTCTAATCAAAACGTCATCAAAAAGGTACCGCTCTAATTTCTTTATGCGCAAAAGTCACTGTCCGACAAAACAGAATCGATATAACAAAACTCACCAACGTGTTTTCCGTTTATCCCACTAGGTGAGGAATTAATTGAATATTCGTATATCACCATTACCTCTCTGGTGCATTTGATCGTGATGTGGCAGTGGGGCGGCACTTGAGCCACAGCATCTGAGGCGGTTTTGTCACCTACTTCGCCCTCTTGGATCCTGAAAATTGGCATCGTAAAACTAAAAACACTATATGTCATGTATTAGCGGTATTAGCTAGTTGTTTAGGCCCAGCCGCCTGCAGATTAAATAGTTCATGTCATCATCATTATCCCTTGCCTCACGCCCTTCCCATCTAGGAGGGGTTGGCATTACACGTGAAAATTGATTTTTGTGGTTTTTTTATAACTGGCTTTGGCCTTTTTGACGTCATCTCTCAATGGGAAACCAACACTGCAGAGGTTAGGTAGGTCTGGTAATGTATTGTGAACATTGGCCATTAAGCAGAATAGTTGAACTTTGCTTCATTTAAGATAAATAAAAATTATATTAAAACTCATATAAATAGAACTCATTATTTGATTCTTGCAAGATTAGATACTGAACTATCCAGATTTTTTTGTAAAGTCCATCAGATTTGATTCCAGATTAGATAATTATTTATTATATATTATTATATATATTATCTTAACTAATTTATATGCACCAAGTATTAAGTTTTATTAAATCAGCATCGAAGATTCCAAGATTACTTTTGAGAACATTTTATTTATTACTTTTTCAAGAAATGAACAAGAAACAAGAATACTGTTTAAGCACCTATACTCTGTATATGCAGGGTCTGTCTGTAATTGAAATTGCATGTTGTTCTATACCTGAGTTTATGTTAATCTTGTATGATATTTCTAAAAACATGTGAATATTTTGGCATGTTACGAAAAAAATATGAGAGTAAAATTTTCAAACAACACGGTATTACCATGGCAACCAATAACAACTTTTTGTAATTCACTACAATTCCAAGTGATTCAATTAAATCGTTACCAATTACATTTTATGTCTTTTTAACAAACAAACAGTACTGGCACAGGGAATATAATTTTTAATTATATTTTTTTATTACGTTAAAGAAGTATTACTTCTAAAACTCTGAATATCCTTTCCTTTCTTCAAAACCTCTCCCTATCAAAAGCAATGAATGAACTACATAAAGAACTAAGACTTAAAATGGCTTTGCAGCGGATTTTTTTTCGATTTACGTTTTTTCATTCCATATACAAAGGGTCATATCGATATCGTCCCTTCTATCTTCGAATGTATTTATCTTGTCAAGGAAATGACACTTCCCTTTTAACCTTTGGGTGCGGTCAATTTGCTTGATGCGAAGACAGAAGGTGCGGTTCTCCAGTGATATATGATGCCATACGAATTCGATGCAAACGCGTAAATAAAGTATATAGGACGCTAGATTACCCTCGCAAAGATAAAATATTCGATCCTTATAAATTTCTGTGACGAATAGAAAATAAATAGATAAATAACGAACTTTTTTCCAGTTTGGATTTCAAACCAAACACATACTTACGTTTTTACAAAATATTTTTCAAATAAGTTTCCCCTTTTTCATTATGGCCTATGTTCTTAAGCTGACGTGGCATTCAATTGGTAAAAATAAATTGAAGTCTGTTTAGAACTTACATATTCAGTTGTGTTAAAATAAAACCGTTTAAAAACTTTTAAGTTAAACGGTTTTAATTTCTGTTTTTTTTTTTGTGCACTGAAAACTACTATATTGTATTGTCATCTAAATTAAATGTGTGTACCAAATTTCAGATCAATCTGACAACGGGAAGGTGCTTAAATTTCAATTTCTAATTTTGACCCAAATAAACAAATAAATTCCGTACGTGTCGAGCTAAATGAAACCGTTTAAAAAGGCTTAGATTAATTTGGTTCCGAATAAAAAGATTTTCTTCTTATTAGAAAGATCGAGCTTAGATAAAGAATTACACAAAGACGAAAACGATGAAAGAAATAGATATTTCTTTGGTTCTACTATGTTTACGATTTTGAATTAAGTTCATCTACATTAATGTACTCATATGTAATAAAAAGTTTTATTACGGTTAATATGTTGTTTATTTATTTCTTTTTTCGAGCGATTGAATTGAATTTATACATTTAATGTTTAGTGATTAAAAGTTTAATCGATTTTACGTTTTGGGAATAAATTTTCGCAAACTACTAGCGCTGCGGGTAATGCCTCCAGACGCTTTATCAACTTATAAATAAATAAATAAACTGACCTAAGCGACCGATGTAGCCACGGCGCGAAAAACTCAACGTGTACTTTGGTTATTGCATTTTTAGCAATGCTTGGCCATATAGTGTGCATACTTTTTGGAATGAAATATCTTGTAAATAACAACATACGTAGAATATTTAATACGAGAGATGTCGCTTTTGCTCTTACTAGGTATGTCGAACTCCATAAACTATCTCTACTACGCCAAAAAGCTCGCTCCAAAACTTTGGCAGGGCCACGCAAAAGGTTCGGTTGTTGCACGAATGGTCAGGTCCGTCCGGGTAAGTACCACGACTTCAGACCTTAACTTAAGACCGCGTTAAGTGGAAGTGTTACACTTCTACGTTTCGTCTGGTGAGTGAGGTTAGCAGATGCCCACTTTATTGTAAGGTGGCAACGTATCTGTAACCCTACGGTTGTTGCAAATGTCCATGGGCGGTGGTTATCACTTAACAACCGCTAGTTCGTTTGCCACCTTCTCACATAAAAAAATATCTGCAGATATTAAAGAATGACAAATCAAGGCACTAGAGAGTCGATAGGTACATGGAAGTTTTTTCTTTTTATTTATCCATTTCGAGCGATCAAGGTTATTTGCGTTTACGTAAGAGGATTAATCACTGCAACACGATACGACTGTTGTAAGAAACAATTGTTAACTGCAAAAGGAGTGCAGCATCACGACCTTGAAGGTCGTAATAAAAATACTTTGATCTAAGATCATAGTAACTGTACTTACATGTCTTTTTTTGTTAAAAGTATCTTGTTGTTTATTTTAAACTCAAGCTCCGATTTAAATAATTTACGGCCTCTGAAGTCGAGTTTTCTACTGACTTCATATAAAATATTAAGTATAATATTTGATAATATTACACTTAATATTTGGTTGTACAGAACATACAGAAAAACTTGGCAGATTTTTCTAGACAATTTATAAATTAAGGTAAAAAGTACTATGGATTGAATCTTCCATGGGTGTGTGTTAGCAATTATTTCGAGACGATCCATGAAGCCCGTTCTATTTGAGGAGTCATTTGACACGGGAGCGTTAATGGGGATCACCGGCTTTGAAAATGTAACCTCATTAATGGAAAAAACAAACAAGACGGCCATTTCCTTGAAAGCTTCCTAAGGTTGTGACATTTGTGGAGAAATTTATAGGGATAAATTATATGCGATAAACATTTGCCCTTTCGCGCGTATTAAATTTATTATCTGTGGTTGATTACCCGTTTATTGCTAATTAAAAATGGTAAATTAAAAATATAAGCTAAATATTGATTCTATTTTAAGTAAAGTATCTGTAGTTTTGGTGCGAAAGAGGAATTTTAGTAAGCCCCATTTTGTATTAAATCTTGGCTTTTATTTAAACAAAAACGGTGCCAATATCTACCAGAAGAAAGAACGACATAATAACTGATTTTTCGTGTGAGATATAATAAGCGGGCAGACCTTACCTAATAAGCAATTACTATCACCCGTGCACATCTTCATCTGCGGGTCTGCATATGCTTTGGCCACAGACGAAACGCGAAAGTATACTTATATATTTCTGCTTCTTGCTGGATCTCTGTGAGGTCGTGGCAATTCCCCTGAAGAGCCTACCCATTAGTGCCATGGTGCCCCTACGATGGAGTACTCGGTTTGCGGAATCTATCAACGTGGAGATAAAACAAAAAGTCGCTGTCGACAGCTGTAATAGTTCAGAAGATCTAATGCGATAGCTCACGTTAAGACCGACGAAGGCCCAAGTAAGTCTTTATAGCTCCTAAGACCTTTTTGTTTCTATTAAGGATTTCTTCGAACATGACCAATTTCGAAACCTGGATCTGTCCATAGAAAATCTGCAGGTATTTGCGGTCAAATATATAGAAATTAGATTTTTTTATGTAATTTTTTGTGGTTCGTCATAAGAACGTGGTTCACAAATATAAAGATAATATTAGTTATAAATATTTTTTATGTCATAAGTTTGTAAGCGAGCAGGTGGTTGGTTCACTTGATGTTACTGCCACCCTTATACATCTAAGATCAGAAAGTTCCTTTGGGATGATAGATGCGTTACTAACTTGTAAAGAATTGGTTAATTCATGAATGACTTCCTACTTGATATGTTCCTATTCCTCGCGAGGCGATACTTGATAACTTAACTCAGCAGCATCCGCTATGACGTACTCTGGTGTACTTTCGGATGTTACGTCCCCATAATGACCTAATTATACGCATTTGTCAAGTCAGCGTCGTATACAACCCGCGCGAGTCTGAAAAGTAGTATGGACACCAGGAAGGGGATGCCCCCTGCACTCGTTTCTAGCTTATCTTGGACAATGGAATCAATTGCGAACCAGATAACGACGTATGTGATTGTAATGCGTTTCAAATAAGAATAGTAAGGTAAATGATCTCGAATGACCGCTATCTGTCAACTGCTATTTGAATTTTCCTCTGTTAAAATTAAAAACCTGTGTACAACCAAGGAAAATCAAATGAAGTGGGCCCCGGCTACTTCACTCACCAGACATTTCCACTTGACGCAGGTCTTTTTTGAGGTTGTGGTACTTACCTGGACTTGCCCATTCGTGCATCAGTGAAGACTGCGTGGTCCTACCACAATGAAAGGTGAATTGGGAGGGTACGCGGTTAAATGCACTTTGGTTCTCGAATGGCAGAAAAAACGATGTCAAGAGATATGATGATGCATCAGCATTCGACTGGATATGGTTGGCGGAATGCCAAGTTGGCTGCAAGGCACATCTACGGTACTCTTTCAAACGGGGCCAATTTTATTTTCGACGTAATTATATATTGGTACGTAGTGTATCTTTTACGTGAAATGAACGGTTTTTCAGTTTGTTCGAAAACGTCGGGATTAAAGCGTGGTTATGTAATACGTTGTTAATCCAATATGAATAATGACAAATTCTATTA